TACTTACGGAGACCAAATATGAATCGTATGGACATATTTTGGAGTCGCTCAAGTTTATTTAATTGTTCTTCAGTGAGATTTACATAGCAGGAATCCGCATAATCTAGGATTGAAGTAACAAGGAATTTGCTAGCGCAATTTTGGTATCCACTGGTAGGAAGTTCCGCAACCTATTAATGCTTCCGACGGCTGCAAACATTTTCCGACTTAACTGTGTAATTTGTGGTGACCAAGACAAATTTTCATCAAAAAGAATTCCAAGATTTTTGACCTGAACGGAATATTTAATGTCATGGCCATCAAAGGTAACTGGTGGTAGATGATTGAAGTCTAATCTAGAAGTAAAATACGAACTTCCAATAATTATACACTGTGTTTTTTTAGGATTTAATATAAGGCCATAAGCTTTGCTCCAGTCAGATATATAGGCGAGATCCAGATTTATATCGTGAATAGCATCGCTAATATTAGGCAGATCAGCTTGTGAATAAATTTGAAGGTCATCTGCATAGAGGTGGTAGGATGAACGAAGATGAAGTGTGATAGAATTGATAAATAAAGTGAAGAGAAGAGGAGATAATACGCCACCCTTACGCTTTGTACACCAGGATGAACTAATATCATCAATACGAATACACTGCCGGCGCCCATACAGGTAAGTACGAAACCATTCAATCACCGTTGGAGATATGTTAAGAGTACGTAGCAAACTGAGTAAGATGTCAAAGTCTACGGTATTGAACGCATTACTGAAATCCAATAATGTTAGCACTGTCAGCTGCGATTTGTCCATACCAAGTCGAATGTCATCGGTAATCTTGATCAGAGCTGTAGTCGTATGACCAGGGCGGAAACCAGATTGAAGAGGATTTAGAAGATTATTTGTAGAAAGGAAATTGTATATTTGTTTATGGACAAGCCGTTCTAAAACTTTGGAGAGGAATGGAAGAATGGAAATGGGTCGATAGTCTGAAAAATTCAGCGGGTTTTTGGTTTTGGAGAGAGGAATTATAAGCGCGTCTTTCCAAGAGGTCGGGAAGATGGCAGATGATATAGAAAAATTTAAGATAAAAGTAATGGTTGGAAGAATGATATCAAGGATAGGAATTATCATATCACGACTGACGTTATCATTACCGATGGCATTCGACGATACAGCAAATATGTTTCTCTTAACATCACAATCGGAAAATTGAGTAAAAGAAAAGGAAGAAATATCAGGAGTTGACAAAGTGGAAAGAACATTTAGTGTGCTTAATTTATCATTGTTGTCAAAGTCAACGGAAGAACAGAAGTGCCTGTTAAGGCTTTCGAAGTCTAAATCGCAGTTTGTCAAATTTTGAGCTTTCCCAACTCCCAATGTTCTGAGAAATTTCCAGACTTTGGCTGGATCACCATTCTCTACTGATTTGTGAATGTGGCGACGTTGAGCATGCCTACAAGCCCTATTGCAGAGATTCCTTGCTTGAATGTAATATTCACGATATTTCTCAGGATTGGATCTGAACTTCGCTTTGGCCTTATTTTTTTTAACCTGCAGAGCCCTGATCTCATCTGTCAACCACGGAGCAGGGAGATGTTTATACACGAACAGGAGCATGTCGGTCGTAGAGTTCCAATAAAAGCGAGTTAAATAATCTAATTTGGTCATCCACTGATGTTGCATTGTGAATAGCCACCCAGTCCGCAGCAGACGCATCGTTACGCAATCTAACCTGATCAATGCCACCAAAACTACGCCGCATTAAGACTTTATGTTTAGGTTTAGGAGGACGGATTTTGTAAGAAAGAAAAATGAGATTGTGGTAGGAGAACGCATCTGCAGGACACTGACCATGCCTAGCAACATGATTAAGGGAGGAGACAAACAGAAGATCTAATAGGGAAGGATTACAGTTTGGAAAGAAGTGAGTCGGCTGTAGAAGAATATTCAGATTACAGGAATCAGCAAGAGATCTAAGGCGGTTAGCACGGTAGTCAGTTTTGAGTAAACATGTGTTGAAATCGCCCATAATAATAGTGTGATGAAAGGAGGGGATAAGATTTTCGAGGGTGTTTTCAAGGAAAGAGAAATAATCAATGGAAGATGAGGGACTATAAAAAACACCTAAAAGAGTTTTAGAGTGCAAGAAATCAACATTAATAAAAAGAAATTCTGGTTCTAGAGAAGGGTTGGATATATCAGAGGAGAGGATAATTTTATAAGAAATATAGTCACGAAGATAAATGGCAACTCCACCACCACCCCCCTTGACACGATCATTACGAATCAGGTTAAAACCGGGCAAGGAATAGGAGACAGATGGAAGACAAGGTTTTAACCATGATTCTGAAATTAAGATAGCATGTAAATTTTCGACATTAAAAGATGTTAGAAAATCAGGAAAATGGGCCGGAATGCTTTGAGCATTAATATGCACCACATTAAAATTTTTTACAGTATTCTCAAAGTTAATATTTAAAGTCTCATTAAGGGGAATAAAATCATTATACGTAGAATTATAACTAGATGTCGAACTCGAAAATGAAGAGTGATGTTCTTCCAACATATATTTATATACTAATTATTAAAAATAATAAACAAATAACTAAATAAATATAACTTTTAAAAAATTTAAATTAATTAACAATTTTTAAAATATTATCTACCTGCACATAAAGATCTCTAATTTTTTACATATTAAATTTTTTCAACCTTTAATATGCATAAACAAAACAAAAAAAACAATGAACGTGCAACGGAACGTCTCTAAAGTGATTATTTTACGTACTGACAACACTAATGAACACAGACAACGACATTTAAACTTGACATGATAAACAATGACACTACACTTGACATTTAGTTGACAGTTTTGATTAGACATAAGGATTTTAATATTTTACTTATTGACATGTTTACATATAAAAGAAAAACAAAATTAATTCGTAGGTAGCGTAATAATTATGAGTTTCTGAGGTAAAACTAAATTGAAAAAGTATATACTACAGTGAATCAGTAATAAAGAAATACTCGACATACAATAATAACAAACAATTCTACTTTCTATGGCGTTTTGATCGAATCGTAGTAACGGCAGGGTCTTTGGCAATGACTGGGGTCGATGCAGACTGGACTGTTGAGGCCGGCAATGAGCTAATTAGCTTGCTCAGCTCACCAGAACAACTTATGCGATGCCTTGTACCATCCCCATCAGCGACGACGATGAAACCGTCATGCGACCAACAGTTTTTGATGCCAAAGTGTTGTCGAGCTGCCATGAATACACTGTGTCTGGCCGCAGTCAGAAATTCTGACATGGTGATCCCGCTGCCCTTAAGTTTAGTTTTGGCATACCATACCTCATTCCTGATGTCTAAGTCACGGAACTTCACAACTATCGGGCGAGGCTTGTCTTTCAATGTACGACCAAGACGGTGACACCGAGAGATATGTCCTGTAGTGAAGTCTCCAATGTCCAGCCTGTCTATGACGACCTTCGCTACCACCTGGGCTACAGATTCCCGTTGTGACTCTGGCACTCCATGCAGCAACAACATTTTGCGTCTACTACGCATCTCCATCTGTTCTTGTTGGCGGGCAATTATTTCCACTTGCTTCTGAAGACTAGTGAGTGCAGTTGTTATAAAGCTCCGGAAAGTAACAAAGTCAGATTCAAGCGAAGGCACTGTAGCTGGTGTGTTGTTTGCCTTCAGCTGGTTTTGGAACTCAGCCATAGTCTTATTAAAGTGCTCCATCATACCCGCCATTGTAGTGTGCAGTGTGTCCATTTGAAATGATTTGAAGTGAAGAATGAAAGGAAAATTATCACAGCAGGTAGATAATAGATTAGATTTACAAATTCATGTAAATAGTAATTAAAACTTTTTCTTTTAAATAATTAATAAATAAATTTAAAACAGAGAGGTGTAATTTTACGTCTGTTGTGTTTCACAGCTACCCACAAAAAAACGATTTGTTTACAATGTCTCTGGCTATCCCATCTAAGATGACAGTTATAAAGGTATCATCTAAATTATTATTAGATATCTATCTACACTACCTTTGTAAAAATTGCCTTTGTATGTCGAGGTATACGCAATCTTAAAACAAAAATTATACAGTAGGTATTCATAATAAAGGTATTTATTTAATAACGAAATCTCAAACACAAAGTAGACGCCTCTTCTGATGACGAGCAGGAATGCTACATATTCTAAGTAGACGTGACATCGTGGTCAAAACAAATTATAAAAAAAGATTACCATGTATTATTATAATATCACGATATTTCCGTTAATATCCAACCCTTCAAACCAGAATGTAGCATGAATAATAGATAAGGCCATTACATTACATAAAACAGTTTGAATCTAGCAAGCGATTTTGTACAGAATATCTATGGCATATAGGTGTATTATTAATAAACGAAGGTATAGAATTCTCGGGCATATTTACATGACAAATAGTGAGCATCTGAGTAAATTTTCTCAATAATGAAACAGATAATATGTATTCCAAACACACAAAATCATAACAGCTACCGCCATCTAGTGTTGATTAGCAGCAACTTTTAATTTCCATGTCGCCAGCGCCATCTAGTATCCACTAAATCAATTAACTGGTGTAACACAGATTATAAATAATAAGTGCGTTCCCGTTGTTTTATAATAGAAAGAGGTAATCGAAAACTTTTTTACGACCACCGCCAAAGTGAATTTTAAAATATGATAATAACCCCTCCATCAAGGTTTTATTAAATTATTTTTAGAAAACAAACTAGATCACAAGTTATTTCATATTTTTTCGATTAAATCTAAAAGTAATTATTATTGTGACTATTGCTAAGTTTCATGAGTTGAGAATTTGTCTCAACTCATGAAACTTAGCAATATATAATGTCAACAATTAACTTTTTATTAAGTAATAACATAATAATTTGTATTCAATAATAATTATAATGTTAAGAATTTAAAATTTGCGACTTTAGTAAATATTTTTTTATTTTCATCAAATTTTATTCACTGGTCACACTTCCTGGGAGCTGGTCACATTCTCGCTGTCTCCGTTCAGCAAGTATGTAAATGTCATTTTTATATTTTATTTTACATAATTTATCGTTGAGCGAACACAAAATTCAGCTGTATAGGTCCGTACGCGTGTTTTGTATTAAATTCGTCTATTATAAAGTCGAAATGAGTGTGTCGGAGCGCCCTAACCTCGGCGCTAGTCGCGTTCTGTGCATCACGTAACGTCGGGCATGGTGAGGAGCGCGATGGTGCTGAGTACTGAGTGGGCACAGGTTGAAGTTGTAGAGCTCACTAATGACGGGAACGGACTGGGCTTCAACCTAGTAGGCGGGCGGAGTACTGGCGTTGTAATCAAGTACGTGTTGCCGGGTGGAACGGCGGACAAGGACGGACGGCTACAGAGCGGCGACCACGTCCTGCAGATCGGGTCGGTGAACTTACGAGGATTCACGTCTGAGCAGGTGGCGGCCGTGCTGCGGCAGGCCGGGCCCGCTGTCAGGTTGCTGGTGGCGCGTCCCGCCGACCCCGCCGCCACGCTACGCGCCCCCATACCTGGTACAGCTCTCGTGCCCACCAAGATCCTCGCTGACCCTGAACTCCTCGACAGACATCTAATTGAGAGTGGATATGGTGCTGTATATGATATATCTCAGTGTTACACTGAATACATTAATGGGGAGAATGGTGATGCTGAAAATGTTGTAGCCGCAGCTGTGAGTGTGGTCGGAGACAACCCTCAACAGATACCTGAGTATCCAATTGTTGCACCTGCAGTGTCGCCAACTATTACCATAACAGTACCGGTGGAGTTGCCACCACTGCCCGAGGTGGAAATAGTTAATGTAAATTTGAATAAGAATGTCTATGGCCTTGGTATAACAGTTGCTGGTTATGTTTGTGAGAAAGAGGAATTGTCTGGAATATTTGTTAAGAGTATTATTGAAGGTAGCAGCGCTGAACAGAGCGGTAAGATTAGAATAAACGACAGGATAATAGAGGTGGATGGTGTATCATTAGCTGAGAAGAGCAACCCTCAGGCTGTGGAGATCCTAAGAAATACAGGCATATCAGTTCATTTAGTGTTAGAAAGATACCTACGAGGACCTAAGTATGAACATCTCCAATTAGCTATATTCAATGAGGAGAAACCTGCATCTCCAACATCATCTACCACAACTCTCTCCTGGTTCCCAGTGCCTTCCCAAGCTGATAACAGTGTTACTGAAATAGAACCTGAAGCTGAATCCAATACTACAATAGACTCTAGTGTGTTAGAAGTTGGAGATGGAGAAGTGGATGAGCCCACTCAAGAGGAATTAGACAGGAGATTTGATGAAATTTTAGCTGTAACAGAAGAAGAAGTAACAAAGAAGTGGGAAAGTGAAATTGGAACAGAGAAGCAAATAATCATTGCTGAGGTGCATAAGCTAGAAGGGCTTGGCATTAGTTTAGAGGGTACAGTTGATGTAGAAGGTGGTCAAGAGGTGAGACCTCATCATTACATTCGGTCTGTGCTTCCAGAGGGCCCTGTAGGTCAACAAGGCACATTTACTGCTGGGGATGAATTATTAGAAGCGAATGAGTATCGGTTGCATGGGCTTACTCATACAGAGGTGGTGAATATTCTAAAGCATCTTCCAAATCGTGTGAGACTAGTTTGTGCTCGGAGCAGCACAGAAAGTGGTCCTCGACCGCTAATTAACCTAGCACCAGATAGAGAAGGATTTGAAGCTAGAAAAATCATATCTGGCAGCCTGAACAACTTGACTACACTTGTCAAAGCCCAATCGGACACTTCTATTAACACCTCTAGTACAGCTACATTAACAAACCACTCTGGTCACTCAAGGAAATCACGTTCTCTTGAATGTGTATCAGGTCTAGCCATGTGGCAAAGTAGAGAAGATATTGTACAGCTTATCAAAGCTGATCAGGGTCTCGGTTTCTCCATATTGGACTACCAGGATCCTATTGACCCACAGGGGACAGTAATTGTCGTGCGAAGCTTAGTGCCTGGAGGAGTTGCTGAGAAAAATGGTGATATCTCCCCAGGAGATAGAGTGATGTCTGTTAATGGAGTTAGTATTAAGAATGCCACATTAGATCAAGCTGTGCAGGCACTAAAGGGTGCACCAAGAGGGGTAGTAAGGGTGGGAATAGCTAGACCTCTTCCACCACACGACTCTAAGTCAAAAAGTACCACCACACTGAACACTAAGCCGAGTTAATCTTAACTTGTTGTGATTTCAACTGTACTAGTCAAGTTTAAAGTCATATCCTACGCTTACCTGAGCTTAAGGTACAGCACATATCCGAGTGTTCAGAACACTCCATCACATGCAATGTGTCACAACCCTTACATTCATACAAATGCATTTTAAAATGCCTTCTAACGCATATATGAATGTATTTTGTCAGTACTGCTAAACGTGTATTTTTAAATGCATTAAAACAATATATTTTTCAAATGCACGTTTCATAGATACCATAATACGGATTGCTCATTAGTTAGTACATTTTGAAGTGCATTTAGTGAATGTTAAATTAAGCTCATTATAAACATATTTCAGGACAGAGCTCAAATTCTATGATACAATAATAATTTACGCTTTACTAGGTAGATAATATTATATACCTACTCTCGTATGTAAGACACAAGCCCTTTTATACTGCACATTCTTTATAACACCGTACATGTTATTTTCTCTTTATTAGATCTCTTTTTTAATATGGCAACCCCAAGAATTATGTATTGTATTGAATCTAATAATTATGTAGTTTTAAAATTGGAATTATGTTTTATGAAAAAGCTGCACTCATTTTAAATATTATACTTAATAATGAATAAGTAATAAATTGAATACAAATTCAATTTCAATAAATTATATATATTATAGTATCACAAAACTTGTAGATTTAACCTAAGGGAGCAATTACAAATAACATTTATGTATATAATAATAAAGTTAAAGATTTTTAAACACATCAATTATTAGTTCATTGTTAACAACAGGATTTGCTTGTGAATTGATTTCTTGCCATGTTATTATATTATATTATACGTACTATACAAATTATATTAAGTCTGTTTATTATATTAAATATATTTTTTTCATGCTGTTGTTCTAAGGATAGGAGGATATATTACAAATTATATTGCAAATTATTTTATAATATATTTTTGTATAAGTGCATTTTCTTGTTCATTTAATCCTCGACGAAAAAAGAGGGGTATAATGACTAATGACAAAACCATTTTTCTTTTATATTTCCAACTTTTCCAAAATATTTGTTCAATCATTGGAAGAGCATCCACTCATCTAAATGATAAAGAGAATTAACACCAACTTTTTAATGTCGAGGATTTTTTAAATGTTTAAATTGTACTTGTTTTAAAATGCTACATATGTACTAAAATGAAGGAATTGGTTTTTTATTAATTGTGTATAAATTACGTTAAGGAAGTGCACCAGTACTTAGTGAGCACATGTGATATGGGTGTTATTGTATAGATTATACATAATGGCTGTTCTAATTTTGAATCTCTTTGAAACTCGAATGCATTTGTTTTTTAATTATTAACATTTAATTGGTTACATAAAATATGTTTCCAGCCAGTTGCTCCCACACAAAATAAAGTGATATAATTAAATACAAATTGTATAAATTTATATATTGTATTATATATATAATAAATTCAACTAGTGTGGGAGCAATAAAAGCTTAAACAGATATCCTATGACAGCCATTGGAATTTACTTTTTAATGTAATTAGAATAGCGGTGATTTTCAATTGGATTAATTGAGGTTGCAATTAATACCGTCGCTGAATTATTTCTTCAAGAAAAATCGGAGCGCAATAAGCGCAATTAAATAATAATTTATTCATGTAGCACATTTTAGCCACTTACGAACGTTACTTTTTGTCTTAACATTTTTTCCCTACCATCCAATTCAGTAAATAGATTCAATTGAGAACTGGCCAGAAACTTAACTGTAATTCATTTTTTAAAAAGGCAGTTTATTTACATTGTATATTTATATAGGTGACTCTGTCTAACATTAAATGAGAATCCCGTGCATGAACTACTATTGCCATGCGTTATATGTTTCTCATTCAAGTAATCGTTTAGTGAGTAATTAAAGTAGGCTTTGCTCAATATATATGATTTAAACTTTATTTAGAAGTAATTTCAGTATATCCTTCGGTATCTTATTGTAATTTAACTGCAATTAATCCAATAGAAATCTTGTTAACCGCCATAATTTCCAGATGGAATCATAAAATATATCATTATGTACTGTTAAATATATATACACGGTTAGTTGTAAAGAGTTCACTGAAATTCAGAGATAATATTCATGAAATTAAACAAATATACCTCAAAATGAAATTAGTTTTTAAAAGCTTCATACAGGCCAGGTTACATGATCAATTTACTATATTATTAACGTACAAAATAGATTTTCAAATATGCACTTTATTTCATGGTGAAAATGGTTCAGTTTCAATAAGATTTCTTGTAACATTATTATGACGGCCTTGGTAGTCTAGCGGTTTAGCACTGCTTTACTTACGATGGTCGCGGGTTCGATTCCTCGCACGGTCCAAACATTTGTATTCATGAGTTCGGCCTGGCTGTTTTCTATGTATGTATTTACAAAAAAAATATCGAAGTACTTATATTAGTTGTCTAGTACCCATAACATAAGCTCTGCGTACCGTGGGACTAGATGGCGCTATGTTAATTGTCCAGACTTATTTATTACTATATCACGGCCGTCACTTGATAGAAGCATGACCTCGCTGTTCATGTACCTATATAGGAGACGGACCACTTACCATCCATAGCGCTGCTCGTGCACGCTGACGATGACCACTTACCATCAGGTGAGGTGTCAGCGTGTCTGCCATTCAAATTACTTTTTTATTCTATGGCTCCATCGAAATTACGATGATTTTGCCAATATCAAGGTTGGGGGTTGTACATATAATACATCATACCAATGAATGACAAAGATCTGACGTAACTTATGATGGCCCCTAGGAACAGACACTGCTTATATTATAATCTATGGTATTTTTAGTACTTCAAATATATTGAGTAACTAAAACAAAGGTTTCGAATTCCATAAACAACTATTTACGACTAATCGTGTATTATAAGTCGTTATCGATTATTTTTTAGTTATTTAGTGAATCACATTAGCTTAGTGGCTATTTTAACACCTCAATTCATACAACCAATCACCTAACCTGAATACGTAATATTGTAACAATTTTTTTAAAGTATTGTTAGCATTTATTTACTTCCGTTGAACGTTGAATAGTGATCTCTAGAATGTAATATTAACTTCTAAGTACTTATAAATGTATGAATTTATATAAACGACAATTAGCACATCATACGAAGCAAGGACAACTCTAGGAAATTGTGAGAAAACGAAACATTTTACAACTAAATTTGTTTATTTACTAGCTGTACACGCGAGTTCGTCCGCGTGGAATTTAACTTTATTTTTCTAAAATAAAAGTAGTCTAATTTACTTCTTATTACATCAGCTATCTGCCAAAAAATTTCCCGTCAAAATCGGTACAGCCATTTCAGAGATTAGCCGGAAAAAAACAGACAGACAGACATAAATTGTAAAAAATGTTATTTTGATGTATGTACAGTATTTACATTCATATGCATGTTATTTCAATATTACAAACAGACACTCCAATTTTATTTATATGTATAGATAATCTCTCGATGGACTCATGGTATTCATACAGGGCTGTGTGTCGCGAACTTTCGTTGTATAATCTAGTGACAGTAGATAAAACAACTGCTGTCACCTATCTACATTGACATCGCTGTTACTCCAGTCAGTTCGTGACCACGGCTAGTGCAACCTAGTCGATACGTCGAGAGAGGTTTACCTTTATTTGCCATTGATTTAGTTCGTGTTAAGACCCGGTTAATAATATTTATAATGTATATTAAACACAAAAGTTTAAAAAATAACCTATTTATATAAATTGCCATAGTAAAAATGTCTAATTATCTGTATACACTTATATAAATTCATACGAATAATTATAATAATGATTCTGTCAATTTTAAAATAGTAGATATATTAATAATTAAGTGCTATAATTAACAATAATTAACGAAAACTTTTTCACGCGAATCAGCCTAACCGCAGTATTTTGTATAGCTAATTGTATTTATTTCGATGACTTCCAAGAATAACTTTACATGCATTTATATACTATTACGGCAATGAAATTGTGAAATTTGGGGTCGAGAATACCTCTCCAAGAATCGAATTCTGACTAATAAAGTATACACTTAAGGATCTAAGACTAACAATAACCTCTTTCCCTCACATTATTCAAATCTGGACTAAATTTGCAGTTTATCCTAGATTTTTCATTAATCAGTGTTTTCACCAACATGTAAAAGGAATGGTTTCAATTTGACTTCAATCTTTTTTGTTGGTCGTAGTAATATAGCATTTTAGTATATAAAAATACTAAAACAATGCTTGGGACATAATCATGTACAAATGCCTAGGAACAGAAAAATAAATCGATGCTGAATGAACCATTGTTTTAAAGAGAAAACTTGAAGCACTGTGGGTGCTTATACGATGGGGAATAGCAGTAGTCTCGGATGAAAATGACTTAAAAATAGCAGATGGCAGTGAATCTTCTCATAAGTAAAAACCATAAACTTGAACTTCAGGACAAAATCAATTATGTTTTCGACTTGCAAAAATAAAGTTGAGATAGTGAGTTATATATCAGATCTTATGACTGATGGTTTTTTTGTTCTATGCCATTTTTTTTTCATGATAGTAGTGCCAGAAGCTTAATTGCGTGACATAGTTACTAACAATTCTCATTTGTAAATGATTTAATGTCGGTTTCAGGAGTTCATAGACTGCGGTAACCGTTTACCATCAGACGGACCGTATTCTTGTTTGACACCTACGTAGTACGAAAGTAAATCTACAATTTTGTAATTACGTATATACCCGTTACAATAGCAAACTATAAAACGGCCTCAATCTGCAATTCTCAAATTATTTGCACATGTGCAATTTGATCCAAGTTGAAAGATAGGATAGCTTACATCTCAATTTATAGTCGCAATATTATTTTATTGCAAATTATTTTTATATATAAAGAAACTGTTAGCCACAGCTAAGCGTGGCCAGGTTTGCTAGTGGTTAAAAAAATATCGATAACACATATTAACTTGTTTCAAGTGAGACTTGTTACTAACACCGTTATATAGTTAGGGGCCTGAGGGTCCCATTTGTCACTTAGTGTACCTTACTGCCTTTTATCATAATATCCATTGGGTACAAATAATTTTAGACTATAGGTAATGTGTAATAATGTTTTAAATTAATTACACGCTTGGTTCCCTAGTCGAAATAGATACACGTCGATAGAAATTCTAGAACGATCCATCACTATAATTTTTTTTTTATATCAAATTGAATAAGTAATACATTAAATATATGTAACAATAGTAAAAGTCTAAAAGTGTGTTTTTAATTGAAATATCAGATAATATATTTTGAAATAAGGAGAACGAATATTTTTGTACATATTTCACTCCACTGCAGTCTAGTTGTAGTAGTGCGTACAATGTTTGTCGTTATACAAAGTTCAATTCTTCCGTTCAGGCAGACTGAAATAGTATTAATGTTTTACATATTGTTATGAGGTTTGCCAGAAATATGTAATATAGTCTAGACAAAAATATATGAGACGACGCCAACTTGTAGAAATTTATTTATTTGTGGCATTATCATAACTTTGTTAGTGTATATACATATATTAATAGTATATCCTATGTCATTCTGGAATTAAGTAAGTATTTTAAACAGTGTAAGAATAACATAATCTGATCTCTCTCTCTCTCTTCCATCGTCTGCTTCTTCCTTGTCCCATTTATTTGGGATCGCTGTAATGTTTTTCCCTTCCATTCATCCTTGTTCGCAGTTATCTCGTTATTTTCTTACCATATCAACTTTCTAGGGACTAGATGGCGCTGTATTAATTGTCCAGGTTTATTTATTAATATTATTATTTCTCGTATACTTTCCTATTTCTGCGATATGGGCGCTCTTTATTTAATTATTCCATTCTTTATCGGCCATTTTGTCAATTTGATTTGTTAAAATGGCGCCCTCAGGCAGATCTCATATATTTTTGATCAGGAATGAAATATGTCTACAATTAATTGATTTACTGGTGAGCTTATTTTAAATTTCATGTTCCTATTATTGTAATAAAATAGATTTATGCATCAAGTGAAATTTTGAATACATTCACGAAACGATTTTTGTTATATGCAATTAAAATATTGTTTGGTTTGTGTAGGTATTGTTTAAGTTTAAGAAATATTATAATAAAATAAAAACCCATACAATACATCCAAAAAACGTACGTGCTACGTGTACGTGTTTGCTATACAATCACATATTGTTTACGAAAATTATTCAAAACTTATATACAATTGTGGCTTAATAAGATGTATTATTTTTTATTTATGCTAGACAAACGCCCGTCTAGCTTGTACGTGTTTTTTGGATGTATTGTATTATTTTTTTATTATTATAATATTTTTGTTTAATGATAAAAATTATGGTATTTCACTACATAATTTTTGTCTTTATTTGCACTACTTATTTATTTAATATATAATAATATATTGTTCTTAATGACATCAACGTCAATATACAAAATTGATAAAAATCCGGCCGAGCTGTTTCGAAGGATGATAACCATTTGACTTCTTGTAACAACTTAATCTAACTTAAGATCAATTATTTTATTTATTCTTTTGCAAATAAAATTGTATACCTTTATGCCTGATAGCAGCACGGGTTGGTTGAGAACTACCAGTTAACTGCCGCAATAATACAGATATTAAGGCGGTGTTATTTAATAATAGATATTAAGATGTAATAATTGATAAATAAAGAAAATAATAAATATATAAGTGTTAATAATATATATATTTGTTTCGTGAATGCTATTCCTCAAGTCAGTAATGCTATACATTATAATTAAATTAATATTACTATTGGTAAGCTTACTATTACATATTTCTGGTATGTTAACAACTGGTTATTGCATACTTGTTTAGTTGGCAGCACTGTAATATACGCATTTAACGACACCACAAACTAGCCTTATAATAAGAGAAATAAATTAATAAGAAAATTAATTTGTTGTTTTAATTTTTTTTTGTTTTATATATTTAACTTTAATGCACACTGTTGCGGGTGAGTGTTCCTATGTTGTTGGTCGAGACGATGTATATTACAGATGATAATAAACTGACAATATGTACATAGAAATAATGATCTTATATACTAAATGACAATAGGAAAATGTAAGGTGGGGTGACACAGTTTAGACACAGCAGTGCCTAGTAGACAATATTGAATTTGTCTTACTAGGCATTATTAAATGCAATTATTATTTTGATGTATCTAGGTGACTGTGTACCATACACACAATATCTTATATATAAAATTCTCGTGTCACATTGTTCGTTCCCATACTCCTCCGAAACGGCTTGACCGATTCTCATGAAATTTTGTGAGCGTATTGAGTAGGTCTGAGAATCGGGCAACATCTATTTTTCATCCCCATAAATGTTAGGGGTAGTCCACCACAATTTTTTTTTTATTTTAAGGCAAAACAACGTTTGCCGGGACAGCTAGTAATATATAGTAAAGTACATTTGGCGGACTTAACACCGTGAGGCATTTTCTACCAGGCAACCATAGGTGGTGCAGAGAATAATTGTTGTTTTAATCTTTTTAATTGGTGATATTGGAATGGTCCACCCTTTAATTTGATATTGGAGTGGTGTACCCGACTCCGCTAACGGTTTACGCTGGCGGGGCACCAGTGGAGGATGATAAGATGTGCATAAGGTCATGTCAGTTAGCCCATCGTGACAAATTCACCAAGAATTTATAACGATGGTTTCCAGGGTGAACCGCGTCTACCTGACATGGTACATCACTAGCAATAAGATCATCAGTCCACATTACTACCCTAATTGTGATATTGGAATAGTGCACACGCCTGCGCTAACGGTTTATGCTGCTGGAGCAGCAGTGGAAGATGATGAGCATAAGATCAGCTCAGCCCCTCGTGGCAAACTCACCAGGAAATTGAAATTATCTCGGTTTCCAGGGGAAAACGCGTATAGGTGAAGTTCAACTTGACATGGTACATTGCTAGCAATGGGTTCTACATTACTAAAAATTCCATTCTCCACCTGCTGTCGTAATTATATGACACTAGTTGATCCCACCATCGTATCCTGTAATATTCAGCATAAATGGTTTATATATTTATTGTTTGTAAACCGATTGTAATAAAACAAACAAACTTTTACGTGAAACTTACTCTTTAACTTACTATACACAGAAAACATCCAGACTGATACAATCATACTCATGAATGCGTTATCTGAACGCAAGTTAAGCTAGCTAAATCTTGTATTATGGGTAGTAGATAACTGATATAAATAGATATGTATTTTTTTTCGAAAATACATATTATACATAGACAACAAATACAAATGTTTACCGTGCGAGTAATCGAATCCGCGACCATCGGGAGTAAGGCGGTATGCTAAACTGCTGGATCGCCGACGCCGTCTATATCTACATATATATACCTACACTAGCGGACCTGCGCCTTGCTGTGGCTAAGGTTCTTGAATAAAATAATATTGCGACTATAAATTGATCCTATCTTTCAAGTTGGATCAAATTGCACATGTGCAAATCAAATTTGCAATCAGTAGTTCAGTAGTTTAGGAGTCCATCACGGACAAACGTGACACGTACCTAATTTTTATATATTTATATATTTTTTATATATTTTTTGCCATTGTTACAGAGATGTGGATTCCTAATTTACCTGTGACGATAGTCAGCGCTGTAGTGGCCGGCGCAGGCGCTTTGTGTATAGTCAAGTGAGTACATATATATATATATATATATAACTAGCTGTACACGCGACCTCGTCCGCGTGGAATTTAACTTTATTTTTCTAAAATAAATGTAGCCTAAGTAACTGCTTATTACATCAGCTACCTGCCAATAAGTCCCGTAAAAATCGGTCTAGCCATTTCAGAGATTAGTCGGAACAAACCGACAGACAGACAAAAATTGTAAAAAATATTATTTTGGTGTATGTACCGTATTCATATTCATATGCGTGTAGTAAAAAACGGTTATTTCAATATTACAAACAGACACTCCAACTTTATTTATATGTATAGATAACTAGATGGCCCGGCAAATGTTTTGCCATATAAATTAATAACACTAAGAAAATAGGAGTTGTGCATAATATACATAGAAAACACCCAGACCGATACAAATAACCATGTGAATACAAATGTTCACATCGTGAGAGGATCGAACCCGAGACACACCGAAGGCGGACACACCGCCTTACTTCTGATGGTCTCGGCCGTCATGAATGGCAGTGGTCAAAGACATTGTTAGCTTATTTAACTATTAATAATCAGAACCCTACAGAATCCACACAGTCCATCTAGTTCCAAGCTTGTTCTATGAATACTTAATTATTTTTTAAATACATGCATTCGTATCGAAATTGGAGACTTTGAAGCTACAAAGGACAGCTTCGGTCAACAGCATTCATGGCCAGCATGTATTTATAAAAAAATGTGTTTTTGGTTGTGTGTATATTTTGTTACATTTAGCCAGATTCGAACTGAATACCCTTGTGGTCTAAATCGATGTAGAAAACATTTATGTAATGACGCCCTCAAAATGACTTAACTAGGATTTAAAATACGTTGGAGAACTATCGTAATATTTTAACAAGGTAGGGAAGAAATATGTATACAAAAACATGACGTTCATACGCGTCTAAAATGTCCCATTTTTATTAGATATTTTTATAGTACGATGGTGGCAAACAAGCATACAGCCCATCGGATGGTAAATGGTTACCGTAGTCTATGAACGCCTGAAACACCAGGGGTGTAACATGCGCGTTGCCGACCCTTAATATACCCTTCTTGAAACACCCCATGCTGTAATATCGTGAGAAAACCTCGGCAGGTAGTTCATCCCACAATCTAAGTGTACGCGGGAGGAAACTCCTCTGAAACCGCACTATCCGAGACTACTTAGGTTCTTTTGATTGACTTGATTTGACTCGTCAAATAAATTTTTTTTTATTCATGTAGGTCTATTACAGACTCATATGATATGTCAAATCTACCGTCAGTTCGGAATGATTTCGAGATGAGAAGAACTGACAAGAAACTCAGCTGGTATTCTTTTTAAATAATTGTTGTACATGTTGTACTTCTTCCTCAGAGATATGTGGTTTAAGTTCTTTTGATTGACTTGATTTGACTCGTCTTCCTCAGAGATATGTACGGGGGGTCACCGTATGATAGGAACGTACGCGCGGACAACCTCACTGTGGTGGTGACGGGGGCCAACAATGGTATAGGTCGGGAAGCGGCCTGGGAGTTCGCATGGAGAGGCGCTAAGGTATATTTAGCTTTCTATCTTTTTATTTATTCATTTATTTCAGGCAACTACGCCATATTATAAATACCTTATAGACTAACATACATATAATATAATATTTAAAAACCAATACAACGATATTGTCTGTGTGATCACGGCACTGAAGACGGCAATCTGCCACAGTAGCGCCGGCCAGTAGCCCTCTTTCATGAAGGTGGATAGCAAGTTGGTTGGGACCAGAGCCACAAACGCTTTGAAACTCGCGTTGTGACTCGACTTCAGCTGCGTCACCCTCAATGTCAGGTTACTCTTAGTGGCGTAATGTAGACGGGACAGGTACATTGTCGTGGTCGGTGTAGCAGCACGCAGCAGAAAGTTGGGCCCAGTGAGTGCAGTGCCACAATGATTCCTATTGACCCTGTTTGTGCGCCTCTTCTTTTGTACCACGACGAAGCCATCATCGTCGCGGTTACCAGTGGCAGCACACGTAGGGTCAATGTTCAGTGCCGTTTTTGGCACACGCCGCTGTACTGAAGCAGTCGGTTTGCTAGCGACGACGGCGACAAAATCTCGACGCTGTGGTTGCACCGAGGATTTTGTTAGCGCTGCTTCCACATGCAGCGGTATCGGCGCTCGCGAGCTGCGGGCGGGGAGCACGCATTTTTATACTAGAATATTTTATTTTGTTGGGTTGTTATCGCGCGCATACACAACCACGTGACAATAGCCCATATAGTCAGGTGCTTGTGTTCGCGCGCGCGGTCCTTCTCGATGTCTTTGTCTACATTTACATTATTTTCTGCATGAAAGAGCGTATGTGTAAAGTGCAGCTAATATATTCCACAATGCAGGTGTTTATGGCTTGCCGCAACATGGAGAAGTGCGAGAGTGTGCGTCGCGACATGGTGCTGGAGACTGGCAACAAGTACGTGTACTGCCGACCCTGCGACCTCGGCTCTTTGGCCTCCGTGAGGCAGTTCGTCGAGAGGTGAGATAGAGATAGTGGGTATAGATTTAAGAGAGAGCTCTTGTTTCTACTCATGTGCTTGAGCGAGTTAACTTAACTATGTCTCTTCTATTTCATGTATCCATATGCTAATATAGAATAATTCAAAAATTTTGCCAAGGCGCTACGGTGGCAGATTGCCGTCCTCAGTGCAAAGACTACAGAGACGATTTATATTCATATTATTATTGCATATATATGTTAGTCTATAAGGTACTAGCTGCAGCCCACTCATGCATAAACGAAATATCTCCTTTGGAAAGTTTACACTCTTTCCTGAGGAGATAAAACCGATCGATCCTAAGAATATCCTTCAATTCTTGTCCCTGACGGGTCTAGGTAGCGAACTCTGAAAAGGGCGAGCACGATAGATCTATGTAGGTCGCAGTGCTACAGGTGCTACACATCTCACAATAGCCCAAACAATCCAATAAAAAAAAAAAATGTACTAGCTGACCCGCGCGACTTCGTCTGCATCACACTTATCATTATATATCGCCAATTTATTTAATTTCTTTTTAAATTATAGTATATATGATATTTTATATACCCCTTAAGGGTTAAAATTTTTACAAACTTTGAATGTCATATTTAATCAACAGCATCAAAAACAAGTTTCAAGCATTTAGCTTCAAAAATGACGATTCTTCCATACAATCTTTCATCCCCACTTTCAACCCTTGACAACCCTTTTTTCGCATTCAAAAGTAGCTTATGTCCTTTCTCAGGGCCCAGAATATCTGTGTGCCAAATTTCATTTAAATTAGTTCAGTAGTTTGGCGTGAAAGCGAGATAGACATAATATCTTTTTAAATTATAGCATATATGATATTTTATCCCCTTAAGAGTTAAAATTTTTACAAACTTTGAATGTCATATTTAATCAACAGCATCAAAAACAAGTTTCAAGCATTTAGCTTCAAAAATGACGATTCTTCCATACAATCTTTCATCCCCACTTTCAACCCTTGACAACCCTTTTTTCGCATTCAAAAGTAGCTTATATCCTTTCTTAGGGTCCAAACTACCTGTGTACCAAATTTCATTTAAATTAGTTCAGTAGTTTGGCGTGAAAGCGAGATAGACAGACAGACAGAGTTACTTTCGCATTTATAATATTAGTAGGGAGTAAGGATTTATAACATCATTATTCTTTGAAAAGACTAATCTTATCAGCGCAATTGACTAGAGTCCTATAAAATAATTTTCAGATGATCTTAAAAAAAAAAAGGTTAAATTATAGTTGTCTGTGGTTATTAATATGAGCAACAATATTAAAAAAATAGTTGAATTGTAATTCAGTTCCTTCCTATCATTAGTGAAAGTCTTTTATACAGTCCGTTTCGTAAAAAGATCATACAAAAGTAACATTTCGGTTATCAGGTTCAAATCCGAGGAGCCGCACCTCCACGTGCTTGTAAACAACGCGGCAGTGATGGAAACCCCAAAGAGTGTCACAGCAGACGGCTTCGAGACCCAACTGGGTGTCAATCACATGGGACACTTCCTACTCACAAACCTACTGCTGGACACAATAAAGGTAAAAAAATAACTACTAAGCATTACCTTGCGGAACAACTGAAATAAATATATAAATACATATTTTTTGTAAATACATAATATACATAGAAAACACCCAGAAGTTTACAAACATTCATATTCATTAATTAAATTTTTGTCTGTACGAGGATTGGAACCCGCGGGCATCGGAAGTAAGGCTGTTCTAACCGCTAGACGACCCGAGGCCGCATGAGAGGTATCACAGGTGTCGTGATAACGTGATATCCGGAATGCTGTCCATACTGACGGTTACTATCAGGGCTGTCAGATTATTTACCATACATTTATATTAAAAAAAAAACTCACCATGGCGTTCCATACACTAGCGGCAGGTCCATCGCGTGGGAGAGAGAAAGACTCCAAGCAGAAATAGACTTGTGATTCGACTAGGTCGTAAAGAGAACTTCAAGATCTCTTTCCGTTACTCAACTTCACAACTCTTCTTGCTCGTCCTGTCCAATCAAGTCTAAATTACTATACTGTCACTCCCAAATATATAGAGGATTGATTTGTATTTTGTGTGTTTGTAACGAATAAACTCAATAACTACTCAATAACTACGACGACCTCGGTGGTCTAGCGGTCCAGTCTACCGCTTTACGACTGATGGTCGCGGGTTCGATTCCTCGCACGGCACAAACATTTGTATTCATGAGTATGATTGTTTGTATCGGTCTGGGTATTTTCTATGTATAATATGTATGTATTTACGAAAAAAAAAATATCTATGTATTTGTATCAGTTGTCTAGGACCCATAACACAAGCTTTAGTTAGCTTAACTTGGGTCTAGATGGCGCTGTGTGAATTGTCCTGGGATTATTATTATTATTATTATTACTGTGTGAATTTAAAAAATTCTTACATTGTTAGAATGCTACACTATAACATTGGCTGTATTAATTACTAGGAAGATTTGGGATCTCTATTAAAATATCAGTAACGTAACCCAAGGTGATAAAATGTCCACCAGGAATGTGTACATTGCTAGCAATGTACCGGGCCAGGTTGACCGCCACGCGTTTACCGCTGGAAACCATCATGGTAAAGCCTCGCACGGTGCAAACATTTGTATTCATGAGTGTGTATGTTTGTATCGGACTGAGTGTTTTCTATGTATATTATGGATGTATTTACAACAAAATGTCAGTTGTCCAGTACCCAAAACACAAGCTCTGCTTACGTTAGGATTATAGGACTAGATGGCGCTGTGGGAATTGTTTGAGATTATTTATATTATTGTGATGAGTCAGCATTCCGAATGTTCATCAGAAGACGTCGATACCTGTACAGCCGCCGTTACTGAAGTCATACTTGCGGGTATGGAATGTTTTATTCCAAATCTGCTTGTTTCTTCAGGGGCGAAAAAGCGACCGTGGTTTAATAGGTCATGCAGAGAAGCCAGACAGGCTAAACAAACTGCTTATCTGGCTTGGACCACGGCTCGTTCCAACAGTGATGTTGACGTATCTGATGCAAGGCGGAATTTAAATGCTGCATCCAGGTTTAGTAAGAGAGTAATTGCTAGAGCCAAATTCGACTTCGTCAGTAAAATTGGTGAACGACTAGCACGACATCCTTCTGGAAGTCGTGCCTTTTGGTCGCTTGCCAAAGCTGCCGAAGGTAACTTTAGTCAGTCGTCCTTACCACCACTACGGAAGCCGGATGATAACTTGGCAATCAGTGCAAAAGAGAAGGCCGATTTGTTGTGCGCTCTTTTTGCCTCAAATTCGACTTTGGACGCCGGGGACACCATACCTACTACCATCCCATGGTGTGGTAACTCTATGCCGGAAATATCCGTAACGCAACGGCGTGTCCGGCGAGAGTTACTGTCTCTTGACGTCCACAAGTCGGATGGGCCAGACGGCATACCGGCATTGGTGTTAAAGAAGTGTGCTCCGGAGTTGTGTCCCGTACTCACGCGCCTTTTCGCGCTTTCGTACTCCTCTGGGCAATTTCCGTCTTCATGGAAGACCACCCTTGTGCACCCTGTGCCAAAAAAGGGCGACAGATCAAACCCATCGAACTACAGGCCTATCGCTATCGCATCTCTACTCTCCAAGGTGATGGAGCGTGTAATTAACACACAGCTCCTGGGATACCTAGAGGATCACGATCTATTGAGCGATCGTCAATATGGCTTTCGCCATAATCGCTCAACTGGTGATCTTTTAGTGTATCTCACACACCGTTGGGCTCTTGCCATCGAGAGTAAAGGTGAGGCATTGGCAGTCAGCCTTGACATGGCGAAGGCATTCGATCGGGTTTGGCATCAAGGTCTTCTATGGAAATTGCCTTCGTACGGTATACCAGAGGGATTATGCAAATGGGTCGCTAGTTTTTTGTCTGGCAGATGCATCAAAACCGTAGTCGACGGTAGTTGCTCCGATAGCATGGACATTAACGCTGGCGTCCCGCAAGGCTCCGTTCTCTCCCCGACACTGTTTTTGCTGCATATCAATGATTTGTTAACTACAGTTAACATTCATTGTTATGCGGATGACAGTACTGGGGACGCATTTTACACGGGCCGTGCTAATATCCCTCTTTCCGTTGTGGAGGCAAACCGCGAACAGCTTGTGTCTGAAATCGAGAGCACTCTTACCAGAGTCTCCGATTGGGGGCGACTGAACTTAGTTCAATTCAACCCTACCAAGACACAAGCCTGCGCGTTCACCGCTAAGAAAACCCCTTTTGCTGTGGCTCCGCAATTCCAGAACACGTCCATTACCATCTCTAAGAGTATTGGGATTCTCGGTATCGACATCTCTAGCACAGTTGAGTTCCGTAGTCACCTCGAAGAAAAGGTTAAGCTGGCATCCAAAAAACTCGGTGTGCTCAATAGAGCGAAGCGGTACTTCACTGCGGACCAGAGACTCCTCTTATATAAGTCTCAAGTTCGGCCGCACATGGAGTACTGCTCTCATCTTTGGGCAGGAGCACCTGGATACCAGCTCGGTCCTTTTGACTCGGTTCAGAGACGTGCTATGAGAATTGTCGATGATCCCAATCTCTCTGACGGTATCGAGCCACTTAGTTTGAGGCGAGACTTCGCTTCGCTTTGTGTGTTCTACCGATTATACAACGGACTGTGTTCTGAGGAATTGTTCGACATGATGCCTACGGCCACCTTTCACCATCGCACCGCTCGCCATCGACAGGGAATTCATTCCCACACGCTGGAACCTAAGTGGTCTCGGACAGTGCGGTTTCAGAGGAGCTTCCTCCCGCGTACACTTAGATTGTGGAATGAACTTCCTGCCGAGGTTTTCTCACGAGACTACAGCTTGGGGTTTTTCAAGAAGGGTATATTAAGGTTTCTTAAGGGTCGGCAACGCGCACGTGACACCCCTGGTGCTTCAGGCGTCCATAGGCTACGGTAACCATTTACCATCAGATGGGCCGTATGCTTGTTTGCCACCATAGTAGTATAAAAAAAAAAAAAAATGTTCGGTAGAATAACAAAAATGTGACTATTCAAAAGTGCTTATATTATGTTTGAATAAAAATTATATCTATTTCTATTTATGGATAATGTCCGCAGGCATCGACGCCGAGCCGGGTGGTGGTGGTGACGTGTGGTGCCCACCGTCGTGGTGAGATACACAAGGCCGACCTCAACATGAGTACGGAGTACACACCCGCGACCGCGTACGCGCAGAGCAAACTCGCTAACGTGCTGTTCGCGAGAGAACTCGGACGCAGAATGCTAGGTAACGTATTGTAGAGATTTACACAATCTATACTAATACTAGCTACCCGCCCCGACTTCGCACGGGTGTACATGTATTATACATATAAACATTCCTCTTGAATCATTTTATCTGTTAAAAAAAACAGGTGCGAAATCCGTTGCGTAGTTTTAAAGATTTAAGCATACATAGGGACGGACAGACAGCGACAGCGACTTTGTTTTATACTATGTAATAATGATGATTATAAAGCTGAAGAGTTTGTTTGTTTGAACGCGCTAATCTCAGGAACTACTGGTTCGAATTGAACAATTCTTTTTGTTGTTGGATGGTCCATTTGTCGAGGAAGGCTTTAAGCTAACTACTATAACATTACGCTACAACCAATAGAAGCGAAGCATCATTAAAAATGTTGCAAAAACGGGGAAAATTATCGCAATAAGTGTTTTTGATAACGTGACCGAAGTCACGGGCTCAGCTAGTTATATATAAACCGACTTCAAAATAAGGGAGAGGTTGTATACCTTGTCTGGTATCTCTATAAAATATGATTACGGGGCCGTTCAAGTATTGCGTAAGCAGATTTATTACAATTATTTATCCCCATCCCCCTTGTCAGCAAAAATAAGCTTACCCCTCCCCCATGCCATTCGTGTAAAAAAGTAAATACCTACCGATGACGCAATAATCATCCAGACTCCCCTACCCCCATGTCATCCAAAATAAGCAAAGCCCAGACCCCCCCCCCCCCCCTCTCATAGTGCTTACGTAATACTTGAACGGCCCCTAAGCAAAGATTTTACGCGATTGCTATTTAATAATCTGGGATGAGTGCAACATGGAAAAGTATTTAGAGGCGGCACAGAATAGAAATAGAATGCACAGAATAGAAATAGAATGCACAGAATAGAAATAGAATGCACAGAATAGAAATAGAATATTCAGAGATATCTGCAAAATTACCGACATATTGGCAGCTTAACCCTTCGGACGTTTTGACACAGATCTGTCCACCCTTCCTAAACCGTATTGCCGTCTTGTCACAGATCTGTGCCCGCGAAACCGTGACTCATTTTTAACCAATTTAGTCCTTATTTAAAACGAAATAAGATTGAAACGCATTTGAAAAAATACAGCTGGCGCGCGCATACGCCTTTTCACTTCCGGTCGCTGCGACAGACGTCAGACATTCGTTACTGATACTGTTTTAAAGAGATTAAAAAAAAAATGGACAGGAGTACCACGGGAACTGTTTATATGTATAATTAGTAAAAATCACGGGATCTTACCACGTTTTATATTTATTGAGATACCGATATTTCGGCAGTGTTTCAACCGCTAGTATCACGGGTAAATTGAAGAGCAGTGGGTAGATGGAAAAAAATCTTTTTATGGGCAGACATATGCGTCTACCTTCACACGTCTTCGTTTGTTGCTACTGTTGGAACTCGCTCTATATTCATCTCGGCAAACTGTACTCACAGTATCTTCACGTACATTTAATTCCTAATGCTGTTGGCCGCAGCTGGCCTTTACAGCTTCACTGGACGATAGAGGGTGAGTGCAGATGGCACTCCAAATCAAAGGAAGGACTTATGGAGCTGCTGAAGGCCAACTCCCGCCTGACCGATACAACTTTAGTCTGAGGACACCGCTAGAGTAGAATAGCTAGTGATTCAAAACACGGCTCATGCCGTCGTTTTTTCGATCCCCGTTTGAATTGTACAGGGAATCGATCGAAGGGGACTTATCCTTTTAGTACCGTTGAGATATTTATAAAATACTGAGCGGGCGGCCGTCCGCGAGTGTAATTTGGTCTACATAAAGTTGGTTTTGTTTAATTCACAAAATAAAAATGTTTTTATAAGAGAGCATTTAACTCACACCATACAAACTCTGAGATCTTCACGCCCATATCTGGAGCCCATATTATGTATGACTAGCTATACCCGCGACTTCGCCCGCGTGGGATTTTGAACATTACTTTATTTTTCTATAATAAAAGTAGCCTAAGTTACTCCTTATTGCATTAGCTACCTGCCAATAAGTCTCGTCAAAATCGGTCCAGCCATTACAGGGAGAGATTAGCCGAAACAAACAGACAAACATACAGACAAAAATTGTAAAAAAAATATTCTGGTGTATGTACCGTATTTATATTCATATGTATGTAATAAAAAACAGTTATTTTAATATTACAAACAGACACTCCCAGTTTTATTTATATGTATAAATTGTAAAAAATAATCTTAAAAACCAGACACAGGCGTGACCGTAGCAGCAGTGGACCCCGGGTTCACGGACACCGACATTACCAGACACCTGGCGATGATGAAAAGCATCACCAGGTTCATCGTGTACCCTATGTTTTGGCCGGTGATGAAGACGCCCAAGATTGGGTCCCAGGTTATACTGCACGCGGCATTAGACCCCAGCATGGCAGACTCCGCTGGGGACCATTATGTGTATGTTTTATTGTCATTATTATATAGGGTGCTACCAATTTACTTTTTCTCCTACAGGGTGGATTATTATTATTATTATTTCAATAATTATGTGATTTCGTGTCACTAATGACGTATTTTTTTTATACAAATACTGGAAATATTCATTTTTTTATTCATAAAAAATCTTAAAAAGTATAAATATTCTGTTTTATGTAAATTGGCCTTTAAAAACAGCTATTGCTGCTTCAGTTACAATGCTTTGATGTATAAAGATCAATGAACTTTTTCAGTAGGTAATACATAAACAAAGACCAATTGACATACAGAAAATATTAGTGTTAAATATTTTATTACTAAGTACTAATAATTATAATGATAAGAACTATCATCTTATCTAATCATCTATCTATAACATTCATGCATTATAATATGGTAACATCTTATAGTTGTCGTCCAGTGCTATTGTACTACTTAGGCTGATGATATACAGTCAGGTTGCCCAACTGCTATTAACGTTCTGATCGACTGTATATCAGCAGCCTTAATTTTTAAAAACATTAACGAATAATAAAAATACAAATTGTAGAGACATGAAGAAATCTGAACCATCTAAAGAAGCACAAGATTTCGAGACAGCTCAGTGGTTGTGGCGGGTCAGCGAGAAGTGGACGCGGCTCGAGGAGCATAAGGCCGCCATTAAAGCTGCTAAAATATAGCTTTAATTTATTATAATAGAAAAAAAATTAGGACACTACAGCGCCATCTAGTTCCAAACTAGAAAGAACTGATAAATAGATAGTTTATTTGCTTAAACATTTTTTATAAGTTTTAGAAGAAAAGTTTGTAATATAATAAATAGGTTTTAGAATAAAAGTAACTACAAACAGATTTATTTCTTTGTAAATATATAGAACACAGTCGATACCCGCGAATTTGTCTAGTTTGTCTAGTTTTTGCATAGTATTAGTACATCGAATAGTCTATTTTTCAATAAAGATCATATTTACGTCAAATTATTATACATTCACAGTATAAATTTTCATCATTTTCAATCAATCATTGGTCTTAACAACAATAAGTTCATGGTAAATTATGGACTTTACCTTTCTCGACGTTTTAAGACCCGAGGGTCTAACAAGAAATTATTCTTATTAAAACCCGGTTAACTATACGTCATAAATAATGTATATTAAACACGACAGTTCAAAAATAACTGTCACCCCTCCCAGTTTTGTTTTCGGGCCATACTTTACTAGTATCCAATCTATCTGTATACTAAAATTCATCAAATTGCTTGAAAAGGGTGAATAGATAACAAACTGACAGACAGAAAATTTTGCATTTATAATATGGATGACCATAAACAATCGTTCGCTTGTTAATACTGAAACGGTGTTGTTTCAACCATTGTCTCAATTTAACGTATGAATGTTTGTATGAATAACTATAAATTATTTGCATTTATTATTTTGTTTGTTCATTGGATGTTAATAAAAAAATTACCAAATTTTCGTGTTATTATTTTAGTGACATAACAATTATATAGATGTCTTCGGTTGAGTCATATAGTAGGGCCTGTAAAGGATGGAACTAAAACACATTCGACTTATTTTCGCAAACTAAGAGCACAGTCACTTATTTTATATGTGACACCGAGCGTCACCGCGATCGTCTGAATCCGACTACAATATTGTGTAGAAAACGGGTAGATTTATATTAATTACATTGTGCACACCCTCATATGTATTTATTAAAAAATGACAAAGAACGAACGTATCGTGTATATTTATGTATATAAATATACACGATACATATAATAATAAAATTAATTTAAAAAAAAGATACTATATTTTGATAACGTATCGTCGCCTACAATATTTTATGGAATTACTGTCGGTACTTCTAGTTTTTTAATAAGTCAATGTTGCTCGTTGTTTGAGTAACTAAGCAGTAAATTATGTTTTTTTTAATTGACTAAGAATCTATTTAATTTAACAGATAAATATCGTCTTTATAATATTTGTATAGATATTTACAATTGAACGAATAAAATTATTGTTCTTTCTTGTATACAAACAAACATTTATAGACATTATTAATATATAAATATGTATAGACAACATTCTCAAAGGGAAAAGGCAACAAATCGCGGCCATACAAACTACAGTTCAAAAACATATTTTTTTGTTGCTTACAAAAAAAATAAAACATTTTATTTTGTAAAAAATTATACATTATATATTTCTCTTTCTAGTTCTTTCTCAAAGCATTTGTAATTTAGTTGGTGTTTCAATTTGAAACTTGTCTTTTTATTTAGTTTTTTTTTCAATATAGGAATATATCTAGTCTGGACTATGCAGCACCTACATCCTCTGGGATTTTATAATGCATTTCATACGTCTTTAAAATAGTTCAGTCAGGTGTAAGGAGGACATAGAAGGACTTGTTTTTTGAGTTTCTAGTTGAGTTTTTTTGGAAGTTAATTTATCTTTTGTTTGTGGTCAACACTTTTTGAGTTCTAGCTACTGACATTACCGCATAAAATGCGGTTAATTAACCGTTAATAATGAAAAAGGCATTTTTAACCACTTGGTTAAAGTTAATTACATTATTAATTCGTTATCATCAAATCAGTCTTATCATCTATAAAGATAACATACTGTGCCGACAACAGACTTGGTAATAAAGGCAAGGCAATGTTGATGCTGTACTTGTACAAACAAAACAAGCACAAAATAAAACACAGTAATGTAATAAAAACAAATTTAATATCTCTTACTCCCATATGGAGGTGTGGTACTCTGGTCGATCGAACAGCAGCTCCCTGGCGGGGGGCTGCGAGGAGTGCGAGGGGTGGTGATGCAGGAGTTGCAGCACGCCGGTCCCGATGGCGGCCGGCACGCCCAGGATGATGGACTCGGAGACACCCTCGATGCAGTCCCGCTGACCGTAGTACGCCGCGTCGAACAGGTGGTCCGCGGTCTTTTCGAACTGTACACACATATTTATAATAGACATCTACGAGAAACTTTTTTTCTGACTTTTCCAAAGCGTTTGATTTAGTTGATCATAAGAGATTGCTTAAAAAGACTTTGTTGTTGGCGTCAAAAACGCTTTAAATTTAATAAAATCTTACTGATAGAACACAAAATTGAAGGTTAGCAGCGCTACGTTTAACAAGTCACTTGTGCAAATATGTGTACTTCAAGGACCTATTCTCGGTCCATTTTTATTCCTAATTTACATTAATGATCTGCCGCTTGCTATCAGGATAGATGCGGCATAGTATTGTTTGCAGTAATAATATTATAAACGCGAAAGTTTCTGAGTATGGATGTTTGTTATGCTTTCATGCAAAAACTACTGAACGGATTTTGGTGAAACTTTACAGTAATATAACTTATGCACCAGAATAACATGTAGGCTATATTTTTCATTGACATTTATCGCGGGTGAAACCGCGAGTACTGCTAGTATATAATAAAGTGACAAAACTGACGCTGGCGAGGTTGAGGACGGACTCCTTCATCCTGGCGAGCCCGTAGCGCGTGATGCCGAGCACCTCCCCGCGGGCCGTCATCTGCCCGGCCAGCAGCTCCACGTGGCGGCGGTCCACGCTCATACCGTGCCCCTCCATCACCGCCTGGATCTCGCTAATGATCGTCGACTTGGCCGCCTCGATGCCGAGTGTGTGGTACACCTAATAATTGAAACTATACATGTACAAAAACTTTTAAACAAGAGTCTTGTTTGAAAATATTTATGGTATTCTTGATGCTATTCGAATAAAAAAATATAGGATTATTCAAAAGTGCTTATATTGAATATATTTGAATAAAACCTAATTTTATTCTGTTGTCAATTATCTAAGTCATGGTGACCCCAACACTTCACTTGCCATGCTTTCTTTTAATTTATCGGGCGGGCCTACCGTGGTTCCCAGAATTAATTTTTGCTTTGATATCGATGTTTACTTCACCGGAGAGTCAGTCAGAAATTTACATTAACAGAAACTTTTTTGTCTCAGGCAGATTTGAACTAACTGACTGGCGTATTACAAGGGCAAACCAAATCGTTGGTATCATCTATTTAAGTATGTACGTACAAACAAAACTCACTTCTAGAATATTGTTGGATGTGGTCTTATTCCCGTTGACACCGAACGTAGCAATGACGTCACGCAGACCATCGCCCTCCACGCACAACTTGTACCTGTAAACAATCAGGCAAGGTTTAAAATAGATTCTAAAAATAATTAATTATTTAATGATACAGTCAATTGTTCAATAATTGATAGATGGCAAATAAATTTAGTCTTAGTGTTAGGGGCGAATATCATGTGGGATGTAGTGGACGTAGTGGGAGGTGAGCAGGGACCTGGGGGCCCCGTGCGCGTCGCAGGCGATGACAGCGCGCGCGACCTGGGGCGGCCTCGTAGCCCCTTAGTGTTAGTGGTGGGAGGTGAGCAGGGACCTGGGGGCCCCGTGCGCGTCGCAGGCGATGACAGCGCGCGCGACCTGGGGCGGCCTCGTAGCCCCTTAGTGTTAGTGGTGGGAGGTGAGCAGGGACCTGGGGGCCCCGTGCGCGTCGCAGGCGATGACAGCGCGCGCGACCTGGGGCAGGCCCTTGACGACGACGGCGGGGAGCTGCCGCGCGAGCTGCTGGAGCCCCACGTTGAGCCAGCCGCCGTGCTTGGCCGGCTCGCCCACCACCTTCAGCGCCCAGTCCGACACCACCTCGATGTTCCCAGGTTTCACTTTCAGCTTCGATGTGCAGATTCTGAAATAAGTTTCACACTTCTAGTTGTGGACCTTTTCCTTTTCTGTTATAATTTGAAAAGTATAAAACCTAAGTTTCTTGTCAATTCTTCTTAGTTTGAATGCACTCCGAACTGACGGCAGATTTGACATATCACAAGTCTGTAATAGACCTACATGAATAAAGATATTTTGATTTGATTTAATAAATAGTAATCGTTACTTAAATACGTCACACAGAATTATCTAGTCTCAAACTAATGTGAACTTGTACTAAATATTAAAATAAACGACTGATAAAAATATCTACATGTATATTATATACACAGAAAACAGCTAGTACACATAATCGTACTAATGAATACAAATGTTTATAACATGAAGTGAGGAACCGAACTCAAGTCTCTCAAAATTAAGACGGTGCTAAACATCCAAACCACTGAGGCCATCAAATAAAAACAAAAAATATACTTACGAATATTTTATGGACTGCACGTTAACTTCTAAACAGAGCAGCCTTATTCTCTCTGCGTCGAGTCTGATCAGCAGGAAGCACTCATTGGGCAGATATACTTCGTCTATGTAGGTAGTGATCTGTACACATAAAAATGTACTATAGGAGCTAAGTGGACACTACAACAGATCTAAATTTGAAATTTCATTATGGGAATGAGTCATCTACGAAATTGCCATCTCTTTAAACAGAGTCCATGTGTATTGTTAATTTATCATATGTAAATTTATGTATATGCATGTGCAATTATAAATAAATAAATTAGTAATATAATAATAATAATAAAATCAGCAAAAGCTCAAAAATGAGACATCAGTGAAAATATCTTAGCTTGTGGAGACTGGTCTGGTACGAACACTGATTAGACTATTTGCTTTTGCAATAGCATATGCTGGTGGTCACTCTATTCTCCTATTTGAAATTAAAAATGAATCTGTATTATTGTCAACATATATAACATTTATTTGAAAAGAATACGAGCCGAGTTACTTGTCAGTTCTTCTCATCTCGAAATCATTCCGAACTGACGCTAGATTTAACATATCATAAGAGTCTGTAATAGACCTACATGATTAAAAATATTTTGAGTATATAATTTTCCTGAGGTTTACTCAGGTAAATTCACATAGTGCCATCTAGTCCCAAGTTAAGCAAAGCTTATGTTATGGGTACTAGATAACTGAAGGACATACTTAAAAACACTTTCATTTTTTAAATGCCTCCACAATATACATAAAAAGCAACTAGATCAATATAAATAATCATACTCATGAATACAAATGTTTGCACCGTGCGAGGAATGGAACCAGCCACCATAGGAAGTAATGCGATGTTCTAAACCGACAAACTATATATTTTACTGTCTAGTCATCAAATTAATGTAGGAATCTGTAGTCTATTAAAAAATACAGTAAATAATATCTATACAGATAAATAAAATTGAAGTGTCTGTTTGTAATATTGAAATAACCGTTTTATACTATATGCCTGCAATATAAATACGGTACATACACAAAAATATTTTTTTTTACAATTATTGTCTGTCTGTCCGTTTGTTCCGGCTAAACTCTGAAATTTATGGGCCGATTTTGACGGGTAGCTGTGGCAGGTAGCTGACGTAATAAGGAGTAACTTAGTTTACTTTTATTTTAGAAAATACTCTCATAATTTTTTTTGTTAAATTCCACGCGGACGAAGTCGCGTAGTATAGCTAGCAATTAATAAAAGTGTAATAATGTATTTTAAAATCTATCTTTTTTTTAATAGATTTACCATCGGTTACCATCAAGTAACAAGTTACAAAATAACAACCAGTCCGTTATTTTAATATTTACACATTTCTTAATCTTCAATAAATAAAATACCTCTCCTAGCGTCGTCTTCTCTATTCTCCCCTTAACTCTTCTAGCAAACTCTTGGTCCTCCGGTTTCATCAGTTCCGCGGTGATGATGGGCGTGGATATGTTCCTGGAGGCGTTGATGATCTCCTTAACTCGGGGCACGCCCTGCGTGATGTTCATGGACGCGACGCCGGCGAAGTGGAAAGTCTTCAGGGTCATCTGGGTGCCGGGCTCGCCTATACTCTGATAATGAAATCATTTCAGGAATAAATGCATTGCAATTTGGACCTTAGAATCTTAAGAATATGGTGCAGGTTTGTGAGGAATACATTAATAGATTTTTGAATCTAAATATATGATAATTAACAAATAAAATTTGAGTGTCAAGTAACTGCATAAATATAAATACGTAAATACACCAAAATAACATTTTTTACAATTTGTGTCTGTCTGTCTATATATATATAAATAAAATTGTACTAAGGAGTGCCGGGCTCGATGTTTGGTAATATTGAAATAACGCGCCGACGTGCCGGGCTCGATGACTGCTCGCTGGTACTTGTCGTGGCAGGCAGCGGCTGCAGCGCTGCACGTGCACGTTACCTGTGCGGCGAGCGCGCCGACGGCGGTGCCGGGCTCGATGACTGCTCGCTGGTACTTGTCGTGGCAGGCAGCGGCTGCAGCGCTGCACGTGCACGTTACCTGTGCGGCGAGCGCGCCGACGGCGGTGCCGGGCTCGATGACTGCTCGCTGGTACTTGTCGTGGCAGGCAGCGGCTGCAGCGCTGCACGTGCACGTTACCTGTGCGGCGAGCGCGCCGACGGCGGTGCCGGGCTCGATGACTGCTCGCTGGTACTTGTCGTGGCAGGCGCGCACGAACCGCACCAGCTGCGCCAGCGACAGCCGCGCGCCGCTGGCGGCCGGGTGCTGCGCCGCACGTGCCTTCGCCGCCACGCCCTTCAGGAATGTCCTGCAACATCAAGTCATGCCTCATGTGTCATACTCGGGAACAGATACTACTTGAAACGACTGATGTAAGCTAATTAGGTCTCTCTCATCCCTTATTCTTATCAGGTGTTACTTATAAAAAATAATATATTTCGGCCACTACACTACTAATTATTTTTCTTACTTAGGCCGTTAATATACAGCCGATCATTAACGGGTTACCCGAATGCAACTAACTCTCCGAAATGCAGACAAATTGTCAACTGACGACTGTGATATAAAAAGTCTTACTGTAACGTAAGATTAAAACATTCTAACTAAAGTTTAATCTAGTCTGTTCTTTCAACCTGTTAATAGTAATAACCAGCTCACCCTCAATAACACTTACAGCAATTCGTTTTTAAACTCCGGCGTACAAGTCTTGAAGTCGTCTAGAGCCAACGTTTCCTGTGCAGCAAGTACTATACCATCACCATCTAAGGGTTCGTCGTCACTGAAACAAAAATATCATTTTTAATCACAACAGAGAAATGTGACTTCTTTACAAAAAACATACACAGCGCGACAGGTGCACGGGCCGGTCGCGGGCCTCCGTGCAGCGTGCACAGTGCACAGTGCACAGCACACAGCACACAGCACACAGCACACAGTACACAGTACACGTACCGGTGGGTGCGGGCGCGCACGTCGGCCAGCACGCGCGGCAGGTGCACGGGCCGGTCGCGGGCCTCCGTGCAGCGTGCACAGTACACAGTACACAGTACACGTACCGGTGGGTGCGGGCGCGCACGTCGGCCAGCACGCGCGGCAGGTGCACGGGCCGGTCGCGGGCCTCCGTGCAGCGTGCACAGTACACAGTACACAGTACACAGTACACACGGCACGTACCGGTGGGTGCGGGCGCGCACGTCGGCCAGCACGCGCGGCAGGTGCACGGGCCGGTCGCGGGCCTCCGTGCAGCGTGCACAGTACACAGTACACAGTACACAGTACACAGTACACAGTTCACGTACCGGTGGGTGCGGGCGCGCACGTCGGCCAGCACGCGCGGCAGGTGCACGGGCCGGTCGCGGGCCTCCATGTACGCGGGATCGAGTCCGTCGCTGCCGTACCGGAACTCCACCACCTCACCGGTCGCGTTGCGCACCGTCATGTCGTAGTGCAGCACCAGATCCTCCAGCGACTGAACAAAAACACGAACAGTTGGAGAATGGGGACAAACCCCATTGTTAGCATGTCGGGTTGACCTCACATCTTATATACGTGGCTTTTACCCACATAACAAGACAGATAAGGGATGTAACAGCACAAATTATTCGCGAAAAACAGGTACGTGCCAACTGTTGGCGCAACGCGATCGCCTCGCTTATATTTATAAACTCGGTGCGACGCAGGAGCGCACTCGTATTGCCGTCTCACTTACTGAATTGAACTACCTGTTTTACGCACATAAGTTGTAAATTAATCCAAATAAAATTGTCCACGAATATGATTCAATTAGTAGTTTCACTCGTACAAGCCACTACAGGGGAATTGTTAGAATGCGGCCAGATGACCCCATTGCTAGCGATGTTCACCTCCACGCTGCTCCCACATTGTGAGAAATCGCTGGTGAATTTGTCCCGATGAGCTGACTTAACCTCATGCTCATTTATAATCTTCCACTGGTGCCCAGCCTTCGTAAACCGTTAGCTCAAGCGGGCAATATATGGTAACCATATCGATTTTGCGCCGTCGTCGCTAGCAAACCGGCTGCTTCAATATAACCCCTACGTCTGCCATTAACCGCGACGATGATGGCTTCGTCGTGGTACAAAAGAAGAGGCGCACAAACAGGGTCAATAGGAATCAAACTGCACTCACTGGGCCCAACTTTCTGCTGCGTGCTGCTACACCGACCACGACAATGTACCTGTCCCGTCTACATTACGCCACTAAGGAGCAGGACATTGTCGATTATATTCGTACCAAGAGTAACCTGACATTGAGGGTAACGCAGCTGAAGTCGAGTCACAACGCGAGTTTCAAAGCGTTTGTGGCCCTGGTCCCCACCGACTTGCTGCCCACCTTCATGAAAGAGGACTACTGGCCGAAAGGTGTGGTGTATCGGCGCTACCGTGGCAGATTGCCGTCTTCAGTGCAGTGATCACACAGACAATATAGTTGTACTATAAGGTATTTATAATATGGGCCTAGTTGTGAAATAAATGAATAAATAAAAAATAAAAATTATCGCATAATATGACCAGAAGGTGCACCATTCCATTATCATCCATAAAAAATATATATGTACATATATCGCATAATATAACCTGTCTGATTAAGACACGACGCTGTAAACATACAGTCATAAACAAAGCCGGTTACCTTGACGAGTCTCCGCTGCAGGTAGCCAGTCTCGGCAGTCTTGACGGCCGTGTCAACGAGACCCTCGCGGCCGCCCATGGTGTGGAAGAAGAACTCGGTGGGTGTCAGCCCCGAGTAGAAACTGTTCTTGACGAAGCCGCGCGCCGCCGGGATTTTAGCTAGTGTTATTTGCATTTATTTAATATACTGTAGAATCCCGATTATCCGGATCAAATTACCAAAATACCAGGGGTATTACGTATAATTGAAAATTCGCATACAATCGGATTACAAAGTAAATCAACAAATATTTAAATTTTTTATTATGTAATGGGTTTTACTTAAATATGTAATACGATAGATAAAAAACAAGCAATAGCTAACGATAGATTATATAATACCCATACATATATAATTACATAATACCCATCTTAAAATTTTGGTTGAAAATAACTTATTATTGATCTTTGACATAATGAATCACATCTTAACATTGTGGCCAAGTCTCTGATGCCCTTTAGTGTTAATAACTGTATGGAATCCGATTCGTCCTTTCTTGAAAGCTACATCTAGAGCTTCAAAAGCTTCACTTGACATACAACCCAGTTTCAGTCTCTTCATCTGCTCTCTCTTTACTGTTCAAATGCTCAAATATCTAAATCGATATATATCGATATATCGATTAGAGCCGAAACGAATGAGCCCTGATAATCGAATGTTCGGATAAACGGGATTCTACTGTATATAAATATTATAAAATTGATTTATACATTGGACCCCGCACTAGGCGAACTTGTAACCCAGAATCTCCGACGGGGGACGGTCTTTTGAAGACTTTTACTACATTATAGAAAAAAGGTAAAGATAGATAAAGCACTAACAGCGTCTCTCGAAGTGCGGCAGCGAGCGGTCCTCGAACCCGTTGGGCACGCGCTTCCCGTTCAGCGCCTGCTGGCCCACGCACGCGATCATCTGCGAGATGTTTATGTTCGACCCTGGTAACAACAACAGTTCAGTTATCTTAACGTTGTCCATAGGTCACGCCAGCTCATACAACGCTAGCCAGTCATATACCGCTGACTCTAGCGGGAGATTGGGGGATGAGTACTGTTAGTAGTGGATTAATATCTCCATTGCTAGCAATGTACCAAATCAGGTTGACCACACGCGTTAGAACTCTGGACTCCATGGAAACTATCGTGATAAATTCCTGGAGATTTTGTCAAGATGGGCTAACTGACCTGACCTCATGTTCATCTTATCATCTTCCACTGATGCCCCGCCAGTATTAAACGTCAGCGCAGGCAGGTAATTCCATTATCATCTATAAAATATTCTTTGACGCAATGTCTGGTATAAGAGCAATACAAAAGTTTAGATACGGTACCTTTAGAGCCACTTTGTGCCATGATAAGGGGCGCGTTGGTAGGGTGTAACTCTCTGAAACACGCTTTCGCCGCCAACTCTCTGAAAATCACATTATTACACTGCAACATTAACAAAATGAGCAAGAAAGCCAGTAAAACAATGTATTATAATGTTAAAACGTACCTAGTTATAAATACGCAGTAAAATGCACTTTTAAATATAAGATTTTAAATACATGTTACAAAATTTTCTTAGCAAAGGAGGTCTAAAAGAGATCTCTTCCCGTCAGCCCAAAACAGCGTGAAACAGGGAGTGATGCGCGAGTCACAGTACTATTGAATTTTGATATCTGTATTTTTAATAACTTTAAATCGACTTCAAAAAGCGTCCTAAAATATATAAAGAGTGAAAGAAGAATAGGATAAGAGGCATGAGACCTTAGTCCTCTGGTAAATATATTTAAAAAATAACCTGATTTTACCGGTCGGTAAATTATGAAAGTACCAATTCTAACCTGATGCTGCTCAGCTCGCTCAGCATGACCGCCTCGAGGCTCTCCTCCATAGTGCAACCGGGCTGGCACGGCAGCGTGCCCTTCTCCATTTCCAATATGTACCCGTCGCATTTTGAATATCTGACAATGGACACATTCAATGACCTCACTGTCAATCAATTTAATCCGACGAATTTACTCGTCTCAGAGGGTTCTGAGACGAGTAAATTCGTCGGATTAAATTGATTTAAACTCATGGTGAATTTATGACGTCCATAAAAAAAACTCAGGATGAGGGAAGGTGATTGTTTGTAATGTGGATTAATAATCCCATTGCTAGCAATGTACCATGTCAGGTTGACCTCCATGTGTTTCCCCCTGGAAACCATCGCGATAAATTCATGCTGAATTTACCACGACGGCCTAACTGACTTGACCTCATGCTTATATTATCATTCTTCACTGATGCCCCGCCAGCGTAAACTGTTAGCGCAGGCGGGTGCACTATTCCATTATCATCCATAAGAAATGGACTACTCACCCAATCTCCAGCAGTTTGTTCTTGGCCTCGATGAGTTTCTTGCCGGGCGTGACGTCATTGATACCGAAGCTGAACCCTCGGTTCATCATATAATAGGACGCCATTCGCGCCAACCTATTCAATATCATAATGTTAAAACAAAAAAACAATAGAAAAATAAATCCGATACAATAGGACTATTTCAAAATTATATAATTAGGTGAGCCCTAAGCTCCGTTGTCCCCTATGCTATAAAAAATAATCCTTTATACAGGTCATTATAATGACCTACTAAGGACAGCAGTGACATAATGTTATGTAGAGACATATGTACTTAATAAAATTATATACTAATTTAAGTTGATAATTATATAGGACCATTCAGACTCCGCCATCTAATCTCAAACTAAGCAGAATTTGTAATACAAAACAATGTTAAATATAGTAAATACAATACGCTAAAGACCATTTCAAACTGACATACTCAGGTGAGCCGCAATAATGTTTGTCCCCTATGTTATAAGTGTCTATAATAATTATATAGGACCATTCACACAGCGCCATCTAGTTTCAAACTAAACAGAATTTGTCCTACAGTAAATAAACCCAATACACTGGAGACCACTTCAAACTGACAAACATAATCAGGATAGCCACAAGCTCTTTTGTCCCTTATACTACAAAAAAGTGTCTAATAATTATATAGGACCATTCACATAGCGCCATCTAGTTTCAAACTAAACAGAATTTGTCCTACAGTAAATAAACCCAATAAACTAAAGACCATTTCAAAATGACATTATCAGGTGAGCCACTAGCTCGTTTGTCTCTTTCTTGTCTCATCATCTTTCACACAGTCCATCCTTCTCTTTTTCGGCCTTCCTCTGCCCTTATGACCATACTTCACACTCTAAACAATGATTGGTTGAAATGTTGATGATGAAATGTAATAACAATGTAGTTGTTTACCTCCACATGGCCCTAACGGCGTACTCCTCGCCCCAGTCCCGTAGCAGGATGTAGAAGATGCTGCTCTTGGTGCCAGAGCCAAGGGTGCTCTTGTCCATCGACCCGCACATCAGCTCCGAGTTCCTTATTATCACATCTATTCAAAAACAATTAAATCCAAAAATATTTTGTATGTAGGTCTTTCAGGCTCTTATGATATGTCAAATCTATCGTCAGTATGAAGTGTTTTCGAGCTAAAAAGAACTGACAAGAAACTCGACTCTTCTATTCAAATGAGTTTGTACACATTAAAAAATACAGGATCATTTAAACAAAAAAGTATATACCCTCAGGATTGCTATACTAAATTAAGTAGTTAGACGTATTTTTATACCAGATATATTGCTGTCAGAAGTAATTAATTTTTTTCGGACTCTAATGGTCTTGCTGCAGCTAGCCTTTACAGCTTCACCGGACGATATGTTTCTTTGGTTTGTTGATGATGTTTCCGTTGCAAGAGTTAGTCACTCATAGTAAATTCCTTAGTTGCGGCCAGATTTTAACATTGTTATTGGAACAGATTATCAATTTTATGGTAAATAAAACTATTTACCTCTGACAGCGTGAATCAGCTTCTGACCACGGCTAGTGCAACCTAGCCTAAACATCAAGAGAGGTAAATACCATACCATATCTTTAAATACTATAAAATTATTCGTATTAAAACCGTTTAACTATAATAATACTGTGCACTGAACGCGAAATTTGCTCGTTCTTATGATGTGTCTGCGTACTGAATGAGTGGTAGAATAAAAAATGTGACTATGCAAAGGTGCTTATACTATGTTTACTTGGATAAAAATCATTTCTATTTCAATTTAAACATAAAGATAGTCAGTCAATTACAACATTTGTATATACGTACACGAGTCCTGCACGCACATATCCTCGTTGCCGGTGTAGTTCTTGCCTTTGGTCTCCAAATTCGCCTTTACCTCACAACGATTGTTTGGTTTCATTATTAAACTGAAACAAATACATGCAGTTAATCGATTTCAGAGTTTTATACCGCCTAGCATCGCATCTTTCGAGCTATACAATAGTGCGCAAACTGCTAATCTCTGCTCACGATTCTCTTACTGAAATCTGCTTACGATTTTTTGTCTGACTATTTTAGAATATCATGCTGTTGGCCTCAATAGGCCTTTACGATTTCACCGGGCGATAAGTCGTTTCTCGAGATGGTACTACAAACCCGCAAAATGACTTATGGATCGGCTGAAGGTCAAATTGACTCCTAGCTGACGGTTTCGAACCTCGGCTCAGGCCGTCGTAATTTCGAACCCCATTTGAATTGGACGGACATAGAACTGACAATAAATACGACTGAGATATTGGTTTTATTATAATTTATTTATTTACTTATTAGCACACAAGACAGATTACAATCAGTACTAGAATTTGATTAGGAGCGTGTAGTTTGGTACAAAACTGGATTGTTATCCAACACTTAAAATTAAAAGTAATATTAATATCATTAATATTACTTGGAAATAATAATCTACTTCCTCCTGTAAGAAGCACTAATTATGATGGACGACTGAGGCTTTGAAGCCGGCTACCGCAAGGGAAACCCCAAGTAGCGCCCGTGACTTGTGACACGGTTTGAAAGGCCCTTTTAGAATGCATTAACACTCACCTTCACTACTTGCAGCTTCCCCCCAGACCCAACTAAGATCGGGATAAACCCATTACTAATACAATTCACTTTAATATTCAAAACACAACCGGCACGCTCTGCGCTCGTTGACCGAATGCCGCGGCTCACGCAACGAAAGAGGATTATTCAACTACCGACCTCCGTATTTATAGACCAAAGTCAGTGTAATGGGTTGGTCTATAAATACTAGATGGCGCTATTTACAATATTCGTAATAATCCTTATATTGGGTACTTCATTAGTACTAAAAGCAAACTACCTTCTTTTAATATATTTTTAAAATATCGGATTTTTTCTACAATAATGATGTGAATTCTAACACTCCAAAATAGGGGTATTTTATGGATGATAACGAAATGATGCAGCCGCCTGTGCTAACGGTTTACGCTGGTGAGGCACCAGTGGAGGATGATGTTTATGATGATTTAGGGTCGGCGATGCGCACGTGACACCTTTGGTGTTTCAGATGTCTATAGGCAACCGTTTATAATCAGATTGTTAGTTATGTATGTAGTATAAAAAAATGAAATGAGCATGAATTTAGGTTCAATTAGTTCATCGTGGCTAACTGCAATTTACCGCGATTGTTTCCGGGGCAACGTGCGTGGAGGTCAACCCGATATGATATATTATAAGCATTAGCTTAAAAGAAGGATAACTATGACTATTCAAAGCTGCTTAAAAGTTAAGTTTGAAAATTGAAATTTGAATGAATGATTTTTTATTATATTCTATTCTATTAGCGCCCCCATTCCACATTACTAACAACTCCTTTTTCCTCCAATTGCCCAGAGCTAATATGATTATTACCTGAATATCTGCTTCCCGGTCCAGAGTTTGGCCGGTTTGAGTATAGCCGGCGTGGGCATATCGATGTGCATGGTGGCGTCGGGCCCGGCCAGCAGGCACGCGGCCAGCTGATGCGCGTGGTCCCGAGTCAGGAACGTGTCGCGCTGCGTCACCAGGTACCCGCCCGTGATGAAGTCCTGCGTCGCAGCGATCAGCAGCTCGCCGTTACGGGGCGTCACCAGGTTCGACTTGTTCTGGATACATGAGGGTTTTATGACTTATTTATTTACTAGCTGACCCGCGCAACTTCATCTGCGTTTCATTTCCACACCTTTTGCAATATTTTTCATTGCAGTTCCGCTCTTATTGATCGTAGCGTAAAGTTATATAGCGTAAAGCCTTCTTCGACAAATGGACAATAAATACAAAATGTTTTTTTTCTTCAAACCCGTAGTTCCTTAGTTCCTTAGTTTAGCACGTCAAACAAATAAATAAACTCTTCAGCTTTATAATATTAGTATAGATTTAACATCAATGCACAAAAACAATATGTACATATGGCGGACTTAATACCTTGCGGAGTTATCTACCAAGCAACCATGAGTGGGACAGAGAAATATTGTTGGCGGTACACTAATATAAATGAGACATCAAATATATATGATCATAGATTTCATCAGGGTCTATGACGAAGTATGCTCGTATGCGAAAACTTATAATAATAATTAATCTAGTTCACTTCCATGCCACTAGATGGCGCTAAGACAAATTTGCATAGGGATGGTTACATTTTCTTGTGTGATGATTGCTTTTCAACCATTAAAAGAGTTAACAAACTAGGGCAGTGTTTAATGTCGTTAACAGCCCGTGGTGAAATCTTCGTCGCCGCGAACTATAATTCGCCGTTGCGGGGCGTCAAGTTCGACTTGTTCTGGATTTCATAGTGCACCACCACCTACCTATCTTTCCTATACTCAAAACTTAGATCTCAGGTTTCCTGTAAGGGACTGCTTTAAGCGATAAGGCCGCCTTTTGTTTAGCACATTTTATGGTCAGGTCCTATGATGAAATTCGATCGATCTTTCTGGATACATAAATAGGGTAGAGATTATTTTATTTATTTGCAGAATACAATGTTACAACTAGGTCTTACAATATGAATATTCGTTCAATGTATTCAGCCTACTAACAGGCATGCAAAATTTATATACATTATTACTTTTATAAATTGAATTAATTTTTAAAATATTTCTAATAATTAAATTAAATTGTTTATATATTAAAATATGTCAAAACTAACAATATTTTACATGTCAAAAAATCCTTAATACTATAAAAACAATTCTATTCAACGGATGTTCAGGAAATTTCTTGTTTATCATTTTTAAATTGAAATGACTTGGTGATCTTACCCCCATGAGTATGAGAGCCTCGGCTCGCGCCTCCTCGGTCTGCGGGAGGTGCATGTTCATCTCGTCGCCGTCGAAGTCCGCGTTGTATGGTGTGCACACACATTCATTGAACCTGGAACACATATTCAAATTAAAATTCTAAGCCATTATTAACCTAATTCCACAAGTTAAGAGCTATATTTATTATGAGTATGATTGTTTGTATCGGTCTGGGTGTTTTCTATGTATAATATGTATGTATTTACAAAAAAAAATCTATGTATATTTTGTCTAGTACCCATAACACAAGCTTTAGCTAGCTTAACTTGGGTATAGATGGCGCTGTGTGAATTGTCCTGAGATTATTATTATTATTACCAGCTGTGCCCGCGATTTTATACGCGTGCAGTTTATAGCCTATATGTTATTCTGATGTACAAGTTATATTATTATTGTAAACCTTTATTGAAATCCATTCAGCAGTTTTTGCGTGAAAGAGTAACAAACATCCATCCATCCATACTCACAAACTTCCGCGTTTATATACTAGTAAGATATACCTGAAGGTCCTCTGTGGCTGCACCTTGGCCCGGTGGCACATGATGGAGAGCTTATGCAGGGACGGCTGACGGTTGAACAGCACCACGTCTCCGTCCACCAGGTGGCGCTCCACGATGTCACCACACTACAAAATATGCACGTAAAGGTATTTTGGATCAAATTTCTTCATTTTTGGTAGAATTTGAACAAATGCACACCACTGTCTTCTCTATATCTGGTTTCAATCAGATAGTGCTCCAGTTGATACAGATAGTCCCGCTTTATTGGGGCTGCTTTCAAGCCGAAGAAACCGCTCACGTAACACTAATGTGTTACGTGAGCATCAGGAGGCTTCTGCGCTTCTGGGAGGAGTTTGGCTGGCTACTTTAGTACTCTCGGCTCTATACGCACAACGGTCCAGAAGAGGGGCTAAATGTGGAGAATAGTCTATATTACATACATTAGTGATCCGGATTGAAGGATTAAATAGGTGAAAAGAATAGGGCAATGCTTGAGGGGGTACCTCAAGGATCCACATTACGACATCACACTTACGGTCCTATTCCGACTGTAGTTGGACCATACGATGTGACGCATTCATTGCCTCAACGACACGATTTATTTTATTTATAAGTATACCCTACATTTGTCTTATTTTTTCGTTCAACTCTTAAGAATCGTATAGCATGTTATCTTTAGGTGGGTAATGGTGTCTGAGATACAGGCTAGGCCTAGTTTAGACACTACTGCACTGGACTTGATATTACACACACTTAAACTTAAATTGTAAGTAAGAATAAATTATTTAAAAGAGCAACACACAAGTTTCTTGCTTATTCTTCTTGTGATGAGACAGCATTCCGAATGAGCGGTAGATTAAAAAAAAATGTTATGACTATTCAAAAGTGCTTCAATGTAAGTTTATTTGAATAAATGATTTTCTATTCTATTATTCTATTAAATAGTTTTAAAACTGTTTATATATATGAATTATTCTATATATATAAATTAATATAGATATATAACCTTAGTTAAGTCCCTTTTGTATATGTTTTTTTTTTTGCACAATAAAGTTATTATTATTATTCATATAGAATTGTAGTCGGTTGTCCCATCCCATCAGTTAAACGGTCAACTTACCTTAAGCTCCTGCGCGATCTTCTCTCTGTTGCCATACTTGAGGTATTTCTTGTGCTGCAGCCCGCGTTGCTGCACGTAGTTGGCGCCGGGGTGGACGTCGGGTCCGTTGCACACCAGCTGCCGCAGCCACGCCAGGTTCGCGGGGAACACCTGCTCCGGGTACGTGAGGATCTTGGCCACGTGGACTGGTACGCCCACCTGGTGGAGAAATAATATATCAAAACTGTCACTGAAACCAGCAGTATTTTCACATAGGACATACAATAAAGCTGAGTGAAGCCATATCAGTGCCTATATGGATGTAAAATATGATTATCTTTTGTTTTTAATTATCTACATAACACACACAACCTTCAGATATATACGTGAATTTGTAGACATACCTCTTGAATCTGCAGATTGGGGTCTGGCGATATGACAGTACGGCTAGAGAAATCAACACGTTTCCCGGACAGATTGCCGCGGAAGCGTCCCTGCTTGCCCTTCAGCCGCTGCACCAGACCACGACCAGGTTTCTTTGGCTGTAACAATTAACCGCTAATAGAAATACTTACCAATAAACTTATACTACTAATAGGAAAGTGACTTTGTTTGTATGAGTATAAAGATTTTTAGTACATTTTGTCTAGTAAATTTTGTAAAAGTCATCATACCTATTTTCATGTATATTATGTAGAAATTAAAAGAGGTTGAAGGGTAATCGTCTATCATGGTATGGACATGTAATGCGTAGGAACGAGGATAATATTTTAAGAAAGATGTTACAAATGAATGTGGATGGTTATAAGGGCAGAGGAAGGCCAAAAAAAGAGATGGATGGACTGTGTGAAAGATGATATGGTAAGAAAGGAAGTAAATAACGCGATGACTGCGAACAGGGATGAATGGAAGAGAAAAACATATTACGCCGACCCCAAATAAATGGGATAAGGAAGAAGCAGATGATGATATGTATGAAATTAAAAAAAAAATGTATTTATATCACTTGTCTAGTACCCATAACAGAAGCTCTGCTTAGTTTGGAACTAGATTACGCTATGTAAATTGATCAGAATTAATTTTATTATCATTATCATCATCATCATCATCACCGCCACCACCACCACCATCATCATCATTATCATCACCAACATCGTTATTATCATTTGTATACCTGCATAGAGAGTGGTATGCCCGACATCTCGCTGTTGATGTAGAGCGCCACATGCAGCTGAAGGTAGTCCCAGTCCTCCTGCACCAGGTCGCTCTTGCCGCCGCTGGCGATGTGCCGGGATATGACATCGTTGATTAACAGGATCTCTGACTGCTTCATTGTTAGGTCATCTTCATTACTACAATACATATTAATATGTTAAGCAAAAACTTTCTACCCCTTTCTATGGAAATTACACGAACGGAAGCAAGTATGAAATTTTACATTTTTTTCTATAATAATGCTTAATACTATGATGTGTTTAAGTTATTGATAGTCAACATGTCAACAATAGAGGACCAATTTGGAAGCCACTATTGAGACGGATTTAGAAAGACAGATTACCTGGCAATTGTGTAATGTTTATGATTAAATATTAGCAGACATATACATATATATAAATATATAAACCTACATATATACTACATATTGCAAGATATCAGTGTGAAGGATGGACCCCAAGACGACGAGCAAAGAAAACAGTAACCGGTATAGTCTTAAAACATTGTGTAATAATGACTTATATCATGTAAAAACAATATAATATTATAAAAAATATAAATAATAAAAAAGGTTTATAAAACAGTTTCTAACAATCAGAAAAAAAACAAAGGAACTATGAAGAGAGATAATACGATCTTAGTCTATTTTTAAATGTTGCTTGTGTCTTAGCTGAACGAATGGAGAGTAGTATAGTAGTTTCAGAGATGAAAGACTAAATTATACTTTTATGATACTATATAGTTCTATGTTTACTTTAAAACCAGATGGCGCTGTTATAACCAACATCTTTATGACTAAATCTACATACGTGCCAGCCTTCATTTCTGACGCCACACTGGGCCTGATGCAGAGCGGTGGAACCGGCAGCCGAGTGAGTATTAAGTCTTCGGGCCGCGTGAGTTTCACATTCATTCCCAGCAGTGGGATGTCCTCGTCCGGTATTCGACGGAACAAATTCAGTACCTGCAATAGTTAAGTACAAACCGTCCAATTCCGAAATAGATTTACTAGTAATTTATAATAATAATAATAATCTCAGGACAATTCACACAGCGCCATCTAGACCCAAGTTACGCTAACTAAAGCTTGTGTTATGGGTACTAGATAACTGATATAAATACATAGATACTTCTTTTTGTAAATGCATACATAATATACATAGTAAACATCTAGACCGTCACAAAAATCATACTCATGAATATAGATGTTCCGTGCGAGGAATCGAACCCGCGACTATCGGATGTAAAGCGGCATCTTAACCCATTAGACCACTATCTAATACCTATATACATAATACATAAGCTTTAGCTAGCTTAAATTGGGTCTAGATGGCGCTATGTGAGATTACTATTATTATTATTAAATATCAATCGTCTAATACCCATAACATAAGCTCTGCTTAGCTTGGAACTAGATGGCGCTGTGTGAATTGTTTTAGAGATATTTATATGTAACATATGGATTATAATAACCTGCCTACCGTTAGAGGGCTGAGCTCTATAATAAGCCCACTATTTATCATAGCAGCTAATTCTTTATTCGATTCCTTAGCGTCATTGAAATCTTTCAGTGCTCTCTTCACAACAGCATCCGAGGACTTCTTATTTCTATACTTGTCATGGATAATCTTCAGGATTCCAACTGGACTCTTCTTGACCATACCATTGAGGGCTTCACACAGTGGACACTTCGTGCAAGTCTTGACCTTTTTAAGCACAGCCGCTCGGAGACTCTTTTTATGTAGATATGACAGTTCAGGGTGCATGAACTTCCGCCGGTATGATTTCTTGAGGTTTTCCGCCAGCATTACTTTCCCACATTCCTATAAAAATAAGGGAATAATAATACACTGAAAACATTTCTTTTGTAATGTGTAGATCACAGGATTTGTGCAAATATCTCAAAATTGCGCTGTAAAAATGTTGTTGTAAATAAATATTATAGATGTTTTTGTAATTGTTCTTTCTGTTAGAAAACCAATGGTTTGCAATTCCCCTGGTGTCGCAGGTGTTTATGGGCGGCGGCAATCACTTACCATCAGGTGAGCCGTATATATATACTCGGTAGTGACACCGAGGGATAAACAAAGTACTCACTTTACAAATAGTCTGCAGTATGGTGATGATAGAACGGAAGTACCCAACGTGGAACACAGGCAGCGCCAGCTCAATGTAGCCATAGTGTCCCACACACTCGGCCAGACCCAGGCCACAAGTTTCGCAATTTGCATCCTTCTGATTTGTGCCCTGTATACAAAATGTAATTATAAATTAAGCTTGTTTTTTTATTGTAGCCACTATTTAAAAAGCGATGAAGTAGAAATCATAATTATATTATATTAATCATAATAACTTAGAAAAACATAAAAAATTGAAAAATGAAATTTAAAAAATAACTTTTTGTCATAAAGCGCATGTGGGCACATGTCACCGGCGCATCGCAATCAATTCGCGTCAGCATACAATAAATATACACTAAGCTCTGTGAAATACAAACGGGCGAGAAGGAAGTCCAGATAAAAATATAACATAATATTTATAAGTAAGGACAGGTGCTCGGGATAGCTCAAATGGGAATACATTTGATGTGCGAGATGCTCTCGTTCGTGCTGAAGTGGTTAATAGGCCTAAGCAAATAAACAGCGAAAAGAACTTTTTATACTATGTAAAGATTAATATTATTTTTTATATTTTTAAAAGAGTCAAACCATGCGTCTGTCCAGTACACCATAAGAAGCTGGCACCCTCTGTCCATCTTGTGCATATAGATTCTTTGTGATGACCTGGATGTGAGCAGCATTCTGTATTGCTGGAGCACTATCCACATTAAATGTCACATGGGAACTGAAACATAGATAACAATTACATAATAATTATTAATTAAATGCACAACAGCCCATATGAGAGGCTGATTGCATAAAAGGGAGTCTAACTTACATAATAATTACAATAGCCCTTATTACAAGTAACTTTTAAGTCCACAATGATAATTGATTTTGATATTTATATCTATAATAATCATAGCCTCACAACAGTAACCTGAATGGTGTAATAATAATAAACTCTTTATTGTGCACAAATAAGAAAAACAGTAAGTAGAAAAGTAATAACAAAAGGCAGGGAGGGAAAGTGGATTGTTAGTAATGTGGACTGATGATCTCATTGCTAGCAATGTACCATGTCAGGTTGACATCCATGCGGTTCCCCCTGGAAACCATCGTGATAAATTATTGTTGAATTTGTTATGATGGGCTAACTGACCTGACCTCATGCTCATTTTATCATCCTCCACTGGTGCCCTGCCAGCGTATACCGTTAGCGCAAGGGGGTGCACCATTCCATTATCAACCATTAAAAAAAAATAACAAAAGGCAGTTTTATCAGTATAAGCAATTTCTTACAGACAAGCTGGAAGATAGGACTAATGTACACAGAAAAAGTGTAGGCAAATACATAAATATTAATACCATTTTTGAATATTTTATTATATAGATTGTCTATCTCAAAATTGTGTTAAGAGGATATATTCCTTTATTTCTTTGTTTAAATGTGTACCTTCTCTGGAGATGGAGGCAAATAACTGCAAAACAATTTTTCAGATGTTTGTGTTAACATGCTACTGTAATGACTGAATGAATTTGACAAAAGTTAGTAATTCATTTTATGGAAATTGCGTAAGGTTTTACAACAAACTCTCAGAGTCTGTACTCAATTTGCCAGAAATAAAATTCAAATATGTCTTAAAATATTTTCTTCGTAAAAAAGCTTATTATAAAATTGATGAATTTATAAATGATAATAATGTTTTTGTAGAAAATATCTAACTTAAAATTCATAGTTCTGACAATGTTATCTGATTGAACTAGCAGTAGCTAGCAGTTTCTATGTTGATTGTCGCATGCCTAATCCTTGTTGTTAATAAAATATAAGTAATATTTATTTAAAAGAGCAACACACAAGTTCCTTGCTCATTCTTCTTATGATGAATCGGCATTCCGAATGAGTGGTAGAATCAAAATATGACTATTCAAAAGTGCTTATATTAAGTTTATTTGAATAAAAATTATTTCTATTTCATATTATGTCATATATTTAATGGCACAAATTTTGTATATATTATCACTCTGATAAATACTTTATATATATGTTTAAATAATTTAATACAGGACAAATAAATTATTCACTAAATTTGCACCAAATTTAATTTAAACATTATAGTACAAGGCCTGATAAGCCCTAGTACAAGAATATGCCTATACTATTTAATATTAAAACAAAAAGAAAATGTGGAATGTAAACATAACCTTACTTACATCTTTCTCCCCACGTATGTTTCGCGATATTGTTCTTTGGGCATTTTATAACTATTAACTAAATTTAATAAATTCTGCTTCTCAAACTTAAATAAATATTATTCTAAAAAACTAATATCACTAATGACTTAATTTATACACAAAATATTAATTTTCTTTTTGCACTTATAAAATTATAAAAAGTATTTTAAAGTAGCAAAATTAAAATGGTAAACATTCATAAATGTATTATGAAGCGTTCCATACAGTCGATATGTACATATATTAATAATTAGAAAACAAAAAATATATATATTATTTCAAATCAAAATATTTTCTTAACTAACCGGATACGTTTATTTCATTTTTATTTACTCTATTACTCTATGCCACTTCTGTCTACGACCGGAAACTTGACAGCCATCTAATGTCAGAAGCGAATGACGTTTAATAGACCTAATTGAATGCGTTCAAACTATTTTAAATATTTAATTATTGTAATAATTTTAGAACGCATTAATACTTAGTAATACCATTATTTGAAATCTAAAAATTACCATTACTAATGAATCTAGTATTCATTGCAGATTTCAAGATAAAATATTTAAGAACGATATCTTAGGTGTCTTCAATATATGGAAAAAGAGCAGGAATGGACGTGGACGTCTTCCGGACTGCGATGATGATGATGATGATGAGCAGGAATGAAATGTTGTTAGCAACCGGCGATGTAATTTTACAAGGGAACTTTTTTCTATTGTGCATCGGTGTTACTACAGGAATATATATAGACCGCTTGGCATCGTCATTATAATAATAAAATATGTTTCATACAGTTAAGTATTATTTGTCCAATTATAAAATCAGAGCGATCATTCCAAATTCCATTTTCACGATGCAAAATTGATGTAAAGTTATATTCTAATCAAATAAATATGCTAAATAATATTAAAAATTGCTAGTCAATTTTAAAAAACGACACTACAGAATGACTTTAGTGTCGATATCTATTAAATATAATTGTTATCAGTACGCTCAGATGTAGCCAATATTCTACTATTTAGTAGTTAATGAGGCTGTGTACAACACTGTTCATATGTTTCTTGTGTAAAAAGAAGCGCTCAGCGCGCCGTTTTTTGGCTTGTCAACCGAAACCACGCAACAATTTTCTCTTGTAATAATCGTGATAAATGTAACGGATTTCCCGATGTTATATTCAAGAGGACAAAGCGTCCTTCTTGCAGTGCAAAACAAAGTATAATATATCTACGTTGTTATCGTAAATTGGACTAAAAACAGTTTTCCCACCGCTGTGACCCGCGAACTCTAACATGCCTCTACTGAAAAGGAAAGCCTTTGAGAAATCGACGGCGTCGGAGTACCTTCGGGACGATGACGAAGTTTTCCACTGTGAGATCACCGACGAGATATTCAAAGACTATGAGTGAGTATATTGAAATTGTAAAAGTTCGCGCATTTTCTTCGGATTTGCCTATATTAATGTGTTTTATCAATGAGACTAACCGTTAGAGGTATATCGGCTCGCTAGTTCGCACAGTTACACGTCCGTGACACAATGTTTTACAATTTGGAGCGTGCGCGTCAGATTTTTGGTGTCATTTGCCGTTGCTTATCTCAATATTTGTTTTAGGGAATACTGTGAGAGGATTATATTGGTCAATTCTATGGTGTGGACATGTGAGATGACAGGGAAGAACAACTTGACATATGCAGAGGCTTTGGAGAGTGAGAAAGCAGCCCGCAGGTCGCTCAAAGACTTTCCAATGGAGCTGCGTATACCAATATTGTTCCTTGCAGCGAAGACAAAGAGGAGTTCATTTGCAGAGATGTCTGAGGATGTGTTCAATTTTGTGAGGGAGAGGTACTTTGTGGGGGAGACAGTGGAGGCCTGCTTTGAGGGTGATATCTGGAGGGAAGCCCATGTGTTGTCTGTGACGGCACAGAAGCAGCACCCTGACAGGTTAGTTTAGTGACTGTGCTATTTAAAATACAATTAGATTATTTTATAGGTATATTAAAAAGTAGGTATAATAAGTAGAACTAATTTATAATTGATAATTTTTCCCTAATTAGTGTAATATTTACTCGTTGATTCATAACAATGAGTGTTAATAGAAATTATTTTTAATGTACTTTAATATACATCCTGATATAATGTATATATTATATACTAAATGGATATTATAAACTTTATACAGAAGAAATTAATTGTAATGACTGTGCTAAAGACATGACAACTCAAGTGCCCTTTTAGTTATTCAAATTAAACATCATTTTAAAATGTATTATTACCATTTTGTAATTTCATATTAAAATTATATACTTTTACATACTCTAAAGAAAAATATTACTTTATATATTATACATTTACATTAAATTTACAATACCTATGCCTAGCCCATCTGAGATTACAGTAGTGAAGATACATATTTATATTGCAAAAATATAATAAATTTATTTCTATAGTATAAATTAAGTATCTTGAATTCCTGAAATCAGGGAGCAGATCTCATCATTGGAGGAATTCAAGATGCATAATTTATAATAATATTTATTTATTTATTATTATTATTACTATATAAATATAACTTTGACTCATTTTAAATCTTTAAATATACATGAATAGGGATACAAATGTTAAAAATGAATTCATAATTAATTGAAAGTGTTATTGGTATATTACAATAAATAAATACAATAAAAATATTTTTTATTCAAATCAACTTAACATAAGCATTTGCACATAGTTGCTTTTTATAATTCTACCTTTTAATTTATAATGTAAAAAGCTACTGAGAAGTGTGGACTGGTAGGATTACTGTTGTAGCTTTTTCAAACATGTGTAATATTGGTAGGTGTAGATTTTGTGTGAATAAATAACCAGATAATACAATATGAAAATAATATACAGTTAATTTGCAAAGTATAACAGTTATATGCTTATTTTTAATGGTAGTACATAGTACTCAAACACAATATATATGATTTTGCTTGTCATGCTAAAAAAAATAACATATAAGATACTTGAAATAAATTCTATTGAGGTTAAAAATTTAAAATTTTCTTTGTTACTTTATATATAGCTGCTGTAAGGACTATTTCATTATTAACATTACTATTTATGTATTAAATCTTTTATGCACAAATACACAAATATAGATGCATATGGAGGACTTAATATCATGAGGTGTTAACTCCGCCATAAATAAAATATATATAATATATATAAATAATACTTAATAGGTAATGATACACACCATTTATATAAAAAAGCAAAATGTGAGTTCCTTGCTTGTCCTTTTTGTGAATAGTCTATTTTCTAAATGAGTGGTAGAATAAAAAAATATGACTATTCAAATGTGCTTATATTAGGTTTATTTGAATTAAGATTGTTTCTATATACAGAAACTCATAACTCATGAAAAAAACATTAGGTATATGTGTGTATAGAGTGTTCTAGGTAAAACTGTATTTTGAAGAAGAAAATTCTAATCCCTTAATATTAATTTGACTACATATAGTACATCTATTTTAATACTTATTTTTTGAATTGTTATATTATAGATACTTGTCATGTGATGTTATAATTAAGTCTATATGTGTGTACTACGATACAAATAAAAATTACTAAAAAAATACTATTATCTATCTTCTTTAAAAAAACTTATACAACCGATTTTTCTCTGAATGCCAAAAAATTTCATGTGGTATTTTTTTTTATAATAACATAGTATAAAACAAAGTCGCTCTCTGTCCGTCCCTATGTATGCTTAAATCATATAACTATACAACTGATTTTGAAGCGTTTCTTTTAATAGACTGAGTTATTCAAGGAGAAGATTTATATGATGAAGATTTATATACATGTACACCCGTGCGAAGCCGGGGCGAGTTAGTTAGTTAATGATAATGGAATAATGTTTTGCACCTGTTTGTGTTAACAGTCTATGCTGATAATGGAGGATGAGTATGCTATCAGATCAGTTAGCCTATTGTGACTAATTCACCAAGAATTTATCACATTGGTTTTCAGGGAGATAGTGACAAATTCACCAGGAATTATCTCATTAGATTCTAAGGGGATAGTGACAAAGTCACTGGCAATTTATCACATTGGTTTTCAGGGAGATAGTGACAAATCACCAGGAAATTGCACATTAGGTTCTAGGGGGATAGTGACAAAGTCACTGGCAATTTATCACATTGGTTTTCAGGGAGATAGTGACAAATCACCAGGAAATTGCACATTAGGTTCTAGGGGGATAGTGACAAAGTCACTGGGTATTTATCACATTGGTTTTCAGGGAGATAGTGACAAATCACCAGGAATTTATAACATTGGTTTTTTTATGGAGTTAATGACAATTTTTTAGGAATTTATCACAATCAACAAGGGGGACTTCATAGAAGTTAGGTTGACTTCTATGAAGTCCCCTCTGAGGACATGGTACATTGCTATCAATGGGTCCATTAACCCACACTACTAACAATCTCCCTCCTCTCTCATGTGGTATCTTATATTCCAGCAAAGTAATGATCCCAGCCACATCCTACTGCTACGAAGTGGAACAGTTTGATGAGAGTGACCCGTCAGCGGTCGGCCAGATTGGCACCGCTCCATACGACAGAGTCCGCAGGCGGAAGGGTATCTTCTCACGAGATAAGAACAGGCTGTTCCTGAAACAGTTTGTACAGCAGACACCAATTGGCGTCATTGCCATAAAGGTAATTGGGATATTTTTTGTGTGAGTCATAAAACTGATAAGTATAATTCATATTGGGCTTTTTAGATAGATGAATATACTTTACTAGCTTTTACCCGCGGCTTCGCTCGCGTTAATTTAACCGCTTAGGGGATAATTTACCAAAATCCTTTCTATGAGGATGCCTATGTTATAGTAGCTTTATGCATGCAAAACTCAGCCCGATTTAAAATTGACAAAGTTTCATACAAACTTTCATCCCTATTTTATCTCCTTGGGGGTAGAATTAATGAAAATCCTTTCTTAGCGGATGCCTACGTCATAACATCTACCTGCATGCCAAATTTCAGCCTGATCCGTCCAGCGGTTTGGGCTGTGCATTGATAGACCACTATGTCAGTCACCTTTGAGTTATATGTAGATAATGATATGTTCATTATCTAAATATATACACAACAATAAGGTTACAATAAGACCTTATTGCTGAAAGTAATATTTTCAAGTCAACCTTAAGGAAAAGAATTTTTATGTCAAACAGGTAGATAATAAGTGAACAGGAGAAAACTAGAAAAGGAACAAACATGATGGTACTGATGAATGATAATGATAAATGATAAGGGATTTTTGTTTGTTTTATGACCATTATAGATGTTTATTGATGACAGTACAATAATAATAATAAACTCAGGACAATTCACACAGCGCCATCTAGACCCAAGTTAAGCTAGCTAAAGCTTGTGTTATGGGTACTATAACTGATATATATACATAGATATTTTTTTCTGTAAATACATACATATTATACATAGAAAACACCCAGACCGATACAAACAATCATACTCATGAATACATATGTTTTTTGCCGTGCGAGGAATCGAACCCGAGACCATCGGTCATAAAGTGGTGTGCTAGACCACTAGACCATCGAGGTCGTCAAACAATGATATACTGTTATATATTTATATTGTTTACTTATTAGCATATGATATATGGCCTCCATGGTCTAGAGCAGAGGTTCCCAAACTTTTTTGTTTTACCCTTGCCATATTTTTCGGTTTTGGGTAGACCCTCCATTCTTACCTGGTATTGATTTTTTGTAAAGTTGTAACTGTAGTAAAGTTTAGTGTTAAAAATATAAAGTAAAAACAAGAAGATGACCACTGTCGTAGACCCATTGCAGTTTTTCATAGACCCCTGGGGGTCGCTATAGACCACTTTGGAAATCACTGGTCTAGAGGTTAAGCACACAGCTTTACTTCCGATTTCGGTTGCTGGTTTGATTTCTTGCACGGTACACTTTGTATTAAACATTGTTTATATCGGTCTGGTTCTTTTCTTTTTAAATATTGTATGTATTAAAAAATATATAAATACTTAATTATGCTGCCCTAACCATCATCATTTGCTTCTTCCTTATCCCTTTTATTTGTGATCGGCGTAATATGTTTTTCTCGTCCATTCATCTCTGTTCGCAGTCATCCCGTTATTTACTCCCTTGCTCATCATATCATCTTTCACACAGTCCATCTCTTTTTCGGTTTTCCTCTACTCTTATAAGCATCCACATTAGCAGGAAAAACAGGGTCTTATGCCTAAAATTTGTACTATGTAAGTAAAACACATTCAATTGTAATGTAATTCTATTCGTACAGAAACCAACACTTGAAAAGTACAACATAAATAAAGTGAGTTTCGATCAAATCTTCACTGGTGAACCGCCAGAGTTTCCTTCATCCAAAAAGCTGATAAAGAACAGCTTATCACCACCAGCATCCAGGAACCAAGTGAAACCAAATTCAGCCAACAAACTGAACAAATCTGGAAAGAAAGTCAGTCCAGACAAGAAGGGTCGGCAGGAATCAATGGATAAGTTTGTTAAGAAGACAGACAAAAATGAAGGTAATACCTATATTCTTTGTTTTGTTAGGGTGACTTTAATTTGTAATTTTTTTAATGGATATGGAATAGCATCAGAAAGACCACCTGATGGTAAGTGGTACCATTGCCTACACACAAAACATCATCAGGTAACCTCCATAAGTATCCCCACAAAATAATATACTAATACCAAAAAATTGATGTTCAAAATTATTGAAGGATTTAAACTTTTCTTTGAATATGGGAGCAGTTAGTAGTTATTCTCTTTTGTCTGCTTTTGAAATTAGTGCCTATTTTTATCAAAAATAAAATGTATATTGTATCAACAGTAAAACCTAAACCACCAATTGATCCGGCGGCCAAGAAGAGTGCACAAGAGTTAGCAGAGAAGATGCGTCGCGCGGAAGATCAGATGCGACAGCGCAAGGAAGAAGAGAAGGCAAAGAAGAAGGAGAAAACGGCTCGCCTGCAGGCCTACCTGAAGGAATGGCAGAAGGTGAAGGATGATTTGGAGTTAGAAGATCATAAGGTTAGTACAGTTTACTTTTTAATTTCTTATGTTTATTGTATTATTAAAATAATATGAAAAGATTGATTAATGATTATTGTGGGGTGTTGTCTACGTGTTTGTTTGTAGTGAATTTAGACACTAGTCATTACAAACATACATGCGGACAGCGGCGCGCAATTGGGCCAGTACACTATATCTGTATACAATACACAGTATAGGTAAAATATATCTCAAAACAATGGTTGTGGTCAACTTGTATGTTTATATGTCTTAAGGTCTAAATAATGTAATTTAATATATATTTATCAAAACAATGTCTCCTGTATGTAAGATCCAACTAACTATGATGACGACTTAGGTCCTAATGCCGGCTACCGGAAGAGAAACCCCAATTAGTAGTAGTGTAGGTTTAAAAGGCCCTTTTAATATATAACTACTTGCAGCTTCAAACAATATTGATGTGAACTCTAAGATGTAGAAATTAAAACAGATAAATTAACTTTGCCTCCATTTAAATATTTTAAAACAAATTTTACAGATAATACCAAAAGGCACCCCGGTAGACATAGAAGGTATACCACAGAAGCACTTTGGCGATTTCCTCTCAGTCCTCGAATTCGTCTTCGTGTACGGCGATATACTGAAAGTGAAAGACGTCTTTCACAACGACCTAGACCTAGAGACATTCCGGAAGGCTCTGACGATTGAAGAGCAAGCCGGAACATTCAGTGACCTGGTGCAGATGTTCCTCACAACAATATTTTCATTGCAAGAAGACGAAGCTGAGGAATACAATGAGAATAAAGGAATTCTGGAGTCAACAGGTATGTTTTGTTGATCATAGTAACCTATTAATGAAATTACATAATATGGAGGTATAACAGGTAAAGTATAGTAAGGTATAACTTTAGTCATCAGAAATAGCAGCGCATGCATTGCCCACGATGGATGTCGCATGACAACGTGAAATGTGTGTCAGTCAAGACTGTCATTGACATGGAGTCAATTTAATTCACATGAAAAGGAATTATAGTAATAATATTCATATTTATTCTAACTAAAATTAAATAAATGCGGAAATGTTTGAGTGTGTCATTTTACTATACTTTCATATAAATGTAAAAGGTTTGACCAATCATCATGAAATTTGGCCCAGATGATCATAGCAAAGCAGACCAAGGCACGGCAAGCTAGTAATTACTAGTTAGGCTTTCTGCCATATATTTGTTGTTAAAATGATTGTTATTTGTAGAAGTGAAAGAGGAGGATGCAGAAATGGGAATGAACAAAGCTGTAGAGCTCGCCACGAAAGCTAGCAAGTGGTCGCAGACATATCTGGGTACACCACTTAGCAAACTGCCCCTGGATGCTACAACTGTCAGTGAAGTTTTAAGGTAACAATCATTTGAGAATATATCACTATAAAGTGTTTGTTCGAATTTCCATGTTGGGTGATCATATTTTCTAAAGAATTATATCCATTATAGTATTCAAACTCTTTTAAAAAACGTTTCTTACCTTATAGTTGTAAAGACTTAAGTCCATATTTTAAATTATAGTAAATTCTATGCCAGATAGTACACATGAAGTTATGGATATTTTTTTTAATGTTATGTTTTCATAAGTAACCACCAAGTTATCTGTCTATGAGTAGTTCACCTCCACTGAATTATCCGGCTCGAAGGACCACAATGCTAAAGTTACAGACATCTATAAAAATGAAAGACACCAAGGTTAATTGACAATTTTATATTTGCATTAATAACTAATCTAATTTACATTAATGAATAAATAATAAAACTAAATCATAGCGCGTCGTAACATTGACACAGCGCCATCTAGCATTTTCTACTGGAAACTATTAATGTTCTTAATACAAGTGTATACAGTGATCATAGACTGTGGTAACGTTTGGTGGTGATTGCGCAGGTTGCACTTGCTGTCGTCGGGTGCTGCCCCGGGCGGGCGGTGCGCCACGTGGCGCTACCACCAGCGCGGCGGGTACAGCAGCAGCGACGACGCCGGCCTCAACCTGCGCCGCCGCCGCCCCGCGCTCCTCCGCCGCCTGGCCGCCGCGCACGTCGCCGGCCTGCGCCTCGGTACTGCGCCCCACACACACCACACTACACACTACACACTACACACTACACACTACACTACACACCGGCGCGGCGGGTACAGCAGCAGCGACGACGCCGGCCTCAACCTGCGCCGCCGCCGCCCCGCGCTCCTCCGCCGCCTGGCCGCCGCGCACGTCGCCGGCCTGCGCCTCGGTACTGCGCCCCACACACACCACACTACACACTACACACTACACACTACACACTACACTACACACCGGCGCGGCGGGTACAGCAGCAGCGACGACGCCGGCCTCAACCTGCGCCGCCGCCGCCCCGCGCTCCTCCGCCGCCTGGCCGCCGCGCACGTCGCCGGCCTGCGCCTCGGTACTGCGCCCCACACACACCACACTACACACTACACACTACACACTACACACTACACTACACACCGGCGCGGCGGGTACAGCACACACGACGCCGGCCTCAACCTGCGCCGCCGCCGCCCCGCGCTCCTCCGCCGCCTGGCCGCCGCGCACGTCGCCGGCCTGCGCCTCGGTACTGCGCCCCACACACACCACACTACACACTACACACTACACACTACACACTACACTACACACCGGCGCGGCGGGTACAGCAGCAGCGACGACGAAGTCTCTCCACTAAGGACTACTAACGACGTCTCTCGACACAGGCTCCCTCGCAACTCTTCACTAAGAAATCACGTCATTCCTTACAAGACGATGGTCAAAGCCTAGCCTGGCGAGCGACATTAATTCCCACCAAATATTAGAATTCCCGCAGCCAGTTACACAACTATAGCCGGCTTCGTCACAAACAGTAAAGGAACGATGCTTGGCTGGTACACCCCAGCAATATTCTCGGATAAAAAGGTCTTGCTCGAGGGTCGTACAAACTCATAAATCCCAGTGAATGACCAGAAGAAGAACTTCAATCTTTGTGTAATCATAATAATGCAGCATGTGTCACAATGTTCATTAAAGCCACATTTCATGACCACAATTACTCATACACATTCATCATTTACTTTTCAGATGATAAATTACAAATTCTACAGTGCCTCATGAATCAGATCCTAAGTTATGCAACTGTTCGTGACATCATTGAGGAGAAACTGGAGGAACTCAGAAATACCAAGCAAGCACTCAGAATGTTAACAGTAAGCATAAATCGTATAAATCATAATCATAATATTTTCTTTAACAATCAAAATTAGAGTCCTAATCCCTACTTATATTCTAAAGAGTTAAGTTGGATTCTCGCTGAGACAAAAGAATAATTGTGTGTTAATTTATATTTGTGACTGTTTTTGACTCTCCTAAATAAGATAAAACATACGACTATTAAAGAAAGTACTATTTAGTACTTTCTTTAATAGTCGTATATTTTGAGCTTACTTTTATTATAATATTTTGTTCTTGAAGGCAAACGAGCGTAAACGGGAAGCACAACTTATAGCCACCCGACAAGAGCTCAAAAAAGAAGCAGCTGCCAAGAAAGAAGAACAGAAGTTAACAGGAGAGAAAGCTAAAGCTGTTGACGAAGAACTGCGACTGGCGATAGAGAAATTGAACAAGGAGAGTGAAGTCAAAAAGCAGGAGTATGAAAAAAGGTCTAAAGAGTTACAAGTGGCGTTGTTCGATTATACATCTTATATTGGTGAGTATAAGGTTTAAAAGCAGTATAATATTATACTGCTATAGATCAAATATGTGTGCAATAATGCATTTTTTACTTTATTATTATTATTGGTTTTTTATTATTATTTTTTTTTCTTTGGATATAATGATTTCATCTCTAATTTAATGAATTGTTTTTATTTACGTTTATCTTATATAATAATTTATATGCAGCTGTCGGCATCGTTTTTTATTGTGTTGAGATGTGTGATGTAATAAATGTAAATGTAATAAAAAAAAATAAGCACTGTAATTGTACACTAATATTATTGCTGTTAAAATTAAACTAGTGAGAGTGATGAATATAGTTTTTAAACTTTCGTGTTTAATAAACATTATTTATATTGTTAACGAAGTCTTAATATGAATTCAAATTCAAAAATCATTTATTCTTGTAGGGGTATTTTAGCTGCTTATGAACGTAATATTTTTATTGTATAATTATTCTTTACCGTCCAGTTCAATTTATTATGTAATGGCTTTAGAAGTTTTCTTTACCGTCCAGTTCAGTATATCGATCCAATCGATATATTAAATAATTTTATGGTAAATGAAGAATAAACCATAACATTATTCAATATATTTGCCATAAAACTATTCTTTACCGTCCAGTTCAGTATATAGATCCAATCGACATATTAAATAATTTGATAGTAAATATAGAATTAACCATACTTATTTAATATATTTGCCATAAGACTATTCATGTCGCGGTAAATGTAGTGGCAATCTGTAGCGAGTGTGTGCCGGCAGGGTCTGACCGCGGGTTCCGGCGGTACTGGGTGAACCAGCGCGTGGCGGGGCTGTTCGTGGAGGCGGGCGACGAGCCCCGCGGGGGCTGCGGACGCAAGCCGGCGCCGCCCGCGCCCCCCCGCACCTCCGGGGACCCCCTCGCGTACGTCGCGCAGCTGCTGCGCACCGAGCGCGAGAGAGGTCAGTCACACCAGTCAATGCTGGAGATCACATGCTCCCCCGAGCCCATCCCATTTTAGGGCCCTAAGGCGGAGCGTCGCCCAGCTCGATTAACTTGACGAGTTTACACATAGCCGTAACTAGCTTCAGACCCAAAAAGAGGTAGAGCAAATCGATTTTTTATTTCATACTGCAACTGCTTACAATACAAACTGCTGAAATAGGTAACAACACTCGGTTCACGCCAATAAGTTTGTACAAAATTTACCTAGATCGGTTGGTTTTGTATAATATCTATCTTAATAGCTTGACTTTTGAACTGAAACCAAGTAGATTGAGTTTTGAATGAAGTCAAATTAGATAGGTTGACTTTGTCCGGATATGTACCAATATACCTGGTACAAAATCTTCGAAATATTGACTTTGCAGAAAGTCTGTCCCCATTGACATTGTTCAAATTTACCCTGATATGCTGTATTTTCATCACTTTAATCTTCACGTTAGCTTTAAAATATAATGTGCAATATTTCCTCATCAGCTGGCAGTGACAAGGAGAACGACTCCGGTCCAAACTCGCGCGGCGCATCTCCCAAGAAGCCGCTGGCCAACGTGAACGGCCTGAACAAAACCAACGGGCTGGAGACCAACACGCAGCAGCTGCGAGAACTCCTCGTCTGCACTGGAGACATCACCACCTGCCTTGTGCACGGGACGGTTGGATATTTTTCTTTCTTATAATAACCAACTTTCAATTAGTCACAGCTGGACTATATGTCCACTACAGAGGCACTGGATCTTTACGTTGCTGCAGATCAGATCAGTTTTTTCGGACTACTCTAGTGCTGTTAGCTGCAATAGGCTTCACCGGATGATAGAGGGGAGTGCAGATGGCATTACAAACCCTCGGAAGGACTTATGGAGCGACTGATAGCCAACTCCCGCCTGGCGGATACGACTTTAGTCTGAGGGCACCGCTAGGGGTCCGAACCTCTTCTCAGGCCATCTTAAATTAGGTTTTGTAATAACATGTGCTTGTAGTCACTCTATTCTTTAAAATTTAAATTATTTAGAATTAATCTGTATCTAATCAAACTGACGGTAGATTCGACATATCATGAGAATCTGTAATCTACATTAATAAGGAAATTTTGAATTTTTGATCACAACAGGGCGAGCACCGTCCCCAATGGTGGGTGTACCATACGGCTGAGCAGATAGAGGCGCTCATCGAGTCGCTGAACAAACGGGGTTACCGTGAGAGCGAACTGCGGCAGACCCTCGAGCTGGACAAGAACAACATCCTCCACAACATTGTCAAGTGTCCACTGCATCTGCTAAATCCTGCTGCTGCCCCGGTGAGTTGATAACATCTTTATGCTAATATATATACTAGCTGTGCCCACGATATCACTTGCGTGAAATTTATAGCCTATTTGTTATTCTGGTGTATATGCTCTGTTGCAGGTGAATGATACTATGTTATTGGTCGAGACGATGTATATTACAGATGATAATATACTGACAATATGTACATAGAAATAATGACCTTATATTCTAAATAACAATAGGAAAATGTAAGGTGAGGTGACACAGTTTAGATACAGCAGTGCTTAGTAGACAATATTGAATTTGTCTTACTAGATATTATTAAATGTAATTATTAATTTGATGTATCTAGGTGACTGTGTCCCATATGCTCTATCACTGTAAAGTTTCGACAAGATCCGTTTTTTTAAGCATTTTCATATAATATTACACATAGACATCTATATAAATATACACTGGAAATAAACTGGCTTTTAAAAAAAAAATGTTTAATTGATTCTTTCCAGTTCTTCTCAATTGGATCTATATACTGGCAAAAAAAGAGAATTATAATGTAAAACATCTGACGACGATGAGCGGCTAAAATGTCCTACATGAATAAATGATTTTTTAATTTGAAAATTTGAATTACGGTGTAAATCTGCGTTTAATATTGTCCCAAAAAGCCCCAAGTATTGTGGTTTGATTAGAGTGCGTGTGCGCGTGCAGGTGGCGGCGGGCGGGGGCGCGGGCGCGGGCGCGGTGCGGCGCGGGGCGCGGGGCGCGCGGGGCGCGGCGCCGCTGGTGGCCGACGGCTGCTCGCTGGAGGAGTCGCTCGAGCTCTCGCTCAGGGACCACATCCTGGAGCTCGAGGAGAAGATCTTCCACGGCTGCCTCGGCGTACTCAAAGTCAAGGTTCGCTCTTTTGTTCTCTCTTCCGAGTATTAATTCTATCACTATGGCTGGTTAGGTAGACGCCATCACAGTGTCATTCTAAGTTCAATTCACTATTGATTATGTTTATACCTAGGTAGAACATTCGAAAAAGTCTAGTAATTTATAAATTTGAGTTTTTAAGCAACCTTGCAATGTTACCATTGAAGTTCAAGGATTGGCAGTAAAATTATAGGATAATAAGCATACCATATAGCTCGTGTTATAGATAGGAGACAAATACTTAAATACATTTTTCAAATACAAAATATATATAAAATACATCCAAACCAATACAAATAAGCATACTAATGAATTCAAAGCCGTAATTGGGGATTTTCTTCCAGTCTACCTTTGAATGACGGAGAACTTTTGAAGTGTTAGAAACAAAGTTTATAAATTGATAATACAAAGAAAAAAGGTATTTATAGTACAATATCACTCACAGTGTGGTGATGTTAACATGAGAAAAGTAACTTACTTGATTTAAAATAACTTAGTTACTTTATTTACAAGAACTTGTATAACTTACAGGTTCGCGAGGCGTGGCGCGGCACGATCAATTCACTTGTTTTACAATAACTGACTTGACTTACAATAACTCACTTTATTTACAAGAACTTACATGACTTCAGGACCGCGAGGCGTGGCGCGGCACGATCATGGTGCGCGGGTACGACAAACAAGCCGAGTACCTGCGGTGGGGGCCGCGCGCCCAGTACCGCGACGACTACCACCTGCCCAACGGAGTCCTGCGACTGCCGCAAGGTGACGTCTCCACTTCATACTCACTACTACCACAAACGAGCTGAGTACCTGCGGTGGGGGCCGCGCGCCCAGTACCGCGACGACTACCACCTGCCCAACGGAGTCACTTCATACTCACTACTACCACAAACGACCTGCGGTGGGGGCCGCGCGCCCAGTACCGCGACGACTACCACCTGCCCAACGGAGTCCTGACCTGCCCAACGGAGTCCTGACTGCCGCAAGGTGACGTCTCCACTTCACTACTACCACAAACGAGCTGAGTACCTGCGGTGGGCCGCGCGCGCAGTACCGCGACGACTACCACCTGCCCAACGGAGTCCTGCGACTGCCGCAAGGTGACGTCTCCACTTCATACTCACTACTACCACAAACGAGCTGAGTACCTGCGGTGGGGGCCGCGCGCCCAGTACCGCGACGACTACCACCTGCCCAACGGAGTCCTGCGACTGCCGCAAGGTGACGTCTCCACTTCATACTCACTACTACCACAAACGAGCTGAGTACCTGCGGTGGGGGCCGCGCGCGCAGTACCGACTGCTACCACCTGACTGCGACTGCTGGTGTTCCCACTTCATACTCACTACTACCACAAACGAGCTGAGTACCTGCGGTGGGGGCCGCGCGCCCAGTACCGCGACGACTACCACCTGCCCAACGGAGTCCTGCGACTGCCGCAAGGTGACGTCTCCACTGACTACTACCACAAACGAGCTGAGTACCTGCGGTGGGGGCCGCGCGCCCAGTACCGCGACGACTACCACCTGCCCAACGGAGTCCTGCGACTGCCGCAAGGTGACGTCTCCACTTCATACTCACTACTACCACAAACGAGCAGTACCTGCGGTGGGGGCCGCGCGCGCAGTACCGCGACGACTACCACCTGCCCAACGGAGTCCTGCGACTGCCGCAAGGTGACGTCTCCACTTCATACTCACTACTACCACAAACGAGCTGAGTACCTGCGGTGGGGGCCGCGCGCCCAGTACCGCGACGACTACCACCTGCCCAACGGAGTCCTGCGACTGCCGCAAGGTGACGTCTCCACTTCATACTCACTACTACCACAAACGAGCTGAGTACCTGCGGTGGGGGCCGCGCGCCCAGTACCGCGACGACTACCACCTGCCCAACGGAGTCCTGCGACTGCCGCAAGGTGACTGGCCACCTTCAAAGGTGAAGGTTGACGCCTCGGGCGATCCCCTTTGCCCCGGCATCTACTCCGGGGTTACTTTGAACCTTCGGATGGCTGGTTCAAAACCCCTAGGGCAAGTATACATAAAAAAAGAAGAAAAGTAGCTTATTCAATGTTGTGCCATAATAATTTCATTGAAAAAATCATCTTGTGCTCATCAGACAGTTAGATTTTTAAAATGGAACGGCTATGCGTATATACAAACAGGTTTATCCCTAAATTCCCATTTTTACCCAACTGAATAAAAACTCTTTATTGTTCCTAAAATCGTATATATTCACCATTCTACTATCAACCTTTTTTAATAACGATAATAATGTTTTATTTATATGCCAAAACAATGTCTGCCGACTCAACTAGTAACACTACAAAATTTTTAAGTCTGGTAATTTTCATTACTAATTATTCCCTCAGACGTGGATCAGAGCGACGTGGACATCCCCGTGAACAAGTACCGCGACCCGGGACATTACCTGGAGGCGCCCCGGACCAACGGAGTGAAGGGCGACCGCGGACCTACAAGTGTGGTGCGGTCACTCGCATCCGCGCTACTGCAGGTCGAGCAGGCTCTACACCATAAGTACATCAAGCGCCCGCTCGGTATGTACCTAATATTTCGTTGTCTATATTTAAATCACTGGCTATGAGCATAGACTTCGCTAAAAAAGGTGTTAGTCTATGGCAATGTACTATAGTTATAATCGTTATAACACCCGTGATTTAGTGGTTACTACCTAAACTGACTCCAAAAGGTCGTAAGTTTGAATCTGGCCGATGCCAAATACAAATATTGTGTCAGTATTATATAATAATATAATATTAGTGTGTAACTAAAATACTGTTAATAAACCACATCAATCTGAGAGACAGCCATAGACTTGAACCTTACTATTTTGGTTTCAAATATATTATATGATAAATAAAGATAATTAACAAAAATCATCTGTCCACTAATAGACATAGACCGATTTAATCCATCTTAGATGAATATAATGAAGGTATTACCAGACAATTACCTCTATTTATTTATAATTATCTTTATTATCACTTGGGCTACAGTCCTTTTATTTAGCTACTATAAAAAAAAATCTTTAATCCAGGTCTCGACGACAAGGAAAGAAAAGAGCGTGAAGCCAAAAACAAACCACTTGATCTGGAAGCGCTGGAGCGGTGGGAGGTGTCCCTGATGGAGTGTCAGAGCTTCGCCCAAATCGTGCTGCATCTCTTCACCCTGGACTCCAGCATTACCTGGTCTGCTAGCATACTGAACGCCAGCTGCAGGCTCTGCAGACGGAAGGCGGACCCTGATAATATGCTGCTGTGCGATGGATGCAACAAAGGACACCATTTGTACTGTCTCAAGCCAAAACTTGTGGTGAGTACCTCTTTTTTATTTAAGTTCATAATTTTTTATGCTGTTTGTTGCGGGTAGTTGATACTATGTTGTTGGTTGAGACGATGTATATTAAAGATGATAATAGACTGACAATATGTATGTAAAATATTGATCTTATATACTAAATAACAATAGGAAAATGTAAGGTGGGGTGACACAGTTTAGACACAGCAGTGCTCAGTAGACAATATTGGATTTGTCTTACTAGACATTATTAAATGCAATTATTATTTTGATGTAAGTAACTGTGTGCCATACTGTTAATTAAATACTGTCGAAAATAGATTGCATCTATGTGCCATATATACACAATAGAGGAGGAAAAATGTTAAGACACTTCATATGGCATGTTGAATTTATGAAACTTATTATTGAGGGAAAGATAAAAGGAAAGAGGGGAGATGAAGACCAAGGCACAGCTATATCAAGTAAATTAAAGAGAGAATTGCAGTCGTGACGTATCAACATTTAAAGAGTATGATGTAAGATTGTGGAAAGACACAAGAGCTACACAGACAAGAGCATAGCTCTTAAATTATGAATGAATGAATGTTGAAAAGCATATTAAATGACATATATCTTGAATAATAATAATTACCTTGGATTCACACAGCGCCAACTAGTCGTAAGCTAACCAGAGCTTGTGTTATGAGTTCTAGACTACGGATATAAATACATGCTTTTTTTGTTAACACATAATATACATAGAAAACACCCAGATCGATACAAACAATCATACTCATGAATACAAATGTTTGTTCAATAATTAATTTATTTTAATTATATTTCCATGCTGACAGTCTGGTCCAACGAGAAAGGTATAGTATATGCATGTTGTAAGTAAAGTGATTACAAAACATTGTGAAGCCATGTTTATACTTGGCTGAAATTAAATTGTTAGAAAGAAAGAAAAACGTTTCTTGACAAAAATTGCATTCACATGTTCATATAAAAACAATATATATGTTAAAAGCAATATATTCCTTTGTACAGTCATACTCGTCCAAGGCCTCTGGCTTACATTACAAGCATAATGTTTGCATCGATACTAATCCTGGAGAATACACACAGCATATCTAGTCTCAAGCTAAGCAGAGCATGTGTTATGGGTACTAAATAACTGATAGAATTAAATACTTTTTTAAATACATACATAATATACATAGAAAACTCCCAGATCGATACAAACACTCATAGTCATGAATACACATGTTTGCATGGTACGAGGAATCTAAGAAATTTAATTTTTCCTTAAGTAATGTATGTTACTTACTGAGTGGTGCAGTGTTATTTTTTATTCTTAAGTCAAACAGCATTAAACTTTTTAAGTAAAAACTTATTTCATCTTGCTAGGTATTAAATTCATACAATTGTGATGTGTTATTTTTTTCAAGTAAAATGACTTCTATAAGATAAAGTTTGTATCTGGTGAATTAAATGTTTTTATTTCATTTTATTATAGAAAGTACCTGAGGGCGATTGGTTCTGTGAACAGTGTAAGCCGAAGGAGCGAACTCCACGCAAGAGGAGGAAACTATTCTCTGAAGAGGAACTGGAGGAGGCCCTGGATGATAGGTATGAGTTTATATTCATCTTTATATTCCGGCCCTCGTGACTCCAACCTGATTTTCTCAGTTTCGGGAGTTGATCAAAATAAGCAAATTCAAAAGTTTATTATAATAAAGATTTGATTCTTAAAATTTCCCATGTAAAAATATATTTAACGAATTTACCTAAAATTAATATTCCTGTATGTTACGGAAATCATGATGGGTGGGTAAGTTTTAATAAGAATTAATAGTATTACTTCATAAACCATATATTATCGAATAATTAAAGATTCATATTGTTATATTATTTCCTCATCCGGCTCGAAGGACCAATAATTAAACACCATTCACGTTTAAAAAATAATTTTATTTAATGAAATTAAATAAAATTATTTTTATATACAATGATCGGTTGTTTTTTTCACGACAATAAAATCAACAACGGTTGCCTAGCAACGGTAACTAATCAACTAAAAACTATAAGGGCGCCATGTAATGGGTTGTTTAAACATTGTGCCTTAGAATCTATTATTATATTTATTGTTGTTGTATACCTCTGTCTGAATGGTTTGCAGTGCGTCGTCCTCGTCGTCGACGTCGTCGCTGTCTGCGGTGTGCGGCACGTGCGGCAGCGGAGGACGACTGGCGGCCGCCTGCGGGGACTGCGGCGCGCGCTACCACCGCGAGTGTGCGCGCCCCGCGCCCCCCGCGCGCGCCGCCCGCCGCTGGCGCTGCGCCGCCTGCCTGGCGCCGGCCCGAGGTACGTGAGGTACAGTCGGCCGCGGCGCGCTACCACTGTGCGCGCCCCGCCCCCCCGCGCGCGCCGCCCGCCGCTGGCGCTGCGCCGCCTGCCTGGCGCCGGCCCGAGGTACGTGAGGTACAGTCGGCCGCGGCGCGCTACCACCGCGAGTGTGCGCGCCCCGCGCCCCCCGCGCGCGCCGCCCGCCGCTGGCGCTGCGCCGCCTGCCTGGCGCCGGCCCGAGGTACGTGAGGTACAGTCGGCCGCGGCGCGCTACCACCGCGAGTGTGCGCGCCCCGCGCCCCCCGCGCGCGCCGCCCGCCGCTGGCGCTGCGCCGCCTGCCTGGCGCCGGCCCGAGGTACGTGAGGTACAGTCGGCCGCGGCGCGCTACCACCGCGAGTGTGCGCGCCCCGCGCCCCCGCGCGCGCGCGCGCGCTGCGCCGCCTGCCTGGCGCCGGCCGCGGGTACCGTGAGGTAGAGTCGGCGGCGCGCTACCACCGCGAGTGTGCGCGCCCCGCGCCCCCCGCGCGCGCCGCCCGCCGCTGGCGCTGCGCCGCCTGCCTGGCGCCGGCCCGAGGTACGTGAGGTACAGTCGGCCGCGGCGCGCTACCACCGCGAGTGTGCGCGCCCCGCGCCCCCCGCGCGCGCCGCCCGCCGCTGGCGCTGCGCCGCCTGCCTGGCGCCGGCCCGAGGTACGTGAGGTACAGTCGGCCGCGGCGCGCTACCACCGCGAGTGTGCGCGCCCCGCGCCCCCCGCGCGCGCCGCCCGCCGCCGGCGCTGCGCCGCCTGCCTGGCGCCGGCCCGAGGTACGTGAGGTACAGTCGGCCGCGGCGCGCTACCACCGCGATGGAGGGTACATTTGCCTGCAGTTAGCTCGGGTTCGGGGGCTGAAAGGTGCAGCGAGCTTGAGATACGTGGAGAGTACAGTCGCCTACAGCCCGCTGAAGTACGTGCAAGACACAGCCGTGCCGTACACCTCAATGATCCGGCTCGACGAACCGTCATATAATTGAAATTTATCAATACTGATGCATTGCATATATTGCATGATTTACTTGAATATAATATAGAATTATAATACTCATAGGAAAATATATACAGCTCTAGGCGTACGTAATACGTACGGTATTGTTTCTGTGTTATACTTGTTTATTCTATTTTTACGCGAGTTTTACGGCTATTATTTATAAAACATTCACGATAGCCGAGAGACGAATAAATCAAAATTACAATATAAAAATCCCCTTAAAGAAACTCGCGAATGTAATGACTAGTATAAACGAACATAGACACGTAAGATAGCTTTAACCATAGACAATAGTAGATTAATTGTACTGTAATGTCTGAAGAGCACAGCGTGCGTCGGTGCGCGGCGGCGGCCATCACCAACATCCACCAGTACACGCGCGCCCTCGACAGCCGCCGCAACAGCTCCGGTTCGTTCCCGTCTCCCTTCTCTGTCGCGCTCGCACTCTCATCCGCCAAACACCAAATATGCCACTCTCGCTCTAACGCCTAGCACGTTCTCTAACCTACCGACTCGCTATCCTAAATCACAGTCCAATTCTGATATCATTTCTTTTTTTGTTAATTTAACTTAAAATTTCTTTTACTTTACAACATGTAGCATAATTCACTCAATATAGTATATACATACTACTATTAATACGTTAGTATTATATATATGGGAATACAATTATTTTCCCAGATTAAAGAAACTATTCACTGGTTGTTAATTGTTGATATTTTTCGGGTCAAAATAGTTTTATACTAGTACAACTAGATGGCGCTGTATTTTTTCCATACATATTTCTAAAACACGCTGATAAGATTTTTTTGTCATACCTTATATAGATATGTATTTTTTTTTATATGCTCGCTTAGATCAATATACGGTTGGAACCTCATAACTGTAGTTCATACAATCGCTCCTGATCTCCAGAACCTCGATTTTATACAGATATATATATATAAATTATATTTGTATAAATTGTTAATCACAGACTAAAAAGTCTCAGAACTGATTGTTAATTCATGGTATAATTATTTTATATAAATCTTTGAATTATTAAAAATATAAATACATGTATTTACTTTATTATTAAACAAATGAAGTCAAAGTATATTGAGTAAATACATATTTTTGTTGGTTATATGGACAAAAGTCCCAAAAAAATTAAAACAATTAAAGAAATACGAAGTACATGCAATTTTGAAAGTTATAACAATAAAAAAAACTAAAAATACGCAATTTTTTAACAATAGTACGACATTTTTCATATATGCGTAATCATTCTGAGTTACACCCATTTCCCTCGCTGTGTTCATCCCATATCGCTCTGTTTAACACCAGACAAACTCATTACCGCGCTTTCTTTGTACATTCATATCTTTGGTTCTTTTTTTTTTTTTACTTTTTTTTTTATTTGTTATTTCTGCGTTTGTGTGGTGGCGCTATTATTAAAAATCGGGTGTTGTTTTTCTTTTGACTAATTTGGCTACGGTGTTCATACATAACGTCATATTTCCCATATTCTAACATAGTAATAATAAATTTCGCATGATTCAAACTTTCACTACAATAATTAGATTTAATTTTACATTTAATGACATGACGACCCCGGTGGTCTAGCGGTTTAGCACCGTTTCACCGCGGGTTCGATTCCTCGCGCGGTAAACATTTGTATACATGAGTATGATTGTTTGTATCGGTCTGCGTGTTTTCTATGTATATTATGGATGTATTTACAAAAAATGTAAGTATTGACATCAGTTGTCTAGTACCCATAATACAAGCTCTGCTTAGCTTGGGACTAGATGGCGCTGTGTTAATTGTCCAGGGTTATTTATTTATCCTTATCAAAATAACAAGTATTGTCCCGTGCAAAGGGCGGGTTGCTAGTCATATATATAGTTAAAATTATAATGGAATATATTATAAACAGCAGATTCCGAGGACAGCGAGTATAACACGGCGCTGGTGAAGCTGAAGGGTCGACGATCACGCGGTAGCAAGGAACACTCGCCGCTGCAAAACGGCAGCGCCAAGAGGGGACGCAGGTAATATTTTGTAGTGATTGACCACCTCGGTGGTCTAGCGGTCTAGAACACCGCTTTAGGTCCGATGGTCGCGGGTTCGATTCCTCGCACGGCACAAACATTTGTATTCATGAGCATGATTGTTTGTATCGGTCTAGGTGTTTTCTATGTATAATATGTATGTATTTACGAAAAAAAAATTATCTAATATATTAAGTACATATAATTAATATATGTACTTGTATCATCATCATTATCTAGTACTCGTAACACAAGCTTTAGATAGCTAAACTTGGGACTAGACGGCGCTGTGTGAATTATCCTGAGATTATTATTATTATATATCTCTTTGCTCCAAAGTTCAGTCACTGCCTTACACACTTGTGGCAATGGGTTCGATTCCGACACAATACAAACGCGTATTTATGAGTACATCTGATTGTATTGATCTGAGTAGTTTTTATTGTGTTCAATAGTCATTTCAAAGCTAAAATAATTTAAAATGTAATCCTGTCTTATTAATATGTCAATAATTTAATGTTTTTTAGACCAAAAAGTGATGGAAATACAAGCACCGGCAGAAAGTCAAAGGCATCTCTAACGAATGGCGTAGACGGTATGTTTTTTTATATATTTTCTCTTTATTCTTACTATTCCTATACTATATACTTGTCACCATATTATCTTATATATAAAATTCTCGTGTCACAGTTTTCGTACCCATACTCCTCCGAAACGGCTTGACGGATTCTCATGAAATTTTGTGAGCGTATTGAGTAAAGTTCGTACGAATTTTACCCTTAAGGGGGTAAAATAAAATAGGGAATGAAATGGAAATTCCTCATTCGTCCTCTATTCCTTGCGAACGAAGTCGCGGGCACAGCTATTCATTCATTCATTCATAATTTAAGACCTGAGCTCTTGTCGGTGTAGCTCCCGGCATCTTCCACGATCACAAGGGCACAGCTAGTAGGCTATAATTTAAAAATATACTTAAATTGGGCGAAATATAACGATACATGTTAAGTAAGTGTGATGCAGACGAAGTAACGCGGTTCAGCTAGTAATATATAATTTTGAAGAACGAGCTAAGAAGATCTGAGAAGAAACTCAGTTTTTATTCTTTTCAAATGAGCTTGAACATGATTACAAAAATACAAATTCATTTTTAAATTAAAATCTATGCCTACAAGCTGTGGGTACTTTATTTTATTGAAGATGTGTAACACCTTTATGAAACAGAGGAACGTACAAGCGGCCGGAAGCGCAGCACTCGCCACGAGGAGCCGGAGGACGAGCAGCCGCACACGGAACGACTCCAGCAGCTGCTGCGTGACGTCATGAAGCACCGCGACTGCTGGCCATTCTACGAGCCTGTATCCACGGAGGACGTTAGTATAGACTTTAGGATAATGGGGAATGGGGGCTGTAATGGAAACACTCATTGCTATCACACTATATTAGATGGACTTCCGCGAGGTCTACTTAGAAAAGTCAGGCCATTTATACCAAAGTAAAATTGGTAATTAAACGAACTGTTGATTACTAGTTATTTCACTTTGGGATAATTGGCCTGACTTCATCATCAATGACGTCACCTCATCATCCTTCAATAGTGCCAGCATATACCGTTAGTGGAGATGGTTGCACTATTTCGTATTCATTTGTTAAAAAGAAAGACCACTTTTCAGGACTTATAATGCCAAGTGTCAGTGATCAAAATTCTAAATGAATGTAAAATGAAAAATGTGATATGTTAGATACGGCATCATATGCATCATGCTAACCATGATGGCATGGCATGATGCATATCATGAGATATTTTAATAATTTATCAATTTAATGCCGAAAAAAACTGTGCTGGTTTTCATAAGGATTTAGATAACAGATTATATTTCGTGACTGATATTCTGACTCCATTCATCAGTCATTGTCATTCATGATGATGATGCTCAGATATAAGCGGATATGTAGAAATATAAGCGGAGGCTTACAGATCACGTCACAGAACTGCAATGCGTTTGACATTCCGATTCAAAAATCATTAACGCGAAGAATGGAAATAGTCGGAAATTTATTCCTAACTTAAAAAAACTGTAGTATTAATAGAGGTGTTATGTGATGAAATTTTATAAACAGGTGCCTGACTACTTGGATGTAATCGAGCAACCAATGGACTTCACCACGATCAAGTCGAAACTAGATGGAGGTGAATATAGCACGGACGAGGAACTTCTCTCCGATGCTGCGCTGGTGCTAGCCAATTGTTATACGTATAATAAGGACACCCATCCTGTCGCCAAGTGAGTACCATCACCGAAGTAATATATTTGTATATACTAATACGTTAATCGTCACATTCAAGTTCCTTTATAATTTATGTAATTCATATTTTGTTCAGTTTCTTTTTAAAGAGTACATTCAGCCTCGCCTTGCCTCCCTACCTGAAAATCAGTCTCCACCAATCCTCCAGTGAAACTGTATGAGTCATACAGCAATGCAAAAATGGCTCATTGGTTTCAACCTATAAATATTATATATTATTTGTAATTATGCCTATATGTGTGCACTATAGATACAAATAGAAATTTTTATCAATTTATATATCATATTTAATATACATTATTGTTGACATTAATTAAACTGTATGTAGACATTTTGAAAATAATGCTCAAAATGTCTACCTATAGTGACCAAAAACATAGTTTAATTGTCAATACTACCCTGAATATGAATGAGAAATGAGTAGTTACTGTCGATTGTAATAATAATTATCAATGATACATAATAATTATGTTGTATAATAATTATTAAGATAAATAATTGCGGTATAGACTTTATAATTGTAAATCTATTGTTGAAGTCAAGTGTAAATAGAAGATACACAACAGGTGACGAGTCTAATTGCGTTTGTAATTTATCGTTTCAGAGCTGGGTGCCGCTTGGAGAAGTACATCAACAAGCGATGTGCGGAGCTGCAGCTGCCGCCGCTGGCCGACATGGACGGGGAGCGTGACGGGGCCCGTGACACGGAGCCGCAGCCGCACAAGCGAGCCGCGTCCTCGGAGGCCGAGGCGCCGCGCCCCAAGCGACCCAAGCACAAGTGATGGGCGGCCGCGCCCCCGCGCCTCAGGGACTACGTCACCTACTAGAACCAGTTCGTGCACGTTTTCATATCTGACTCCCGAATACCACCAAGTGATGATTTTTTGTGATCGTTTTATAAAACTGAATTTTATGTAAATTCTGCAATATCGTATTGTAACAGTGTAAATAGTGCTTCGTTGTAGGAATTGCATTAAGAGCCTGGGTTTGGTGCTCTGGTCATATATGCACATGTAAACATTGGGTATTGAGTCAATTTTCCAATTGTAACTCTGGATTCTACACTCAAGTGTACCACAAGATACGAGCGAAAGTATGGTTCAATCTGAGCTAACGGATGAAGAACAAGACTTTACTTACGGGTAAGATGACTGTATCTGCGTCGACCAGAATTTTTTTGAAATGAAAGTGATTACTATTAGTATAAAAGTAACCAGAAAATACATTATTAATCACAGTATTATACAAAACTTCAGAACATTCTAGTTTGTGACTTTACTATTCCGCGCAATGCAAAACAGATATAAAATTGTAAAACCAAGTTGCAACTTAACAGGGTACTCAATTCGCATTATTCTAACGCAATGATTATGACACGTGTACTTTATGCAGCAGTAGGACGATAACTGGACTGGTATTTATATATATTAAATCATAGATGTTTGAAAAATCACTCGAGTGGTAAAGTTAAGTTGAATTAGTAAGCGGATCAATTTGCTTGCAGTTACCGACCATTATTAAAACACAGGCCAGCAGGACTGGTTAATATTTAATAATTGAAATAACTACAAATAAAATTGTTACATTTTCTGTTACAAATTGTAATTGTTTGTTTCAAATTTTTACGGTTGTTTTATAAATTTCCACCGCGAACTCTTTGTCTAAAATTTCAATTACAACTGTGGTTTCAAGAAATCATAAACATAATTTATGTCCCAAATTCCAAGTAAAATTTACACCCGAATTATCCAGATAATAACTGTAGTAATTTCAATAAATCATAAAGATGCTTCATGTTTAAAGTCTCAAGTAACATTTACAATCACTTCATCGCATCGCCAGGCGCACACAGTTTATGAAAATATCAATACGCACCATTAAGTCCACTATCAAAGGTTGCAAGCCGTTAAAACATTGGCATTAAAACAATAAAGTAAGAGAAAGGGAATTACATGTTAGCTTTTTTAGCTTTAAAACAATCCATAACCAAACATAAATTCCTGTCTAAAAAACATGTTAGATGTATTGTAGCACAGTATGCCGAATCTATGGTAAATTGTGTCTATTGATAAATATGCATTTTAATATATGAATCTTTTATTAACATTGCCGTAATATTATGTGATATTTGTTACAAGTCTTTATTTAATTTGTGTCGTTCTATAATTGTCTGTCCATCCGTTTTTTTTATTATATTCGTAGCTAGCTATAAAAGTAACCTAAGTTACTTCTTATTACATCAGCTACCTGCCAAGGAAAGTCCCGTTAAAATCGGTCCAGCCATTTCAGAGATTAACCGGAACAAACAGACAGTCAGACAAAAATGGTAAAAAATGTTATTTTGGTGTATATACCGTATTTATATTCATATGCATGTAGTAAAAACGGTTATTTCAATATTACAAACAGACACTCCAATTTTATTTATATGTCTAGATTATAAAAACACTCGCATGCGATTGTGTTAAATTTTATATGATAAGTCTGTTGGTGACTGTATACTGTTATAGTAATGATGTACATGGATGGTAGGTATATATATTTGAATTTGAGCAACGTATTTGCTTTACTTGTGCTACAGATCAGGATCTAATTAATTAGGATATGTAAATCTATTGTAATGTTGTATTGTCTTTTTATTTATTGGTATGCCTTCATAAGTCCATCAACTAAATTCAGGATAAAGGTAACGGTATGAAGCCAAATCCCAGATGTAATGTATGTGATACTGAAAAACTTTTACTAAGAAACAAATTAGGAAATTGGAATTAAATTGCGAACTCTTCATATTACATTGACGGCTTCGGTCTAGCCGTTTAGCACGGCAAACTGCTTATTTATGGAGGTCTTACTTCCGATGGTCGCCGGTTCGAACCCTACCGCGGTACAAAAATATGTATTCGAGTATATTCATATTGGTCTGGGTGTTTTCTGTGTATATTATGGATTTATTAAAAAAAATGTTCAAAAGTATTTCTACCTGTCGTCTGATACCCATAACACAAGCTCTGCTTTGCTTGGGACTAGATGGCATAGTGTGAATGGTCCAGGGTTATGATTATTATTGAAAAATATTTTGGTTATTCAACTTTACTTTGATATTTCAGTTAAATGAACACTGTCATTGATTTTCGGCTTGGTGTTCTATATTTCGGAATTTTATATATCTGAAAAGGCAAATGTCTGTATATTTTATTATTGAGCTGTTTTGTTATGTCCTTAGAGATACCATTAATATCTATGACATGAATCTGTGATAATGTCATAATAGTGTAAATAATATCGTATTAATCAACATGTTGTTGATTCCGTAGCATTTTAATTTGGTTCCGATTCAATATAAGTCAGTCTTAAGGTCCATTACATATTCATTATTTATGTTATTAACCGGGTCTTAACACGAATAATTTTATAGCAAATATAGGTATTTACCTCTCGACGTTTCGACTAGGTTGCACTAGCCGTGGTCACGAGCTGACTGTCAGTCGAGAGAGGTAAATAAATAATAATACCTTTATTGGACATAAAATTATTCGTGTTAAGACCCTGTTAATAATATAAATAATGTATATTAAACACGAAAGTTTTAAAATAACCATTACTATCCGAGACAAATGTTTTTAATCTCTATTATAAAATAATTTTATTCAAACTGTATGTCATGCTAATAAAAAGCTTATTTTGGAAAGAAATAAAAATAGGCCTTAATTATACATAAAAAAAATTTATTAAGTAATTGTGATGTAATGAAGGGATATTGTAATTTAATTATAACTTAGGCTTAATTGATTTTAAATGTGTCAATTGTATTGAATTAATTGTAAATTATTGACATTAATTATCTGGAGTCGTGTTTTTAAAGGTGGATTTTTACTGAACGTATTGAATGTTCCCAAACTACTCCAACTTTTGCCTAATATTAAGTCTAACGTTTTCATTCCGCGATATTCTTACTAGTATTGTATATGATAAATTTAGTTTCATTCTTATTTCTAGGCACCTTATTGGTGGTACTTTTATGTGATATGTAGTATGATATTCTACTTTTTATTCCAGTCATACAGACAAAGGAACCGGTAAAACTAATTATTTATATCCCGAGATATAATAATTTAGGACATTGTCTGTATAAAACGTAAAACTCAATATTTTCCAATAGATTCGTAATAAAAATAAAATAAAAAAAATACGAATATTAGAAGGTTTTAATATTTTTAAATTTTAATCGATTTCTCTAAAGAATCTTAGAAGAATTCTGTGAACAATGTAAAGAGAGGAATAAACATTCTTATTAAAATGTTTTCTGGGATTTGTGTTTATATATTACAATGAAAACTGGACTTAGTTATGAGAGAGCTAAGGGTATTCTTTAGTTGCATAATTGTAAACACGATAAAATTACATTCTCTTGGTTTAAATCCACCTTTAAAGGGTATACGAATTGTCTCTCATATGTTTAATGTAATATTGTCACCAACTCTGGTGTATAAACTTAAAAGAACCAATTTGTAACAAGGATTTTTATACGATATAAAATTTCAGGTGTAATTGTAGATTAATTTAGTTATACATCAGAATTGGAAATTGAATTGTAAGATATATTTGATAAGGTAGTAACGGTATTAATTCGTGTAGAAATTGTCTAGAGATCTATTAATTATAGGACTTTTTCACATTCAATGTTGAGACCGCATACATAGTACTCCATCTCGTATGTTATTCGTCTTGTTTGTATATATATATGTGTATAACTTAACAAAAGAAAAGTAAAATATGAAAGTGTGTAGTTAAATATTTGATGTAAATTGATGTCACAAAAAATAATTTTGTTACTAAACCTATATATAAAGAATCGTGTGTCCTAATAGACTACCAATCAGAGTCGAAACTATTCAGTCTTTGAAACTTTACATTTAGAATGAAGAGTTATTTTATAAGTAAGCTTCCTCTTAAAAGACAAATAACAGCTAGTCAATTAAAAGGTTGAAAGTCTATAGCTTCAGTAGAAAGGATAAATGTTATTTCTCCATATATTTTCACTCATACAGGATTGGGCCTTCAGCCGCTCCATAAGTCCTTCCTTTGGTTTGTAGTGCCATCTGCACTCGCTTCCTATCGTCCGGTGAAGTTGTAAAAGATAGCTGCGGCATTAGGGTATTCCGAAAAAAAATATTGTGATTATATTAACTTACAATAGATGGCGAACTTGTCATAGATATATCAAAAAAGATACTGCTTATGTATAATAAGACATTGTATAACTACAAATCCATTGATCGCGGAGAGTGCTTTATCTCTTTCTTTCAATTGAAAAAATAACTTGTTAGAAAGTAACAGATAAAAGATAAGACCATTTTCAATTATACACTTACCGACATATTTTTTTTATTTGTTCTCCGTGCAGTTCGGTAACTGTAATAGATTTTATAAAGTTTTTGTGAATATGGAGAATTTTCTTTAATTATACATTACGCTGTAACAACAATGAGTCGGGTATAAGATAGAAATAAATTAAAAAAAGACAAAATATTATGCTTTTCCACACCAATATATTGTGGTATGCGGTCTGCACAGTAGCAAAGCACTGTACGTTGCAAATTAAACATTAATAGCTCGGATATATCGCTTATATTGGCTTGTACAGTTATGAACTAATCGTTATAGCCACAAACGATTTTAAATGATTTGCTACAAGCTGTAATATGTTTTGTATCTATAAATGAACATAATTAGTCATAAAGGATGTACCAAGCTAAAAATCTAAGTGGAATTCTTTTCAAATTGAAGCACTATCCTCAAGTTGGAACTTATATACTATATATATCACGTGACCTCGCAAATTAGAAGATTTTAAAAATATTTCCAATATTCTAGTGTCTACGGATTCATAAATTTACTTCAGTTTTACTGCCTTTCAGCTTGGGTAAACCCTTTGCGGCTAACATCAGGGTTGTTAAATATTTAACATTCATTCTCGCTAAACCGATAATTTTGATTATAAGATAAAAATCGGATGTAGATAGAAAATGATTATATGTATATAAATTCTCATTTCTCATCGGGATTATTTTAATGAGAATTGTCGTTATAAGACACTGGTCTTTGTATTAATTGTGATTTCGATTTTGCGATAATCAATTTTATTGCTAGTATTTTAAAACATTAAAACTATCACATGATGTGACTGGGTAGTGTCCATTTGTATTGAAAGCCTTTCATATAGCCAGAATATGAAGTGGTAAGTGTAATGTATGTTATTCTCAAAATGGTATATTCCCAAGTGTAAATCCATAGCTATCGGGAAGAAATTTATAACTCGAGTTATAGTCTTCTATTTCTTTCCAGTATTGTCACACATAAATTCTAAGGTCTATATTTTCCATTAATATAACTGTGGACGACTGGAAGTTCTGGCTTACTTGACAAGTGCATTTAACTAGAGACGAACTGTGAAACAACATTCTATGGATTCACAGTGTGGGTGCCGGATTCGTCGTGTGCCACACGATAGAGAAGTACCGAGCAGTTCCCATGATATGTGACCCGGGTGTAGGTTTAAGGGCCCCTTGACGAAGTAGAACATTCGCTTTCACCGCTTATGTTCCTCTCCCTGCCCTAGCAAATCTGGAAGGGACCAGTGCAGCTTTAGATGATTTTATATGAAAACTTATAACGAGAGTTATTAAATTGCTCCCGCCAGCGTAGATTTTGTACATTGGATGTTTATCCCGCATTTAGTTTAAACCTCAATAATAACATATAAGTAGTATAGTAATTATGTTAGCAACAATGCAAGGCTTGTGTTCGCCTACTGATAGTACCTAATTATTTTAATTTAGCGTTTATTGTTTTTGTTAGGTGTTTTTTTCGTTTACGATTCAAAATCTTTAGTTTTGATTTTTCCATCATTGTGGTTTTGTTTGCTAAATTTTATATTAATTATTATGACCAAATAAAATTCCTAATGTGAGGCAAAGCCGATTTTTTTATATTGCAAAGTGAGACGTCTCTGGTGTTACAAAAGTGAACATAATGCTCTACCACACTATTTGACACCCATATGTTTACTCTTGACTTGAATCTCAATTCGGATTTCACTATAATCCAGTATTGAAAGGTAATAAAGATTAAACGGAATAAATCGCAATGTGCTTTAGTAACTCTGAAGTTGCTTCTGTATAATTCAAGAGAACGAAAAGATCTACGTATACCAATGTCGATCTATCGAAATTAGAACCGACCGGTCGATCGATATGGCCAATCCGTCGGATATAGATCGGACATGCTACGTCATTTATCCGAACGATCTGATCTATCGATCAGGTGTCAAATTGTGTGGTATGCAGTATATTAAATTCAACAAAAGTCGCTATGCAAAAAAAAAAATTAGCTGGATTATAAATGGTTTGCATAGATTTTAAAGGATGTAATTAAGGCCAGCGCAGACGAGGAATATTTGTTTTCATTGTCATTCCTTGTTTATTAGTATAGAAATGAAATTCCCCGCTAGAATAGATACTTATAAATTCTATTTTGCAGTTTATACAAAGTTAGGAACTACATCCAATAATAATTCGATATAACTCCGATAAAGTTAAGTATGTAAACATTTATAAAGAATGAATGGTCATTAATGGCAAGAGCTTTTTCTTTAAAATGTGATAAGCTGCTACTAGCCACTTTTAGTAAAAGATATCTTAAAGATTCTTTCACTCATTTAGTCGTAAATAGGTATCAAATATATTTACAGACCCTATTTCGCATTTATAATATTATTATGTATGAATAATGTGATGAAATTCCTCGTCTACGGCAGGCTTTTAGTATATTTTAATTTGGATTTCTGTATAATAAAAATAACTGTATGACGTCACAACTTGAGCAAATACAACCAAATAATGAAACCAGTGTGTTGTAGTATTGCAAGTAATACTTGTGCATTCCTCTAGAACCTAGCGGTGTTGTGATGGACAATGTGTTGTTTTCATTACTGATGATATTGCCAGCAATTTATTTATTGATGTAATTTGTAAGGTTTTTTTTTTAATTTATATTGTAGTGAATAAAGCACTCTTACCATCTATTCTTGTATTTTAATTAATTTAATCAATTATCTTAATTAATAGTATCCTAATCAGTTTCAATGACTCAAATTTCCACCCTTAGATTGTAGTATTAGTTGTGAAAAACAAAAAAACAAATACACTCTCACATTCTTAATATTATAGTATTGATTAGAATATATCTTCCCTTATATGTTATCTACTAAATTAATTCAATTTCTTATTACTATTTGATTTATATAATGTATTTGTGGACAACATACTAATTGGTCATGATTAATTATTGATTATTATAATTAAAAATATGAGAAATATTCTAAGAGAGATTTTGAGAGATATATATTACTGTTTTCAATTTCTAAAAACCAAACAATTCTGAAAGTTTTATATAGATCCCAGTTAGCAGTAACCTTAAATTTAGAAGCAATATCTGACAATGAAAAATATGTAATATAAATAGAGACATAAAATAAAAAAATAAACAATTTGTAGCTCTTATCTACCTAGCTCACCATCTGCATCATGTCAGCCTTTAAAACAGAGTATCACAATCTATTCATTCATTTAATAGCTACAAATGAAACTTATATACCCTTAATTTGTGTGAGGAGTTAATTAGAGGATTAAACAATAAAACAATGAATCTAAGACATGATTTTACTTGATAACTTAAAACAATTTATATGTATTGAACTTCCCTCTTATACACTTGATTATTTTACTAATAATTTAATGGTGTTCGGCAGCCTCCTTCCTCCTGATCTCGGCCCATTTGCTAACATTCTCAGGTGAGTTAGCTGTAAGGAGAGAATAATATTTCAAATGTTAAATTTGCACAACTTCTAGAATGTGTGATGTTTGTGCATGTGGAAAAGATTCCAAATGAACTAAAAAATCTTTTACAGAGATAGGAATTCTTTTAGAACTCTATATGTCAGTCCTGATTTAAATGAAAAGACAAGAAAATATTTTACACTTAGCTATTTATTCTTACTACATACTTATATATTAATCTTATACTAGGGAGACAGAGTGGTTCCGAATCAATTTGCTATAGCCATATCAAGAATGCTGCGCATTATAGCATGCAGCAATCAATTAATATATAGTTTATTTTTCAAAAGCTGATTCCGAATAGACTGGCAATTTGTGACTTGTCTTTGATTACTAAAGCTAGTTACAATTTATTAAAGGATCTTTTTTATGCAATTTGATTGCCAAACAAGCAGGTGACCCACCTGATGGTAGGTGGTAACTGTCGCCTATATATATGAACAGCACCATGGACTTCAAATTACTAGGTAACACCCATAATACCACTTGTGTAGCCACTCTACAGGATTAAGATGTCATGAATATATATGTTATTCTGTAATTTCGCATAATCTCACCCTTCTGAGTAACCAGAGTTTATGTATGAAACAACAGCTCAATACAGAATAGACTCTGGGTAGACATTTTGTGTTTCTAGTGCAATCGTAATGTTTAAAATATTTTATATAAGAATAATATGTCAAAAATATGTACCCAATTTGTGGATCTTGTAGAAGACAGGTGTGGAGACACCAATAGCGATCAACCAATAACGCCAGATCCATTGGTTTTGTACGTAGTACTTGAGTGGGAACTGCGCAATCTTAGCAGTGAAGGTGTACGGGAATTTCATGGGCCGGCTCGGAGTCTCGGACATGTTGGCGAATTATTTACTGCAAAATGAAATTGTTAATTATTATGTAACGATCCAAGTGTCATTGAGACAATTTTGTAGTTAGAGTTAACGTATCAGTGTTAAACATACAAATGTAAACGAATTATTAGATAAACATTTAAATAATTTACTACCTATTATTAATATTTAAATGATAATATGTAAAATGAAAACTAAAGAAAAAAATATTCTAACCTCAAGAGATTTGAAGCTATTCGATCAATCAACAATCAGCTATTTGTAAAACTGACAATTTATAAAGGTCATTCAAGGAGTGAATTCTTTCACTGTCAAATAACAGAAGTCATTCTTGGATGGCTGTATGGGCGCTTTTCCCTTTGTCTTTTTAATAAAGGATAAAGAACCAAAGGAAAATTATTTTTTGACTGATTTAAAAAGTCTTAATGGTGACAGTAAGTGGCGGTTGGCATTCTAGTGAAAACTAAATTACTACTTCTAGAATGTTTATAGTCTTCACATTTAATTCATTGCAACATTGTCAGTTGGCAGCTGTCACCTAACTTTCAGCTCTGTGCTATCAAATTGACATATCGAAATACAAAATCTGTGTATATGAAAAACAAAATGTCAAGTTGTTTTATGGTGTCGTTTTCCTTTAATTTTATGTAATTTTAGTATAAAATAATTGTATTAGCAATATAATGTTTGACAATGGCTTCGGTAAAAGTCGCTGTAAGGGTTCGCCCATTCAATCAAAGGTAAGTTATTATTCCAATCAGAATTCACCATTTAAAGCCAATGTTTATTGTGTCCCAAGATTTTACTTTTCATTTGCGAAACAAACTTGTGTCTGTATTATTTGATAATTATATGGCATGTTGCATGTTATTCTACAAAGGCATTACGACATTATCGACTAATTATATAGACAATAACTAGGCATGTTTACAATTTAATTCTGAGATTTGGAAGTAAAAAAAAAATAGTGATGTCATATATAAAGTGGCAATGACTTTCACGGTTCAGTTGTATTTAGAGCGCAACTGTACCTCGGCCGGGTGATTTAGATGAAAGTTGACGAAAAAAATATAAAAAAGAATGACCCACATTGAGAGTAATTGTCCACCTTTGTGTGACGTTTTTGGAGAATGTCCACTTGATGTTTTGTTTGTCAACATGCCAGTCATTCACAAACACTCTTTGTTTATTGTTGAATGCAAATACTTTGGTTGGATTCACATTATTGTTCAGATATGATATGAGATATAAGAGTGTATTGTATAATAATTATATTATATTAAAAGTAAAAAAATAGTAGCAAAACATATTGGTAACAGTACATTATGACCCTTATGACAATGAGAACCTAAAATAAATCATATAGTTATAGTATGAAATGTTCTTTTAAATAAATAACTGCACTGTACACTTGTAAATTACATGGGCATGTTTATTTTCAATAAAAATACAATCCTAATACCAACCTGAGACACCTTTATATTTTTAAAACACTACAATAGTATTATTTTATTTAGTTATTTATTATTAATAATGTTCAAGTCACAGAAAAATGATATAAACATGACAAAATAAAATAAACCCTAATACCTTTTTTTTAATTCCCTTTTATTGGAGCAGTTCAAATGTTTTTAGTTCTATATTTGAATAATTCTAATATTCTTAAGATTAAACTTATTTCTTTAATGTGAATGAAGTTTTGAGTCAAAACAACTGTTAAATCATATTTACTTAGCAAAGCCTATTATTCACTAAACAATTCCTTGAATGATACTTGTGCATGGCACTTGTTATTGCACAGGATTCTCATTTAATGTTAGACATAGGCACCTATATAAATAGACATTGTAAATAAACTGGCTTTTAAAAATAATAAATAAAATATTCAATTCAGTTTCTTGCCAGTTCTTCTCAATAGCCTCTATATACTGAACTGGATGTTAGGGAAAAACTATAATATAAAGAATTTGATGTTCATAAATGTTTAAAATTAATGTGTAAAGAAATTTGTTTCCAATTGCTGTGTGACCTGCTGTGACATGTTAGATTTTACATTATTACATCTAACAATGCATAATTTAAAAACAAACTGCATTTTACAAATATGATTTCTTTCCATTGAAAATTATATATAGATAATGAGATTTCTCACATTGTCAACTCCTTGTATGATTTCTATGATGTGTAGAAGAACTAGTGATACTGCTACAACACTATCTACTCAGATAGATATTTAATAACTGAAAAATAACATGAAACATATGTTACAAAAGTCTTGTATAGTATTGATTTTATTTACAATTTTTAAGTCTATATTTCCAATTATGTTTTCTTCTTTTATGTATGGTCACATCTGGTTTGAAGCCTCCAACTGGCTCCATGATTTTTTGTTTGTGTTCTATAACAATAATTGTCACCCTCAATATAAGTTTTTATCAAAAAAGTCAAATATGTAGGGTACTAAAATATAATCATTCTATGTAAGCCTCAATACAAGCATTCATATTAAAAAACATGATTCTAAAATATAAATGTGTTTTAATCCATAATAGTTTGTCTGTATTTAGTATGATTAAGTTCTGAATAAATATTTTCTACAACAAGCAATTTTTTTCTTTCTTTAATCAAGCATATCACTTACTCTTAGACAACCATAGTACATATGTAAATACAAACATCTCGGTATCTCCTATGGCTTCTCTAAAAGCGTTCGATCCCAAATGGGGATATTATAGAGGAAGATTGATCTAATAAATAATAATTTGTTACAGAGAGAAGGATATGAGCGCCAAATTGATTGTCCAGATGGATGGCAAGAAGACCAGATTGCTCACAGTGAAAGTAAGTACAGGTTTCACCAGATGCTTTATGTTATATGGCCTCGACCGTTTAGCAGTTTGCTTTCGATAGTCGCATATTTGATTCCTCGCACGGTACAAACATTTGTATTTATTGAGTACTAGCTGTGCCCGCGGTTTCACTCGCGTGACATTTATAGCCTATATGTCATTCTGATGTATGAGCAATATTACTGTAAAATGTCACCAAAATCGGTTCAGTAGTTTTTGCGTGAAAGAGTAACAAACATCCATACTTACAAACAATCGCATTTATAATATTAGTAACATTTGCAGTAGCATCCTCTGATGATGTAACCTGTAACATTATAGAAACATTGATGGCATTACTGGTAGACCTTACTGCCAATGACTTTAGGTTTCTTTTCCTTGTACAATACAAACATTTGTATTCATGGGTATGACTGTTTCTATGCAAAATGTACTTGTATTAGACTAAACTATAGTATCCCTAGTAAAAGCTTAAATTGGGACTAAATGGTGCAGTGTAAATTGTCTTGGATTGTTATTATTATTGAAGACTTTGAATGAGTGTGTCTGAACTTTGTACGGAGACATCTGAGATTTCCGATATTCTTATTAGACGTCAGATATAATGCAATATATAGAGTTCAGATATTCTTGTTAGACGGGAGAGAACTTTCATAACTTAGACATGTAGACTTTGTGTCGGGTATATCTAACCCATATGTTTCCATCCAACTGTGTTGGCATAGTTTAAATAGTGTATTTGTGTATTTTAGTGCTACTACTTTGTAGGTTCTCAGTGATTTAATTTTATTACTTCCTCAAACTTAAGTTGCCAATGGATAAACAACCATATTAGTATAGCAGTTAAGCACACTTTCCTTACATTACTTTCCTTATCTAAATCTTTATTATATAGAATAGTCTGACATATAGTTTTGAAAGTCAGTATTGTCAAAACCTAATGAAATTCCACAAATATTTCTTTCTGGTTCGGAGTGATTTCAAGATAAGTAATCTATCAAGAAACTCAGCTCCTATTCTTTTCAATTGAGCTTTTACATTATTACAAATACAGATACGTTTTTAAATTAATTTAGGCAGAATATAGTGACCACCAGCATAGCTGTTGTATTTTTTTTATAAGGAAACAATTATAATCAGTAGTCTAAATATATATAACTCAAAGGTGACTGACAGTGATCTATCAACGCACAGCCCAAATCACTAGACCGATCGGGCTGAAATTTGGCATGCAGGTAGATGTTATGACGTAGGCACCGCTAAGAAAGGATTTTGATTAGTTCTACCCCCAAGGGGACAAAATAGGGGATGAAAGTTTGTATGAAACTTTGTCAATTTTAAACCGATCGGGCTGAGACTTTGCATGCATAAAGCTACTATGACGTAGGCATACCCTTAGAAAGGATTTTGATAAATTCCACCTCTAAGTGGATGATTTAACGCGCGAAAATAGAAGCCGAGGCAAAAGCTAGACGTTCATGAAAATGGCTGTACAGTTTCGTGTATTATACATTATCTATTTTTAGTCAAGTAGTTATACACTATATGTAGATAGGAAGGATATAAAGACAAATCAAAGTACCTACAGGACATGCATGACGCGTCATCGACCGCCCTGACTTAAACTGGCGTAGTAACACTACATTCTTATTTGCATCGTGGCTTAGGGTTGTCATATCATTACATAGTATAATATATTTTCTCATGTAAATATTGGCTAGTTTTGTACCTAGTTGAACTAGAGTCTGTATTAAGTTAAAGTTTATGTACTAATATATTTCTGATTCCTGCGAAGCATGCCTTTAGGTTAGTGCAGGGATTTTTGTTATAACATTTTATCTCTATTCATTCATGTAAAAGTAAATAAATAAATCGTTATATAGTATAAAACAAAGTTGCTGTCGCTGTCTGTCCGTTCTTTATGCTATCTTTAAAATAGTTTTTGAAGAGGTTTTTTAAATAGATAAAGTAATTCTAGAGGAATGTTTATAAAATACATGTACACACGGGTGAAGAAGGGGCGTTTTGGGAAGGGAAGTTTGAAATCAACGCAAGAATTAACAACTAATGTACCCTTTATGCAGATTATCTAAAATAATGACTGATTGTGACTTGTGTCTAGACTTGTGTGGAAAAAATTAACCTAAGTTTCCCCCATATATATATATTTCGTTAAGTCGCGGTCAATTATTCGGGGGGATTTCATATACGATTTCACAAAAATACGATCTTCGAGCCAATGTTGCGTTTAAGCCAATTTGAATACATATGGAAAAATATATTTATTTTTGTAGTCATAAAATATCAGATCGAGTGGCAACCCTGATTTTATGACTACATAATGCGCTTTATATGAATGAAAAGTACCTATTCAATCATCATGCACAACCTACACTATCTATTCTTAATTCACTTGATAATATAATACATGTCACATATTAATTAGAAATTTCTCATCCTTTCATTGATATTAATTCGGTTTACAGCGACTTTGTTTTATACTATGTAACGACTTTGTTTTATATATATAATGATAATCACTGTATTAATTCATTAATACGGTGATTATCATTACATAGTATAAAACAAAGTCGCTGTCGCCGTCTGTCCCTATGTATGTTAAAATCTTTAAAACTACGCAACGGATTTTGAAGCGATTTATTTTAGTAGATATAGTGATTCAAGAGGAAGGTTTATATGTATAATACATGTACACCCGTACGAAGCCGGGGCGAGTAGTTAGTTACATAGCATAAAACAAAGTCGCTGTCGCTGTCTGTCTGTCCCTATGTATGCTAAAATCTTTAAAACTACGCAACGGATTTTGAAGCGGTTTTTTTTAATAGATAGAGAGATTCAAGAGTAAGGTTTATATATATAATGCATGTACACCCGTGCGAAGCCGGGGCGAGTAGGTAGTTCAAGATATTTTATATAATTGTAAATAACGAGTCACGCTAAATATTTTTTTATTATTTTTCCTTTTATATATCCAGAGTTTTAAATTATGTCTACATCTTCAGCATAATACCTTCTGTAAGCGAAAGTATATGATGTGTGTATGGATGTTTGTTAATGTTTATTGTGAAAATATTGTTTCACCCATCAATTCTGGTTTAATGAATAAATAGAATAATAATAATAATTTTGAGTTCAAGTTATTAAATACTAGCTATGCCAGCGGTTTTTAAATTTTATAGCCTATATGTTATTCTGATTTACAAGTTTTAATCCTTAAAAATTTCATCAAAATCGATTCAGTAGTTTTTGCGTGAAAGAGTAACAAACATCCATCTATACTCACAGACTTTCGCGTTTATAATATTAATAAGATTAAGATTCTCATCTATATATGTATATATAACTCAAAGGTGACTGACATAGTGACCTATCAACGCACAGTCCAAACCACTGGACGGATCGGGCTGAAATTTGGCATGCAGGTAGATGTTATGACGTAGGCACCGCTAAGAAAGGATTTTGATTCGTTCTACCCCCAAGGGGACAAAATAGGGGATGAAAGTTTGTATGAAACTTTGTTAATTTTAAACTGATCGGGCTGAGACAGTAGGCATCCCCTAAGAAAGGATTTTGATAAATTCCACCCCTAAGGGTATAAATTAACGCGAGCGAAGCCGCGGGCAAAAGCTAGTTCCTGTATAAAGTACATACAGTTGCATTCCCTAGGTCAAAATTTAGTTTAGAGGTTCAAGTTATCAAGTATTGATTTGTTGTATTCGTGTTATAGAATAGCAAAGAGCAAAATGACGCCAACCGGGAGAAGTATAAAGATTTCACATTCGACCACTCGTACTGGTCGTACGACAGCGGGGACCAGCACTACGCGTCGCAGGAACAGGTGAGTACACAGCGCCTTAATACCGATGTTTGCGGGTTCGATTCCACGCACATCTCATTTAAGTTTTAAGTTGCGTTCCAACTTATCATTTATTAATATTAATCAATGTTCTATTGTTACAAACTGGAAAGAAAATAGTATATTTTTGTGTGTTTGTGTGTTTTAAACGTAACAAGAACAAAAACTTTATACCACTGTCCACGCAATTTTCGCAAAAAAATTTTTGCTAAATCACATATTAATATAAACATTATATTTGTCGTTGTGTGAATTTTTCAGGGAATTGCTTAGCTTGTTAAGCAGAGCTCGTTATGGGTACTAAACCACTGTCAAATATATTAGAATACATTTTTTTTAATACACGTAAAAATAGAAAACATACTCTGGAAAACAAATGTTGTACAGTGCGAGAAACCAAACCCGCGACTATGCGAAGAATAGTGGTGTGCTAAACCGCTATTCCACCGAGGCCGTGAAATACAACAGAAATCAAACTGGATTCAATATTTGTTGTAAGAATACAATGCTCGTGACCTTGTCCGTACTGTCTCACATAAAGGATGACGTAAATTCGGTTACCCGGTTTACTTACGAGTCTGAAGACGCATGAATAATCGTGGATAATTGTATCTGAACTGCGCACGTTATTTTTACGAGCTGAATTACGAGACCCATTATATCTACTTGTAAAATAGCTCGCTGTCATACTGTTTCCCCAGATAACTTGAAATGTAAATTTTTATATCTCTGGGATTACTTATATTATTTACTAGCTACTCGCCACAGCTTCGCACGGGTGTACATGTATTATATATATAAACCTTCCTTTTGAATTACTCTATCTATCTAAAAAAACCGCTTCAAAATCCGTTGCGTAGTTTTTAAGATTTAAGCATACATAGGGACGGACAGACAGCGACCGCGTCTTTGCTTTGTGAATTATAAATTAAACATTGAAATGTAATTTTTATATTTTTTTTTTGTGTGGTTTTTTATACACCCCTCGTCTATTCTCTGATGGGGAGACGGCCTTTGGAGATAATTCTTATAGGGTTAAAAAAAAGTGCTATATTATGGTTAGCTATAAGTAACTACACCAATTAACATATAGTGCGCCATATAATTACGCAATATCAAGGTGATAATGATAAAACACACGTGTTATCGCAAACGTACACTCAATAATATCGTTATCGTAAAATCTTTTCATAGTATACAATGAAGTCGCTTCAGATATCTGTTCGCTTATATCTTTGAAACTACGCAACCAAAATCAAAAATTATTTATTCATGTAGGACATTTTAGCCGATTATGAAAGCAAATTTGTATTAATACTTTTTTCCTACCGCCCAGTTCAGTATACAGATTCAATTGAGAAAAACTGATAAGAAATTCAACTGATTTTTTTGTTTTATTTATCCGTAACGGAAAGGCAAAGAGTCTAATTTAATACTATTACCAAAAAATAACACAACTGTGGTCATTTTATTCATTTTAGTAAATTTAATTTTGTTAATAATTTGTGCAAATGATGCCCCTGGCATACAGTAATTTAATACATTAAGCCCATACAACCGTTGTCTTTGGAATTTTAACCCAGTTTATACATTATGTACTTATATAGCTTTCAATTCCATCCATCAATCTACTTATCAACGTCACAAAGATTATTTAGGCTCTAACCTCTGCCGTTTCGTTTCAAATTACTCTCAATGCCTTAGATAAAGAAACATGATTATTGACTTTACCATTTATAATTAATGGTGTTACACACGGTAGTTAACAATAGAGAAATAAAAATAAGATAAGACTAGGTGTCTATGTCTAACATTAAATGAAAATCCCGTGCCTGAACAACTATTGCCATGCATGCTCGTCATTCAATTAATCGTTTAGTCAGTAATAAGCTTAGCTGAATAAGTATGATTTAACAGATGCTTTGCATTGTTAAGTGTCTTTTTTAAATGAAAAATCCTATGCAGGAACAACTATTGCTAACAACGGCAGTGAAGCAGTAATTTGAATGCAGTTTTTGGCTATAGATAGAGTGATTCTAGAGGAAGGTTTATATGTATAATAGTGGTACCCATGACTTCGTCCGCATAAAATAACTTGACCAAATAATGAAAATATATTTAATAATCTCACCTAATAAAGGCCTAATAAAAAAGTTTCATCGTTCTAGCTTTAAAAATAACGATACTTCACCTTACAACATTTACAATCTTTCATCTCCCCTTTCAACCCCCTTGCAACCCTTTTTTCACATTACAAAATAGCCTATGTCCTTTCTCAGGGTCCAGACTATCTGTGTACCAAATTTCATTTCAATCGGTTCAGTAATTATGGCGTGAAATCGAGACAGAGTTACTGTCGCATTTATAATATTTGTAAGAATTACAAGTACACTCGTGCGAACTCGGGGCGGGTCGCTAGTCATATATATATATATATATATATATATATATATATATATATATATAATGATAAGAACTGTATAATTAGATTTATGATTACTCATCGCTGCTATTTGTTTAGGTTCTTTTGTATTATTCATGAAATTGAAACTAATCTACAAATATATAAATTTGATTGTAATATCTATGATATTTAGAACTGTATAATTAGATTTATGATATCAAGCACGATTTCAAGAACAACCCTCTTAATTAATCAGGAATCTTTTGTAATCTATTTATTGCATTAATTGCAGAACAAAACCAATTAAAATAGAAAATATGCTGTTTAAGCTAATATATATAAATTTGATTGTAAGAATCTCTACATCGTGAAGATATTTTTGCATTAGAAACATAGTACGTTTTGCAGAACGTAAGCGGTTTAAAGGCCAGCTACGACATTTTCCAAAAAAAAAAAATGTAATTGAGAGAATATTCTTACTACTAAATATACACAGTTTAGTACTATCGATTTTCAAGAAAGATCAACCCTCTTAATAAATATATACATTAATTGCTACAAAAGAATAATCTCTTCGATAATAAAACAAAAATAAGGAAAAGCTATTTATATTCATTAAAAAATATAACTGCAGAACAAATTACCAATTAAAATAGAAAATATGCTCGTTCTAGGGAGATTAAAAGAAGTTCTGCTTGTTCCCCATATACCCTGGAAAATTCACACAGCGCCATCTAAGTCCTTCAAAGCTAGATGTCGCTGTGTCGATTATGTTCATATCTCTACATCGATGGTCGGTGGCAAGATATTTTTGTTTGTATCGGTCTAGGTGTGTTCTATATATGTATGTATTTACGAAAAATATCTATGTCTTTGTATCAGTTGTCTAGTACCTATAACACAAGTTCTGCTTACCTTGGGACTGGAGGGCGCTGTGTTAATTGTCCAGGGTTATTTATTTATGTTCTCCCCGCCGATCGAGCCCCCGTCCAATTCAAACCGGGATCGAAACATCGATCGATCACGACGAACTGAGCCGAGGTGCGAACCCCTAGCGTTGCCTTCAGAACAAAATCGTATCCGTCAGGCGGGAGTTGGCCTTCAGCCGCTCCTTAAGTCTTTCCTTTATTTTGGAGTGCTATCTGCACTCGCTAACAGCAGTAAAGGCCAGCTACGGCTAACAGCATTACAGAGTAGTCCGAAAAGAAATGTTTTTGACTTTTGGTATTATTTTGGCAGGTGTTCGCAGACCTTGGCCTGGACGTGATCGACAGTGCCTTCGAGGGTTACAATGCGTGCGTGTTCGCGTACGGACAGACCGGCAGCGGGAAGACATTCACCATGATGGGCTCGTCTGTGAGTATATCCACGTCTCATCTCTCTGTTTTTTTTTAATAAGCGTTTTGGGCTGTAGAATAGAATAGAATAGAATAGAAAACCATTTATTCAAATAAACTTAATTTAAGCACTTTTGAATAGTCATAATAATTTGTTTTTTATCTACCACACGTTCGGAAAGCTGTCTCATCACAAGAAGAACGAGCAAGATACTTGTGTGTTGCTCTTTTAAATAGCTGTTACCAGCCTCTTATTATTTTTTGTATTATTTATTGACTGCGAACCCAGATGACCCGCTGCAGGTATAACCTGGTAAAATGGCGTGTCGCTTCAAGGGAGGCTTGTGACTGCGGAGAGCCATCCCAGACTACGGCCCATCTATTGACCTGTCGTTTGTGCCCAACGTCCCGCACAAAGGAAGATCTAAAAAATGCGACAGAATGCGCAAAAGTCGTTGTGACATTTTAGGGAAAATACATGCCATTAAAACGAAAGAAGAAGACTGGAAAGTTTCATCAAAATCCGTTCAGTAATTTTCACGTGAAAGAAACAAACATCTATCCATACTCACAAACTTTCGCGTTCATAATATTAGTAAGATATCGCTATTAAAAAATATTATAGAATTTGATGGCGGATGAAAATGTAGGGTTGTATTTATTTTTTAATGTCGTATCCTAAAAAAATAAAAAATTATATGGTACCACACAGTAAGCGCCAGGCTATTAATAAAAAATCAAAATCGGTTCTCGTAAAAAAGTGTATTGAAGTAACAAAAATAATGCAATTGAATTGATAACCTCCTTCAATTTGTTTAAGGTTGAATACAGATTGAATAAATCATTTTGTTTATATTATTAATCGGGTCTTAACACGAACTAATTTTATGGCAAGTAAAGTCGAAACGTCGCGAGAGGTAAATACCTTTATTTGCCATTGATTTAGTTCGTGTTAAGAAGAAAGTTTAAAAATAACTAAATCATTTTGTTTTTATTATCGGATCACTATGTTTATATCTGGCATATCAGTTAAACCGCTCTGATACCTGCTATATTATACTCTTCTGATTATTATGTGTACACGATGATTTATAGATAAACGGCCTCGGTGGTCTAGCGGTGAACCATACTGCTTGATTACCGATGGTCGCGGGTTCGATTCCTCGCACTGTTGTAACACTTCCGGAAGTGGTGGTTAGGTTTCCGCACTGAATGTTTGTGGTTGTACATATTAAACATAATAATAATAATAATAGATAAGCAGAAGGTACGCAGAGCTTATTATATACTAGCTGTACCCACAACTTCGTCTGCGTGGAATTTAACTTTTTTTTTCTAAAGAAAAAGTAGCTTAAGTTACTCCTTATTAAAAAAAGTCTTTAAAGTTTAGTACAAATGCTTAAAATGAAAAGAAATTCTATTTGCGTATTATAGAGTTAGATATTAGACAATATGTCATCATCAATCATATTATTGGCGACTGTTTAATTGCCCTAATTTATGGGCATGCAATTTTTTAAATTTATTAAAATAAAATAATCTATAATGTCAATGATATAAATACTTAGACATTTTTTTTAAATACATACGTAATATACATAAAAAACACCCAGACCGATACGATCAATTATACTTATGAATACAAATGTTTGTACCGTCTGAGGAATCGAACCCGAGATCTTCTGAAATAAAGCGGCGTGTTAAACAACTAGACCACTGAGGCCTTCCAACTATTACATTACTATTACCATTAATGCATTTCTAATTTCTTCCCAGGAGTACCAAGGTCTGATCCCCCGGATCTGTCGTCAGCTGTTCTCGCGCGTGGCGGCAGGCAAGGAGTCCGGGGCCTCGTACCGCACCGAGGTCAGCTACCTGGAGATCTACAACGAGCGCGTGAAGGACCTGCTGGCCACCGACGCGGGCCACTCCCTCAGGGTCCGGGAGCATCCCAAACTCGGGCCGTATGTGCAGGACTTGTCCAAACATCTCGTTTCAGATTACGATGATATACAGGTAGGATATTTTTGTTTAATAGGTATTTATTTAAAGAAAATTTTAACAGATTCTGCGGTATTAGTGCACATTTGACAGCCTCGGTGGTTTAGCACACCGCTTTACTATCCGATGGTCGTGGGTTCGATTCCTCGCACGGTACAAACATTTATATTCATGAGTATGATTGTTGGTATCGGTCTGGGTGTTTTCTATGTATAATATGTATTTATTTACAAAAAATATGTATTCATGTATTTATATCAGTTGTCTAGTACCCATAACACAAGCTCTGCTTAGCTTGGGACTAGATGGCGCAGTGTGAATTGTCCTGAGATATTATTGTATTATTATTTTTATAATAATATAAAAAATATCTTAGATGTTCATATGATAGTAAATTGAATAATCCTTGTTAATGGTATTTATTTGTTACATTTATTTAAAAGTTCAAGTCTTGTCAATTCTTATGATGAGTCATATATCCGGTAATGAGTTCAAAAATTGACTATTCAAAAGTGTTCATTTTTCATTCATAAACAAGTTTTCGACAACTATGTTCCTCTTGTCTACCTATACTGAATACAGAGTATTTGAAACATGAAGAAAAAAATTCTTGAAACTTTAAAGACTGTCCTATTTACAATACATCAATCAAAACTATAGATGTTAAAATATTAACATAATATAGTTAAATAAAAATAAAAAACTTGGCTTATTACAAAATTTGTTTTTATTCATCATCAGAGCAAAAATCATTGTTTTTTCGGTGACATTAATTATAAATCTGTCTGAAAAATTGACAATAATTTATCTTTGAAACAGTGTTTTGTGTTAAGTTTATTTGAGACTAAAATTGTTCATTTCTATTTCTATGTCTTTTAAAAATGTAGACAGGCAATTTTCTTGCTCATTCTTCTTACATTATTTTTTTGAGTGGTAGAATTAAAAAAAATGATGACTATTCAAAAGTGTTTATTTTGTATTAAGTTCATTTGAATAAAGATTATTGGTCTCTTCTATTTTATTCTATTATTCTTGACATGAGTCAGATCCATCCAAATATTGGTACGAATATAAAAATATACAATATACACTATTACAACAAACACAACAGTTTATCAAAAACAATAACAAAACAGTGTGAGCGCAAAAAAAGCATTCGTGCATCAGACCAGAGGTTAGAAGCCGAATTACGAACAAAATGACGACCGACGCTCGACGCAGATGAACGACGTTGTCGTCTCGCTCGCAGCGCGATCTTCATAAGCCGTCAAATACTGATTGTAGTTACATAACCAGCTTATATCAGAGCCACAACAACATGCCCAGCGAAATAATATTATTTTGTAGTTTCCAAGGATCTATTCACCTCATTGTTCATTCATCTGACCGAGAACTGAGATCACTATTACTTTAAATATGGCAACATTATTTCATAACGTGACATTAGCTACTGTCAGTTAGCTTCGTCTAATTAAAAATACGACTATAGATGGCGCTGTGTGAATTGTCCTGAGATATTATTATATTATATATTATTATTATAATATAGCTAATATCTTAGATGTTCATATGTATAGTTAAATTGGAACCTAATCCTTGTTAATGTGTATTTATTTGTTACATTTATTTAAAAGAGTTCAAGTATCTTGCTCATGCTTCTTATGATGAGTCATATTTCCGAATGAGTGAGAGAATCAAAAATATGACTATTCAAAAGTGCTTATATTAAGTTTATTTAAATAAAGATTATTTCTATTTCTATCTGTATTAAAAGAGCAATACGCATGTTTTTTGTTCATTCTTCTTGTGATGAATCTGCGTTCCGAATGAGTGATAGAATATAATATGACTACTCAAAAGTTCCTTGTGTTAAGTTTATTTGAATAAAAATTATTTCTATTTCTATGTCTATTAAAAAGCAATACGCAATTTTCTTGCTCATTCTTCTTGTGATCTGTATGAGTGGTAGAATTAAAAAAAAATGTCTATTCAAAAATGCTTATATTAAGTTCATTTGAATAAAGATTATTTCTATTCTATTATTCTTGTTATTAGTCAGAGTTCCGAATATGTGCTAGAATATAAAAATGTGTCTATTCAAAAGTGCTTAGTTTATTTGAATAAACACTCTATTTGTATTTGTATAGGAGTGCATGCACCGCGGCAACCTTCAAAGGACAACAGCGTCGACGCAGATGAACGACGTGTCGTCTCGCTCGCACGCGATCTTCACGATTACGTTCGTCCAGGCCAGCTACCTGCGCCACAACAACATGCCCAGCGAGACCGTCTCCAAGGTCCACCTGGTCGACCTGGCCGGGAGGTGAGACATATAATAACTAGCTGTACTCGCGACTTCATCCGCGTGAAGTAGTGAAAAGTCATTAGTAGTTTCAGTAGACAGAGTTACTTTCACATTTATAAAATTAGTAAGGTTTTTTATAATTTTTATATAAATTGGCTCAAACAGTTTATAAACTATTTGAGCCAGTCAAAAATGTCGAATTTGCATAAATACTTTCATCTCCTATTTTATTTTGCTCTCTTAAGGGTAAAATTTTTACGAACTTTGAATGTCATTATTATTTATATTCAACAACTTAAACAAATAAGTTTCAAGCTTCTAGCTTTAAAAATGGCGCTTCTTCCATAATACCTTGCATCTCCCCTTCTCACACAGCGCAATAAGTGTAGATTCAATAACTGCAATTTATGGAAGGTCGTAAATGCATCTAGTAGCCATCTAGACTCATGTTAAACTAGTTAAAGCTTGTGTTATGGGTAATAGATAACTGATATAAATACATAGACTTTTTTTTAATAGATACATATGTTATATAGAAAACACCCAGACCGATAAAAACAATCATACTTATGAATACAAATATTTGTTCGGCACAGAGGAACAGACAGCATACCAGGAATCAAACCCGCAACCATCATACTTTTATTTATAGAATTTTTCTTTATATTAATAAATTAATTAATATTTGAAAGTATACGACGGCCGATACGACGATTTACATCCGATGGTCGCGGGTTCGATTCCTCGCACGGCACAAACATTTGTATTCATGAGTATGATTGTTTGTATCGGTCTGGGTATTTTCTATGTATAATATGTATGTATTTACGAAAAAAAAATTATCTATGTATTTGTATCAGTTGTCTAGTACCCATAACACAAGCTTTAGTTAGCTTAACTTGGGTCTAGATGGCGCTATGTGAATTGTCCTGAGATTATTATTATTATTATTATTATTATACGGCGTGTAGCGAGCGTGCAGACGCGACGGGCGCCACCGGGCAGCGGCTGGTGGAGGGCGCGCACATCAACAAGTCGCTCGTCACGCTCGGGTCCGTCATCTCCGCGCTCGCAGACTCCTCGCATCAGCAGCAACAGCCCGCAGGTATCTGTTGTAGACATATCTAATATAATTATAACTGGAAATATGTTTTAACGGTAATGAAAGACAGAGTGAAGTGACATATTATATAATTTTATTTTTACAGTTTTTATTAATAAATAATAAAAAAATCAGTAAATATATTAATATCAAAGAGTTTCTCAACAGTATCCACGTTGATAAACATTAGCATATGAACTTAAACTTTTATCTACCGTAATCAAGGCAAACGAACACACCTGCTGTTTTTTTTATTGATGATAATGGATACATCCGTCTGCGGTTACGGTTTACGCTGGCGGGGCACCAGTGGAAGAGATGAACAATATGAAATAAATTTCTTAAATAAGAATTGAAATAAACGTTATAAGCAAGTGCATAAGGTCTATCATTAGCAAAATCTCCGGTTACAGTTTACTCTGGCGGGGCCCTAGTGGATAAAAAGATGTTCAATTAAATAAATTTCTTAAAGAATTATAAATAGATGAGAAAAGAATTGTAAAAAAATATATGAAATAATTTTTAAAGTTATAATTAGCAAAGTCTACGGTTACGGTTTGCTCTGGCGGGGCGCCAGTAGATAAGAAGATGATCAATTAAATAAATTTCTTAAAGAATTATAAATAGATGAGAAAAGAATTGTAAAAAAATATATGAAATAATTTTTAAAGTTATAATTGGCAAAGTTCTCTATAGATAAAAAGATGATCAATTAAATAAATTTCTTAAAGAATTATAATTATAAAGAATATAAAGAAATATATGAAATTTTCATAAGGTCTATTATTGTCAAACAAAAATTAGAAAATTTGTGATCCATTCCAAACCACCCTTGGAATCGCAACTCACGTTCTCTATTCTTCAAAATACATCGACCTTAATTATTATAGAAATTTTCCATAGGATCCATTCCATAGTCTTCTATAGCCATATTATATCTCCTCGGCATATACCTTTTTTGAATAATGTGTATGTACTATTATAAAAGATCGTGAAAAAAGATTAAAGCATGTGGTACTTAATGTTGTAAATTGTTTAACCAGACCGCAGTAAAAACAACAAGAAGAACGTATTCATCCCGTACCGCGACTCGGTGCTGACATGGCTCCTGAAGGACTCGCTCGGCGGCAACTCCAAGACCATCATGATTGCAGCGGTAAGTCAACTCGACCACATCTGTACTAATACGATTATTTACTTTTTTATTTTATATTATGGCTCGGGACATAGCGCATTTGCCAGAGATAACAGTTATTTACTTCTTTGTGTCCTTTCAATATTTTTTTCTTTTTAGTCAATTAACATAGAAATAGAAATAATCTTTATTAAAATAAATTTAATATAAGCAGTTTTGAATAGTCATATTTTTCATTCTACCAATATTACACATTCGGAAATCTGACTCATTACAAGAAGGAGCAAAAAAACTTGTGTTGCTCTTTTAAATAAATACACATTAATAAGGATTAGGATTCCAATTTATCTCATCCAAGATATTAGGTATATTGTGTGCACTAATTCTGTAGAATCTGTTAAAATTTTCTTTAAAATAAATATCTATAACACAAAAATAACCAACCTGTATATAATCATAATCTGAAACCATCTCAAGAGGTATCATCAACAAGAGCCCAACGAAACTTCCGCGAGCTGCGCGAGATGCTCTTATATAAATGTTGTCAACGAGGATCAGAATTCCGCGAGCTGCGCGAGGAGATTTTTAGAATTTTGTCATCAAGGCATCCAACTATCAAATAGCGAGATAGTTACCGACATCATCAACAAGCCGACCATCAAGTCCCAACACAAGCAGCACCCATTCCCGAGTATGACGTATGACTCTTGTAAGTTTATTTAAGTGGTGTTCGTTCGTTGGTAGATATCCCCGGCGGACTGCAACTACGGCGAGACGCTGTCGACGCTGCGGTACGCGAACAGAGCGAAGAACATCATCAACAAGCCGACCATCAACGAGGATCCCAACGTGAAACTCATCCGCGAGCTGCGCGAGGAGATCGAGAAGCTACGAGCGCAGATAGCCCATAATACCGTAAGTTGTTAGACTTTATTAGAATCCGGCAAAGCACTTGCAATTCCCCTGGTCTTGCAACTTATCCGCCAGAAGCTAAAATATCATTTTGATCATTGGATGAATGGCGATCGTCCATCGTGCATTCTGCTAGAATTTTTTGCGACGCGCAACCTCATTTCGAATCACCTTACAATGATATATCCGAACCCATACGTTTTTGTGACTTTACAGAAAAGAGCATATTCCTTCTTAAATGACCGGCAACATACTTGCAATTCCTCTGGCATTGCGGATGCTCGTGGGCGGCGGTAATCACTTACCATCAGGTGAACCGCAAGCTGCTTTGTCCCCTATGCTATATAAAAAAACAACAATGTATGTCTTGATGGCCTGGTAACCGACCACGCTGTCAATAATTGATGATTTGGATAGATTTATCACAAGGAATCGAACCCGCGACTATCCGAATAATGAGTATATATTTTTATAGAAACACTTAGTCTGTGTAGTTTGTATGGGTTATTTCTGTATTTACAAAATGGTATTTAAATATTTCTATCATTTGTTTAGTGCTCATGACGAATGATCTGCTTAGTTTGTAAATTCTATATAAATAAGTATAATATATTACAACATTGAATTTATATGTACATAATAGAGCAGGATACAGAGACACAGAAAGTTTAGTATTAACTTTTAAAAAGATATCTAAGTACTTATAGCAGTAGCCCCATAACATAAGCTCTGCTTACCGTGCAACTAGATGGTGTTGTGTTAATTGTCCAAGCTTATTTATATATTAAAAAAAACTTGTCTTTATATATATATATATTTGTAATGCTCTACTTATTCTTTTAGGATCCTATCGAAACGGAACCAGGTATGCTTGCCACCCTGCAACGGAAGGAAGCCCAAGAGAAGGTCCTCACAGAAAAATGGACGGAGAAGTGGCGGGAGACCCAGCAGATTCTGCAGGAGCAGAAGGCGCTGGGGCTGAGGAAGAGTGGGCTCGGGGTGGTGCTGGACTCGGATATGCCGCATCTGGTCGGCATTGATGACAACTTGTTATCCACTGGAGTGACGCTGTACCATCTCAAGGTAATGATTAGAATGAAATTGAAATTTTAAGTGATATATGCACTTAGTTTACACGATATTATACCTTGATAATACTATACAATCAAATTATGATTGTTACTTTGAAAATTCAAGTTACTAGTAGTTTTAGAAATAATCTAGGAAGAGTTCTATCATTATGAAATCTATATTGAAGAAGCAAACTTTTGAAAGAAATTGGCAAAAAGAATGTGTTGTTAAAATAGGCCTAAATGTTTTTTTACCTTTTTGGATAGGAGAAATGAACAATATTGGATTTTCAAACTGTAGGTACCGTTTAGGATTTCTTTGTACGCTCAGTATTTGTTGTTATGTTCCGAGTTCATGACGTGTGGTGTGTGTGGTGCGTGGGGTGCGTAGGAGGGCGAGACTGTGATCGGCACGTCGTCGCTGTCGCCGGCGGCGGACATCGTGGTGGCGGGCGCGGGCGTGCTGGCGCTGCACTGCCGCGTGGTGCTGCGCCGCGGGGAGGCCACGCTGCTGCCCGCGCCCGGCGCCAGCTGCTGGCTCAACACCGTGCTGCTCGACGGGCCCGCCAAGCTGAGCCAGGGTACGACTACGACACTAGCTCCCCTCCCACGAGACGAGACGAGACCCGCCCGGCCCCGAGAGACGAGCGGATACTGTCACGACGAGCGACCGTCGCGGGACCGCAGTGTCAGTCCACCGACACTACGACGAGGTTGGCCCGCTTTAGTGTACGGACCCCTTCGCTTTGTTTCTTGAGAAGGTGGGGACGCAAGCCAAGTTCTCGAACTTTTCTTGAAGATGTAAACGCCCCCGCGGTTACACCTCAGGCCCTTGCAGCTAACCGAGGCGCCTGTGCACCTCTCCACATCACTGAAGGTATTAACACACCTACACTAACTCCCATTCGGTCGATTGTCTCGTACAATTCAAATGGAAACAGAAAATACGACGATCTGAGCCGCTGATTCGAACCCAGACGCGCTCAGATAAAGTCGTATCCGTTAGGCAGTCCTTGCGCGGGTTTGGAGGCCATCTGCAATCGCCTCCTATCGTTCCGTGAAATTGCAAAGGCCAGCTGTGGCCAACGGCTTTGAAATATTTCGAAAAAAAGAGCATTCATTAAGCACCGAAAGTGCTTTACCCCTGAGCTCATGGGGAACTAGAGACAATAATAAATGTGCTTTTTTTAACTATTTAAATTTTGTTCAATCTGACACCATATCTCACACTTTAGACCAATGATTTGAGTACCCCATCTATTAAGGCAATGGTGACGGTATGTATTATTTATTTATTAAAGGAAAACCAAGGCTGATTATATATAAATAGAATCAATATAAACCACGTACTAAGCCACTGACACAAATAACAACAGACTAATTTTTTTTAATTTGACATCACTACATATAAAGGCAACACAACACGTTATAAAATTAACAGAGAATATGAAATTAATAAAAGAACAAGAGTACAGTAACAAATAGTGAATTTATACAAATATATTATGGTAGATAAGGGCAGAGGAAGGCCAAAAAAGAGATGGATGGACTGTGTGAAAGATGATATGGTAAGAAAGGAAGTAAATAACGCGATGACTGCAAACAGGGATGAATGGAAGCGAAAAACATATTACGCCGAACCCAAATAAATGGGATAAGGAAGAAGCAGATGATGATATTATGGTAGATATATTCGTGTGCAGGTTGCATCCTGCTGCTAGGCCGCACGAACATGTTCCGGTACAACGACCCGGCGGAGGCGGCCAAGCTGCGGCAGGAGGGCAGCGCCTCCAACATGAACCTGTCGCGGCTGTCGCTGCTGTCCTGGTCCACCACCGACCTGGCCGCCAGCACGGAGAACCTCAACACCACGCTCTCGTTTGTATCCACCTTTCTCTTTACTAGCTGTTTTGCTAAACCTTATTTTGCCATACAAATTAATATGGCTATTTAAAAATAGGGGTTGGTGATAGAAGAGTGAAAATTTAGACGATTACATACATAATACACATAGAAAACACCCAGACCAATACCCAGAATGGTATTCATGAATACAAATGTTTGTACCGTGCGAGGAACCGAACCTGCGACCATCGTATGTACAGCAGTGTGTTAAACTGCTAGATCAACGAAGCAATCTATAAGCTATGAATTTTTAATATAAAGTTTGTATGTAAACACTGGACTTATTTGTTAATGATGTTTTCAACATCCAAATTCCATCCATCCCAAACTATTGTGCTTGTAATAATAATAGAATGTGTGTTAACAGAGACCTGGAGAGTGAGATACGATGCGAGAGGATAGAAGCCCAGCGTGCGGAGTTAGAGCGAGAGCGACAACAGTTTCTGCTCCAGCAGGAAGAGCGGCAACGTCGCTGGCACGCAGAGAGGGAAGAACTGCTGCAGGCGCAACGCAAGTTAGACGAGGTGAGCTGTCTATCAATTTTTTTTTAAACAAGCCGAATTGTAAACAAGTTAACGGTCCACCTGATGGTAAGTGGTAACTGTCGACTGTATACAGGTACACCACTACGACATCATGTTGTCATCTGATACCTTCGATAAGCTTATTTACGAATCCCGAAGGGTGTACTTGGATTAGGGTAGTTATTTAATTAAACTACAGAAATCCTTCCCCACCGCTAATTATATATTTTCAAATTTATTAAAATTATCAAAACGCATTATACCGCTTCAAAATGAAATCTGAACATCGAGATGTAGAAAAATGAATAAAACTTATCAACGCCATCTAGTGGTACAGTTGTAAACTAAAACAAAAACCTATTTCGTTCGATTGTACATCACTCATGGTATTATGCCTCTTATCCTATAATTTTACTTTTAATCGCAACCAACAATTAAAACATCTTACAAAACAAACTAAATATAATGATAAGCTAAGCAAATAAGTTAGAAGAGTTCCCATATATAAATGAGGATTTCAAATTTCGAAGGATACCAATATAAATATTGTTTATTAAAAATGTTATTATTAAATAACATTTTTAATAAACAATATTTGGTCGTTTCGTGTGAAATGTAAATCGGAATACATTCAAATAAACATTACAAGTTTTGAATAATCAATCGTGATGGAAATAGATGCAGATTCATAAATTTAAAATTATGTGTTGCTCTTTTTAATTGAAATATAAATAAACACTCGTTTCGTGTGACTGTGTAAAGCCTAATTTACATTGTGCAATAAGATTTAAGCGCAATATTTAGGACTATTTGTGGTGCAAGCTAGACGTGGGCGACGTATGAACAAATCGTTTTCTTAAACTGTTTTTTAGGCGTGAACAATTAAACTAGTTCACAGATAAATTAATTTATTCGTCGACTGGTTGATGAGTCCGTTACGTTGCGTCTAGTAAGCCGATCGAGACGATCGCTCCGATGTTGTCAATTGGTAAACGAGATTTGCGTTCGTTTACGCTTACTAATCGTTTATGGGAAAAAATGTTTTACGACGACGTAAAAATTTTACGACTTAGTTAATGGTTTTATTATATGCAATGATTTCTTTATTTAGTATGTATAGTGAAACCAAGAACATGGCGGCGTTAAGTAACTGAAAATTACCCGCAATACATTTCACTGAAATAATGCGTGGTAACTTTTTGCGTAGTGTAAATTAGGCTTACAATTTCATCGTGTCGGTTTGTTGTGGGTGCGATAGGAGCGGGAGGCGATGGAGCGCGAGTACGCGGCGGCCTGTCGGCGACTGTCGGGCGACTGGCGCGCGCTCGAGAGAGGATGGACGCATCGCCGCCGCGCGCTGCGCTGCCGGCAGCGGGAGCTGGCCGCGCGCGCGCACCGCCTGCGGGCCCGCGCAGACACGCACCGCGCCACGGTCAGTACACACGCCGCGCACGGTCAGTACACACGCCGCGCACGGGCAGTACACACGCCGCGCACGGTCAGTACACACGCCGCGCACGGGCAGTACACACGCCGCGCACGGTCAGTACACACGCCGCGCACGGTCAGTACACACGCCGCGCACGGTCAGTACACACGCCGCGCACGGTCAGTATACACACGCCGCCGCGCGCTGCGCTGCCGGCAGCGGGAGCTGGCCGCGCGCGCGCACCGCCTGCGGGCCCGCGCAGACACGCACCGCGCCACGGTCAGTACACACGCCGCGCACGGTCAGTACACACGCCGCGCACGGTCAGTACACACGCCGCGCACGGGCAGTACACACGCCGCGCACGGTCAGTACACACGCCGCGCACGGTCAGTACACACGCCGCGCACGGTCAGTATACACACGGCCGCCGCGCGCTGCGCTGCCGGCAGCGGGAGCTGGCCGCGCGCGCGCACCGCCTGCGGGCCCGCGCAGACACGCACCGCGCCACGGTCAGTACACACGCCGCGCACGGTCAGTACACACGCCGCGCACGGTCAGTACACACGCCGCGCACGGTCAGTATACACACGGCCGCCGCGCGCTGCGCTGCCGGCAGCGGGAGCTGGCCGCGCGCGCGCACCGCCTGCGGGCCCGCGCAGACACGCACCGCGCCACGGTCAGTACACACGCCGCGCACGGTCAGTACACACGCCGCGCACGGGCAGTATACACACGGCCGCCGCGCGCTGCGCTGCCGGCAGCGGGAGCTGGCCGCGCGCGCGCACCGCCTGCGGGCCCGCGCAGACACGCACCGCGCCACGGTCAGTACACACGCCGCGCACGGTCAGTACACACGCCGCGCACGGGCAGTTCACACGCCGCGCACGGTCAGTACACTCGCCGCGCACGGTCAGTACACACGCCGCGCACGGTCAGTACACACGGCCGCCGCGCGCACGCGCCGCGCGGCAGCACACGGCGCAGCTGGCCGCGCGCGCGCACCGCCTGCGGGCCCGCGCAGACACGCACCGCGCCACGGTCAGTACACACGCCGCGCACGGTCAGTACACACGCCGCGCACGGGCAGTATACACACGGCCGCCGCGCGCTGCGCTGCCGGCCGCGGGAGCTGGTCCGCGCGCGCGCACCGCCTGCGGGCCCGCGCAGACACGCACCGCGCCACGGTCAGTACACACGCCGCGCACGGTCAGTACACACGCCGCGCACGGTCAGTACACACGCCGCGCACGGTCAGTATACACACGGCCGCCGCGCGCTGCACACGCTGCCGGCAGCCGCGCACGGTCACTACACACGGCGCACGCGCGCGCGCACGGTCGCCGCGCACGGGCCCGCGCAGACACACACGCACCGCGCCACGGTCAGTACACACGCCGCGCACGGGCAGTACACACGCCGCGCACGGGCACTACACACGCCGCGCACGGGCAGTACACACGCCGCGCACGGTCAGTATACACACGGCCGCCGCGCGCTGCGCTGCCGGCAGCGGGAGCTGGCCGCGCGCGCGCACCGCCTGCGGGCCCGCGCAGACACGCACCGCGCCACGGTCAGTACACACGCCGCGCACGGGCAGTACACACGCCGCGCACGGGCACTACACACGCCGCGCACGGGCAGTACACACGCCGCGCACGGTCACTACACACACGGCCGCCGCGCGCGCCGCGCCGGCAGCACACGCCGCGCACGGTCACTACACCGCGCGCGCGCACGCACGGGCCACGCGCAGACACACACGCACCGCGCACGGGCAGTACACACGCCGCGCACGGGCACTACACACGCCGCGCACGGGCAGTACACACGCCGCGCACGGTCACTACACACGCCGCGCACGGGCAGTACACACGCCGCGCACGGGCAGTACACACGCCGCGCACGGGCACTACACACGCCGCGCACGGGCAGTACACACGCCGCGCACCGCGCGCACGCGCCGCGCACGCCGGCCGCGCGGTCAGCCGCGCACGCGCGCGCGCACCGCCTGCGGGCCCGCGCAGACACGCACCGCGCCACGGTCAGTACACACGCCGCGCACGGTCACTACACACGCCGCGCACGGGCACTACACACGCCGCGCACGGGCAGTACACACGCCGCGCACGGGCAGTACACTGTAAACTCCGCCACGGTCAGCATACTGCAAACTCCGTCACGGTCAGTACACTGCAACTCCGCCACTGTTAGTACACTGTAAACTCCGCCACGGTCAGCATACTGCAAACTCCGTCACAGTCAGTACACTGTAAACTCCGTCACGGTCAGTACACTGTAAACTCCGTCACGGTCAGTACACTGTAAACTCCGTCACAGTCAGTACACTGTAAACTCCGTCACTGTTAGTACACTACAAACTCCGTCACGGTCAGTGCACTGTAAACTCCGTCACAGTCAGTACACTGCTACTCCGCCACTGTTAGTACACTACAAACTCCGCCACGGTCAGTACTGACTGCATACTCCGTCACGGTTAGCACCACCACGGGTCCGCGCAGACACGCACCGCGCCGCATGTAGAGTAAGTACAATGGGTATATTAGAAAACTGTATTAAGTCCATTCAATATTCTTCTTATTTTCTTCAATATGCATCTTTTAAGGTGACTATTGCAGTCTATGTCGCGGGTCCAAATCAGCACAATAATGTATCAACCACTGTTGCGCCATTATCTATACCAGAGTAAGTATATAGTTGTTGCTGTAAAGCGTTTCATATATAGCGCGCTCCTATATATATACATGTCTAACTATACATGCTTTTGTAGTATCCATAGTTGTCATTATAGCATCCAGAAATTTTAAAGGTATTTATTGGAGTATCAACAATTTGTAATTCATTGTATGTATGTACCACAAATAATGTGCTTTGTAATACCAAGATGCTCTTCGTTTATATAAGCGATGTTAAAAATTTTGAATCTCGTGGGACGTCAGGTTGTCACATTAAATAACTGAAAACTTTGCAATGTTGAAAAATAAAGTTTTAAAATACTACATTAATTCAAAAGTACATTTTTTTTTTTGCAATTAAGACTCTAAAGCAGCGTTTCCCAACCTTTTTAGGTTTAAAACCTCATCTTATCCTTTCTAAAATTCTTATGCAATTATAATATTAAAAAATTAAATTGTTCACTTAAGAAACTTAAATAATAGGTTGTAAGTAAATTTACAAAATATATAATAAAAAATTGGAATTCACATATATAATGTTAATAAAGAGTCAATTTTCGAATTACCTTAACAATCAAGTTGCACGCTGGAAAACACTGCTCTAAAGTAAACGCCTTAGAGTCGATTTTCTAAAAAATATAATTTTGAAGATAATACATTATTATTGTGTTAAGTGTGCAATATATTATGTGAAAATATGTAATTTTGACAGGTAATATATATACTGACTGGTTGGTACTGGTGACCGTGTGACCAACAGTCCCCGTTCGACTGTTACGTCATACCTATATACACAATGTCATTGTACTGCATAATATACGGAGGTACTAATGTTTCTCGCACGCGAATTAACGATCTGCTTTAAGAACGAATTCCGATCGAATATCATTGGACAGTGCTTTGACGCACTTTTTTATATACTTAAAGTATACATTAGCAACGTTAACTCTATATGAATAAAATTACTTACCGATATTAATAATAATACTTTATTTGTCAAATGTAAGCTATAAGATATATATCTATATCTTAGGACAATTCACACAGCGCCATCTAGACCCAAGTTAAGCTAGCTAAAGCTTGTGTTATGGGTACTAGATAACTGATACATATACATAGATTAGTTTTTGTAAATACATACATATTATACATAGAAAACACCTAGACCGATACAAACAATCATACTTATGAATACAAATGTTTGTCCCGTGCGAGGAATCGAACCCGCGACCATCGGTTATAAAGCGGTGTGCTAGACAGTTAGACCACCGAGGTCGTCAAATGATGTTAGCAATATGTTGTCGAGATCTGTAGATTTTCCTCATGAGAGGTTTACAAAAATTTTAATTGTACAATTTATGTTTGGTCAAATAAAATCACTGCATTACGTCATCATACAGCTATCTGTATGATCGTTAATCAATTGTCTCTACGTCATTTATCAGGAAATCACCAACCGTATAGTAAGTTTTATAAATCACCATATTTGTATGAGCAGTTTTAAATTGATGATTATTACCAATAGATTTTAATGCCTCTAATAAAGGAAAATCCACATAGTGCTTTCTTCGCACCGCAATCTTTGGTATTAGATGGCGCAGTGTCAATTTTACAGGCTTAAAACCGTAAAAATTAAATTAATAATACCCCTGGACTATTCACAGAACGTCATCTAATCCTAAGCTAAGCAAAGCTTGTTCATCATCATCATCATTTGCTTCTTCCTTATCCCTTTTATTTGTGGTCGTCGTAATATGTTTTTCTCTTCCATTCATCTCTGTTCGCATTCATCCCGTTATTTACTCCCTTTCTCACCATATCATCTTTCACACAGTCCATCCATCTCTTTTTCGGTCTTCCTCTACTAAAGTAGAGGAAGTATAGGTACTAAACGACTTATATTATAGGTACTAAACGACTTATATAAATATATATAACTAGCTGCGCACACGACTTCGTCCGCGTAAAATGACGATACTTCCATATAACCTTTCATCTCCCCTTTCAACCCCTTGCAACCCTTTTTTTGCATTAAAAAGTAGCATATGTCCTTTGTCAGGGTCTAGACTATCTGTGTACCAAATTTCATTTAAATCGGATCAGTGGTTTCGGTGTGAAAGCGAGACAGACAGACAGACGGAGTTACTTTCGCATTTATAATATTAGTAAGGATTGAATGCATTTTTTTTGTAAATATATAATATATATGGAAACAACTATACTCATGACCACGAACCTGCGACCATCGGAAAGTAAGGGGTGTTCTAAACCGCTAGACCATCGAGATAGTCAAGTTGTTATCAAATTATTAGGTTTAATCTTGATTAAGTTTTAATAGAACAGGTTTGTATTTAAGTCTATATTGAGATTAGATAAAAGATTAAAACTACAGGCCGGTCCTGTGGTTTTAATCTTTCTCTCTCTTTCTCATTCAAGGAAAGTGATAATCGAGTTGCGATCGAGAAACACTGGTACCTCATATGAATGCACTCATTTTTTACCACAAACAATAGGATTATTGTTCATACACTCTCTCAACATTTTATGTTAGCCCAGTTAGTAGCGATAGTGGATTCGCCAGCCGCTGCATTTTAGTCATACTACCATATTAGTATTAGTTGGATGTGCTTTTGACTTTTTAATTTTTTTTTGTCGTTGGTGTTCTGAATATTGTGATTATAAATTGTGAAGAATTTACATTGTTTTTTAAATATGTGGTGATATGAAAATAATAAATTATATGGTATTACTACAACGGTTATTTAATACTAATAAAACGCTATTCACTACAATACATAGAACGATTTAACATACTTTAACCTACTACTTAAGTCTTAGTAATATTGGTTTATTTCTTACCGGTTAATAACGGTTACAGTAACATCTCACTGTCTCTCTGATCCCAGCTATATCCCACATGGTAGTGGAGTCAGCTTTCGGTATTCTTCTCCGCCATGATCTATGATGTACATACTCGTATATAAAAAAATAGTAATAATAATAATCGCAGGACAATTCACATAGCGCCATCTAGACCCAAGTTAAGCTAACTAAAGTTTGTGTTATGGGCACTAAATAATTGATACAAATTGATATTTTTTCCTAAATACATACATATTATAAATAGACAACATTCAGACCGATACAAACAATCTCATGAATACAAATGTTTGTGCCGTGCGAGGAATCGAACTCGCGACCATCGGACGTAAAGCGGTATGCTAGACCGCTAGACCACCGAGGTAGTTATATATTAGGTCGCAATAATATTTATTAATATTTTTTTAAGTGAGTAATGGAGCATAGGCTATTTTTTGTACCATAGACTTTATATATATGTCAGTATAGCTCTGGGTTGTCTATAACAAATAAAATAAAATAACTAGACTGACTAACAAATCACAAATAGTACTAACACATCACAATATATATATATACATCATTCATTCATAATTTAAGAGCTGTGCTCTTGTCGGTGGAGCTCCCGCCACCTTCAACGATCTTCTATCAGTCATTTTAGCTGTTGATACGACACGACTCCAACTTTTTCTTTAACTTGCTTGATATAGCTGTGTCTTGGTCTTCCTCTTCCCCTCTTTACTTCTATTTTTCCTTCGATAATATCATTCATAAGTTTGTCGTGTCATAGCAAGTGCCTCAACATTTTCCCCCGCCTATTCTCAATAATATCTATGATCTGTCTCTTTTTTTTAACACTTCCAAGCACTTCTTCATTCCTTATTTTATCTTTCCAGCTAATTCTTTCTATCCTTCTCCAACACCACATTTCAAAGGCTTCCAGTTAGTCTCTTTCCTCACACATCCACATATAGAAAATATAATTTTTCACAATAAGGCAAAATGTTAAATTAATCCGAAATATCAGTCAAGCAGGAGTTGGCTTTCAACCACTCCATAATATTACGTCTCCACGTTTCGATTATGTTGCATCAGCCGTGGTCACGAGCCGACTGGAATAACAACGAATGTTAATATTCATAGGTACCGGCAGTTTGTTCAACTACCCTCATATGATTGTCAGACGAAATATTGCGAAATGTAGATAGGCAGTTTATTCAACTAGATAGATTGTGAGATTAATAATCACGACTCACGTAGTCATACACTGACTTTAATTATAATAAAAATCAGGGCCGTTTTCACCTATTAGAGGCCATGGGCACATTAGGATAATGGGGCCCCTATGACCATAGTGATAAAGCAATATTTTGTTAGAATAGACAAAGTAATTTTTAAAACATGTATATGGGATCCCCATATACATCTATATCTCTAAAGAGATGTAATGAATGAATGAAAAACATTTATTGTTCCTCTCACAGAAAGAAGAATTATATAAATTAATATGTACATCAAATATGAAAATAAAACCAAAATTATTATAATACAGAGATATGTTCATGTACAAAAACCTTACATTCAAAACAAAGCAGGCAAAAATAATTTTAAAAAGTCCTTTTGTGATGAGGGGTTCAAGTTCTTGCTAGACATTTATAAAAAAAAAATAACAAAAACGAATAAATTGACCATAGTCGGTAAGCATTTATTAAGACTGATTTTCAGACGAGAGTCGGTTATCGTTTGGTAATGGAGTAGGGAGGTAGAGTAAACTAGAGGGCCCAATCCGTCGCGGGGCCCTGGGTCTGGAAGTGGGGCCTGTTAATAATGTTTCTAAACGTAAAAGTTGAAATTAAGTATTACCACTTAATTGTACCTTACATTCACAGAATAACAGTCACAAAATTCAGAACTCCGTAATTATTTTTGTGTTGCTATACGCCCCCATGTCCCCATAGGCTGAGACCGAGGAGAGTCACGTGACCAGCTTGAAGAGCAAGGTGGAAGCGAAGAGAACAGCTCTCGACGACCTGGTGAAGCAGCAGACGAGGCAGCTACTGGCTAAAGGCTACAAATTGAACGAGGTAAATTGCATGTTACGTGTTCTTTTTATGACTAAATACTGAGTTTAAGTTCAGAGTACAGAGAGTCAGTTCTCCTCAGCTCAAAATCACTCGCAACTGACCGTAGATTTGACATATTATAAGGGTCTGTAATAGAGCTACATGAATAAGAATATTTCGATTTGATTTAACTTTATGTTGTAGTATATTATCATGCAATAGATGAACAATTTAAAATATTTTTACAATTCCTAATTTTTCCTTTTTTTTAATGCTTATTACTAGTAATTTCTGGCGGCTTTGCCTGCATGGAATATAGACTATGTTAGTCGCTGATTCGCTGATTTGTAGGAATAAGAATTTTTGTCAAATCAAGTAGGTAATTATTACTTAGTTTATCCACAACAAACTTATACTCAAAATACAATTAAAATAAACACTTTTCTCTCTTAATTAGAATAACCGCACCGAATTTTAATTCTACCTAGTATTAACGTCGAAGAATTAAATATCGGAAGAATTTCCAAAAGAATTACGATTTATTACACGAATATACGTCCACATCTTGAAATCAATTTAATTTGTTAATTGTGTTCCCATCAACAAAAAGTTAGTTAATTTGTTATATGGGTCAATCAGATTCAAACCTGTTCGAGGCAGGTAGTTCAGGTAACTAGGCCCATATCATAAATACCTTATAGACTAACATACATATGAAATAATATTGTAAAACTAATTAATATTGATCTTGTCTGTGTGGTCACGGCACTGACGACGGTAATCTGCCACGGGCAATGAATAATCTAACATGTCCGTAAGCATTGCTTTAATTTTTTATGTAACTATATTTAAAAGTATAATATGTTAACTATTTGTAATAATAAATAAATTAATAAAAGAAAGGATGTCCGCAGTTGTTAAAAATCAGATAAAAATTATGATACATCGTTAATGTGTGTAATGTAACCTCAAGGGCACTTTAGAGGGGCTACGTGGAGGGGCTGCAGACAGTCGACTGTGTGCGTTGTTACCACGCGGCCTTACTTGTAATAATTACTAGTGAATTTAATATGTATATAGTTATATATGTAAGTATTCACTCCATATAAAAAAACTGCGTGCCAATTTATATTTCTGTCTAATTTTCCGCTAATGGAAGCATCTATCAGTGCAAATCTATAAAAATTTAAGTTTCTGTTTGTAATTTCATTTTTTTTATGGATGGATGGTAATGGTATGATGCACCTGTATCACTTACCATCAAATACATTAAAAAAATTTAAAGGCATAAGGAATTGAAGATATTTTTTTAAGTTCACGGTGATGGAATGGTCACTCGCCTTCGCTAACGGTGGAGTAGATATGCTAGTGGGGGATGATAAGATGAACATGAGGTCAGGTCAGTTAGACCATAGTGCCAAATTCCACAGGTTATCACGATGGTTCTATCTGGAAGAGATTGCATTTGCGATAAGACCGCCTTTTGTACTTACTTCAACTAGCTGTGCACGCGGTTTTACCCGTGTTAAATTTCAATAAAAAATATAGCGTATATGTTATTCTGATGCATAAGCTATATTACTGTAAAGTTATATCAAAATCCGTTCAGTAGTTTTGGCGTGAGAAAATAACAAACATCTATACTCACAAACTTTGGCGTTTATAATATTATTAGGATTAAGATGTTTTAACTTCGTTTATGTCCGTCTGTTGGTGCAATAAAGTGTATTCTTTACATATAAATAAAATTGGAGTGTCTGTTTGTAATATGTAGAAGTAGTGATGTATAAGCTATGTATAATATATCACAGTAACGTTTCATCAAAATTGAACTCACTATTGAAGGTATTATTTAATTGCAGAGCGCAACCCCCAGTCCAGAGAGTCCGGCATCGGAGTCCAGCACAGAGTGTCTGATGCATCTACTGCAGCAGTGTGAGCCAAAGACTGCTCAGAGCATAAAGGACACCGTTGATAGACATGTAAGTTACCACACTTATCTAAATATATAGAACTCAAAGGTGACATAAAGGACACCGTTGATAGACATGTAAGTTATCACACCTATCTAAATATATATAACTCAAAGGTGACCGACTGACATAGTGATCTATCAACGCACAGCCCAAACAACTGGTCGGATCGGGCTGAAATTTGGCATGCAGGTAGATGTTATGACGTAGGCATCCGCTAAAATAGGATTTTGTTTAATTCTACCCCCAAGGGGATAAAATAGGGGATGATAGTTTGCTTGAAACTGGTCAATTTTGAACCGATCGGGCTGAGACTTTGCATGCATAAAGCTACTATGACGTAGGCATCCCCTAAGAAAGGATTTTGATGAATTCCACCGCTAAGAGGATAAATTAACGCGAACGAAGCTGCGGGCAAAAGCTAGTGTTTTATAAAATCTTCCCAATACGGAATATTGGGACAAACATAAATACAAATGTTTGTTCAAATACAAACCGCCAGACCGCCGAAGCCTTCAATCTTTAAATCTAGCTAATATTATAGGCACTATTAACATTTGGCGACCTCGGATGTCTAACTGTTTAACTCACCGCTTTACTTCCGATGCTCGCGAGTTCGATTCGGCGTTGTACACCAAATATGATTTTCAGAAAAAAGAACTGGTAGAACTGGAGGACGAACTCAAGAGCCGGGTGTCGTCGGTGGCGTCGCACCGCGTGAAGGTCGAGCGGCTGCAGGCCGAGCTGGCGCTGCTCGCCACGCAGGACCTCGGGCTGCGGCACGCGCTCGCGGCCGACCTCGGGCCCGCGCCCGGACGGGGTATGTATGTATGTATGTATGTATGTATGTACGTGAAGGTCGAGCGGCTGCAGGCCGAGCTGGCGCTGCTCGCCACGCAGGACCTCGGGCTGCGGCACGCGCTCGCGGCCGACCTCGGGCCCGCGCCCGGACGGGGTATGTATGTATGTATGTATGTATGTATGTACGTGAAGGTCGAGCGGCTGCAGGCCGAGCTGGCGCTGCTCGCCACGCAGGACCTCGGGCTGCGGCACGCGCTCGCGGCCGACCTCGGGCCCGCGCCCGGACGGGGTATGTATGTATGTATGTATGTATGTATGTACGTGAAGGTCGAGCGGCTGCAGGCCGAGCTGGCGCTGCTTGCAGTGTATCTTGGCATTCCTATAAATGTTTTTGTAATTGTTATATGTATATGATTATGTATATATATATATATATATATATTACAGGTTATACCTATTTGAATGAATGAATGAAATAGTAAATTTATGCATTGTATTATTAAAATATATTATCCTAATAAATATATACACATATATAGGTGTGTGTATGTGGTTTAGTTGTTCTATGTATGTAATGGTTGTCAACAATTGTTTTTAATCTTTTCTTCTTTCCTTCTTTAAAAAAAACGTATATTTTTACAGAGCGCGAGGTTGAGTTCGATCTGCGGACTGAACCCGTGAAGCGCAGCAAGTCGGAGCTGGTGCTGAGGACGCCGCAGCAGGAGCTAGAGCCCCTCTCCGCAGATGAACGGGAGGAGTACCAGATTAAGAAGATGAGGTGAGAACATGACTTAATTACTCGGCCGTGGTGGTCTAGCAGTTTACCACTCCGCTTTACTCACGATGGTCGCGGATTTGCATTTTGATTACTCGCACAACAGTACTCTGTATACGAGTCATTCTCTATCTATACATATAAATAAAAATGTATGTTTGTAATATTGAAATAATCTCTTTTTTTTTAACAACATGCATATGAATATAAATACGGTGTATACACCAAAATATTTTTTACAATTTTTGCCTGTCTGTTTGTTCCGGCTAATCTCTGAAATGGTTGGACCAATTTTGACGGGCCTTTTTTGGCAGATAGCTGATGTAATGAGTAACTTAGGCTACCTTTATTTTAGAAAAACTCCATGCGGACGAAATCGAGGGGAACAGCTAGTATAAATTATAAATGTACTAGTTTTAGTATAGTATTCATCCATCCGTGCATATTTCTTAAATTACTTTTTAGTACATTTTTGCTTCACGTATTTATAATGATACTAAACTGATTTTATATATATATATATTTTCTTCCAGTCTAAGCCTCAGTCTAGACCCGCTCACGTCCCCGAACCCGACGTTGACCACGTGCGACACGTTCCACACGGCCAGCACCGGCTCTCCGAAGCCGTTCCCCGCCACCCCCGCGTCCCCCCCGTCCCCCGCGTCCCCCGCGTCCCCCGCGACCCCCGCGTCCCCCGCGGCGGCGGCGGCGGAGGCCGCGGATGTGTCGGAGCCCCCGCTGCAGCCCCAGTTCAGACTGGGACCAGCGCCGGTGGCTGACGATAGTGACGACATGTCCAGCACTGAAGATTATCATAAGGTATTCAATACTTGTTATTTAGAAATGTTATTGGATTTTTTTTTATTTATTAGGTCTACAAAACATGGCGTATCGAGGAACACCGTGGAGTTTTTAGTGAGTACAATCTCACATATCCCACCCGTTCCCCTGGATGGGTGGTTGAATCTATGAAGATTTTCTCCACATAAAAAAAAGGTCTACAAAACTGGATGTCTTACAGAGTACATAAATTTATACACATAAAATAAACTATTTAAGTAATACTACATGTAGACACAGCATGCATAACTTAATTTTAACACACAAAATGATACTATACAGTAGTAAATAATAATTAATAATTTTATTATTTTATATTCAACTAGCTACTCGACCCGACTTCGCACGGGTGTACATGTATTATATATATATATACCTACCTTTTGAATCACTTTTATCTATTAAAAAACCGCTTCAAAATCCGTTGTGTAGTTTTAAAGATTTAAGCATACATAGGGACGGACAGACAGCGTCAGTGCTCTGTTTTATACTATGTAATGATTTATAATATATTTTTAAATTTTTGTTTTACTAATTGTGCTCGCGTGAAATTTATAGCCTACGTGTTATTCTGATGTATCTAAATATATATAACTCAAAGGTGACTGACATAGTGGTCTATCAACGCACAGCCCAAACCACTGGACGGATCGGGCTGAAATTTGGCATGCAGGTAGATGTTATGACGTAGGCATCCGCTAAGAAAGGATTTTGATAAATTCCACCCCTAAAGGGATAAATTAACGCGAGCGAAGCCGCGAGCAAAAGCTAGTAATCTATATTACTCTTCTATCCCTCGGTATAAAATATGAAAATATAAAATGTATTTTTTGAAATTTTGTTTCTAGTGATTTCCGCCAGTGTCTTTGAAATGTTAATTGTCTAAATGGTTATATTGCAGCCGAGGATAGTGGAGGGCCAGTCGTCAAGTTCTGTTGAAAGATCGCCGGAGGAAAGACACCAAAGGACCAAGTACAGAAGAAGATTACCAGGTAACTAAGGACTTCTAGTAATTATAGTCAGTACATATATATGCGTATGATAGGCCGGGTCAATGTACTCCCTCAAAAATGAAAAATGGTTGAGGGTAATGATGGCTGGTTTCTTCATACTCTTTTTAGGTTGAAGTTCATATTTCACCTGTTATACGAGTTGCAGATTCATTATGCGTGAACTACTTATTATTTTTTTCCTTTTGACAAAATAGAATAGTATATGCTGATGGTCACTACATTCTACCGAATTTAAAAATGGATCTATATCTTTGTAATAATGTATAAACAGATTTGAAAACAATAAGAGCCAAATTTCTTGTCAGTTCTTCTTAGCTCAAAAGCACACTGAATTGACTGCAGATTTACCGTATCCTAAGATTGTGTAATAGATCTACATGAATAAAAATATTATTATTTGATTTTTGTTTAAAATTTAAAAATTACTAATAAAAATAAAATACTAAAAAAATACTAATAAAACAAACCTCTTTCCTCATTTCTATTGTTTTTATCTTTTAATTCACTACAGTCTTTATAGAATAAAAACATATGCATGTTTGTTTAATTTATTATGTTTATATAGTTAAGATTTACATGAGATAATTTATCAGGTGATGGCAAGTCGGGGCGGCGTCAGGTTACAGAAGCGGAAGCGTTACGAGCGATGCAGAGGCTGTGCTCCCGCATAGCGTCACAGAAGATGCTGGTCATCTCCTCACTGGAGAATGACTGCTCCAAGGAGGAGCTCAACCGACAGATTGCGGTACCGATACTCTAGATGCGTTAGATTTTTTTCATGTCAAGCTTAAAAAATAGTTTGCCTGAAACATTGACAACCATATTTTGATATTGCATTGAAAAATAAAAAAAAACATTATGCACGTTACGATATATGTGACACTAACACGCATATTATGTTTTTTTTGTTTGGTCGAATCGAATTTTGACCACAAGTTTAACATTAATACACATATTCGATTAGTTTTCAAAACAGACTAACATATGTCAGGTGCTGCAAGATCTGCAAAAGAAGTACGTCCGTCTGGAGATGGCGCTGCAGTACTCGTTCTTCGACAACCAGGGCGGGCGGCGCAGCATGATGGTGACGCCCATACAGGAGACGCCCTCGCTCACGCTCTCAGAGAGCGACATGCACGTCGCCACCGACCACGCCAACCACGGCGGCCACGCTCCCCACAACGGACACGTCGTCGATCCGCTGCTGCACAGGTCTGATGTTTACCTCTCATTTATGTTCTCTCTGTTTAACTTTGGTTAACAAAAAGGGATGGTACGATAACCATCCTTTTTATTAACCAAAGTTAAACGAGTTTTTAGCATTTTTCCAGTGCTTTTAACATGGTAGACCATGATATCTTTCTATCCATCTTGCTGCACCATAGGTTCTCATCTTCAGCTTTGGATTTTTTCATCTCACCTTCGGGGAGGACAACAAGCGATCAGAGTTGATGATAAATTATCTAACTAGTGTGATCTACCAACCGGCGTACCCTAAGGTGGGACTTCACTCGCTGTTACTTCTAAAGTACACTTCAAAAGCCAGGAGAAATAAAACATTTTACTCCACGAGAATAGTGTAATCGCAAATACCACAATAAGAAATAGAAATAATCTTTATTCAAATAAACTTAATATAAGCACTTTTGAATAGTCAAGTTTTTTGATTCTACCACTTATTCGGAATGCAGATTCATCACAAGAAGAATAAGCAAGAAACTTGTGTGTTGCTCTTTTAAATAAATATTAAGAAAACAATATGTACACAAAAGCCTATGATCAATTATCTGCTACAGTAACTAAAAACGAAAGCATCGCGTAAATTGCACAGCGCCATCTAAATTTTCCACTTTTATAAACTCTCACCTATACCTGGCAGTTTTTACGCAGATAATTTGCAAATATATGAACATGTCTGTATCGATAATTTAGATCACGAACTCATGGTCTAGTAACTTTGGTATACCAGTTAACCCTAACAGATGTCAAGCTATAATAGTAGGTAGTCCAAAATAGTTGGCAGCAGCAGCAGGATCATCCGCAGGCCCTTACAAACCGCTGGGTTTAGGCCCCGAGCTTGTGCTCCTTGCCCGGGCATAGTGTGTTGGCTAAAATTTATCTCCGTACCATTACACCCATCACGTTTGGTAATTTTGTATTTGTTTCTAGTCACACTGTAAAAAATCTTGGTCATCATATAGAATTAATGTTATTTTAAATAAATACATAATCTATATCCTAGATAAATGGTAAATGGATTTTCAAAATTTATTCAGTATATCCTGATATTATTTCCTACCACGTCACATCTTTTTATTTTACAAAATCAGTTCAGTAGAGATTAAAAATTAGTCCCTATAACGTCATAAACCACTTTAATTTTAAAATAAGTTCAGTGGATCCTGAGATTTCCCTCTCCCTACAACATCATAAATATTAGGTTTTTTTTTGTTCATTATGTCAGGTTAAAAGAGCAAGAGATGGAAGGGTCAGACAACGTGTCCACGTCCAACGACGAGCTTCACACCGACCACTCGGAGGTGTGGGACGACCCGCTGCGGAGGCCCGTCCTCGAACAAGAACACGACCACGACCACGACCACGAGCAGGCGATCATGGAACGATCTATACCGGTACATACACATTTGTTCTTATATATCTCTATTTGTGTTGCCTTTATAGCTGTCCCGCAAACGAACCAGAGATTGACAAAACGCCTACTAAATCTGGACAGGCAAAACCTAAGAATAATGATAGGGACAATAACGGGCCACTGTTCCTTAAACAAACATCTGTACACAATATGTTACAACACACAACAAATGCTATTGACAGTCCCCTGTGTTGGGGCTGCTTTGTAGCCGAGGAAACGGCTGCTCACGTAATCCTGGAGTGCATAGCAGTGGCCACACAACGTAATCAAATCCTCGGAACGGTGAGGTCGCTCCGTGAAGCCTGCGAAGACACCAGGAGTCTTCTGCGCTTCAGAGAGGAGCTTGGCTGACTACTTTAGTAGCCTGGCTCTACACGCACAATGGCCCAGATGAGAGGCCAATTGCGGAAAATGGAGTACAACTTACATTACAGCTGTCCCGCGCACCTTCATCTGCCTTTCATTTCCTTTTCCAATATTTTTCATTGCAGCTCCGCTTCTATTGGTAGTAGCGTAATGTTATGTAGCTTAAAACCTCGACAAATGGACTATCCAACGCGAAATTTTTTTTTCTAAATCGAACCAATTAGTTCTTGAGATTAGCGCGTTCAAACAAACAAACAAACTCTTCAGCTTTATAATATTATATATATATTATTATAGATGCAGTGATGTCAAATTTAACACAATTAATCTGTTGTTATTTGTGAAAGGCTGTTAGTTTGCTTTTATATTGATTGACATAGGTATAGTTAACCTGTGTTTTCCTTTAATAAATAAATAAAATAAATATCTTCTTTACATAGTAGAAAACAAAGTTACCTATATCTTTTAAATTACGGACCGAAGGTGCAAAAGATGATATGGCGAGAAAAAGAGTAAATAACGAGATGACTGCGAACAGGGATGAATGGAAGAGAACAAATGAACGGGATAAGGAAGAAGCAGATGATATGATGATCTCACCCTTAGACCATTTACAAATAAATAAATAAATAAAAGTAAAATAAATGTTTGGTGACAGTGTTATAATTGATTTTGTCTTTACTTTCAGGATCCAACAGTTTCTATTGGCCTCATGCATCCAATAGATTTCAGTGAGTTTATATATATATATTTTTGTATTAATTTTCTTTAATAATATTACATACTGTCTGTATGTATTGTTATGTTGGTTTTATATTAATTTTATAACGATAGACCATTTTGTTTGTAAAAAAAAAATATTTTACGATAATATTTTACTAATTAATTTAGATTTTTGAATCAGAGATATCAATATTTAGGGATTTTTGATGAATCATTTAGTGAATGGACGATTTTCAATATATTATTGATTTTGATTGATATCATAAGAGTCTGTAATAGACCTATATGAATAAAATCATTTTTAATTTTATAAGTATTGTAATTATTAGCGTATTGTTTGCTTATATATTATGTATGCTTGTAACATGCAACGCATGGGTGAATACACAAATATGTAGCGTGTTACAATGACATGACATGATGATTGTGACGGCGTGCGAGGACGTGTGGTGACGTGAGGGCGTGTGACGCAGGCAGCGTGGTGAGCGTGGCGGGGTGGGTGACGCGGGGCGCGGGCGCGCGCACGCACCACGAGTACGAGGTGCGCGTGGCGGTGGGCGCCAGTCGCTGGCAGCTGCTGCGCCGCTACCGCCGCTTCAGAGACCTCTACCTCACCATGCGCCGCACCTACGGGCCCAAGGTACGCGGCACAGCTGCAAGCACAGCTGGGAGGACCACTAACACGTTGTCTACTACTATAAACAATACAATAGAATGGAAAATCATTTATTCACATAAACTTAACTTAAGCACTTTTAAGTAGTCATAACATTTTTTTTAAACTACCGCTCATTCGGAAAATTTCTCATCACAAGAAGAACGAGCGAAAAATTTGTGTGTTGCTCTTTTAAGTAATTTTACAAGTCGAAACTTGTGAATACAAACTACCAACCAGTACTAATTTATTAGGACAAATATAAATACACAATAAGATTAAATCAGTCGTAGTGATAAGAGCAGACCAGTCTTTACAAGCAGCACTCGTTCACTAGTATGACTGATGAGCCAGCCATCACTGCGCTCGATCATATTTTAGGGAGCCCAATGACCCATGAAAGTTGTACAAAACATATTGTGACGTTAGGACCTACCTATAAAATTTACTTATTAAAAAAAAAACTAGAATGCAATGTCGTAGTGCCTTGTGGAGTGGTACAGGACCGGGTGTGTGTGGTCTATTAAAAATCTGAGAAACTGTTACGACTATTATAAAGTTGTACACGTAGAAGGTCCTAGCAAACTATATCCTTACATGGCTGTATGGGTACAGTTTGCTAAGTCTTTCCTATAAAGGATAAATAAAAAAAAAACTAGAAAGTAGTCGCGTGTGGAGTAGTATAGGTGTGTGTGTGTCGGCAGGTGGGCGCGATCCCGTTCCCCGGGCGGCGGCTGTGGTCGTCGGAGGAGGTGGCGCGGTCCCGCCGCGCGGCGCTGGAGGCGTTCCTGCGGCGGCTGCTGGCCGTGTGCAGCGCCGACCGCCGCTGCGTGCTGCACGCCGCGCCGCTCACCAGGGACACGCTCGTCGCCTTCTCGCCCTTCTTCCGCAAGGTACTCTGCCTCCACTCGTATGTCTCGCCGGCTGCGCTGGAGGCGTTCCTGCGGCGGCTGCTGGCCGTGTGCAGCGCCGACCGCCGCTGCGTGCTGCACGCCGCGCCGCTCACCAGGGACACGCTCGTCGCCTTCTCGCCCTTCTTCCGCAAGGTACTCTGCCTCCACTCGTATGTCTCGCCGGCTGCGCTGGAGGCGTTCCTGCGGCGGCTGCTGGCCGTGTGCAGCGCCGACCGCCGCTGCGTGCTGCACGCCGCGCCGCTCACCAGGGACACGCTCGTCGCCTTCTCGCCCTTCTTCCGCAAGGTACTCTGCCTCCACACGTAGTTCTCCATTAACTTCTTCCGCAAGGTACGCCTCCACACTGTCATACACCTCTCCATTAACTTACTGTCAATAATAATTCAGAACAATAATTATTGCGTCGAAATTAAAAGTACAAAATTATAATTTAAATCTAAAATAACAATGTCAAAATATTCATATAAATTCTCCATTAAATTTAGAATGTTAAAATTTTACGTTCATAAGCGGCTAAAATGGAAAATTATTTTTGAATTTGAATTTATAAGAGAGGTAACCGAGCGGATGATTTTGTACAAAACCATATGACTCTGAACAAAGTGAAATGACTTTGTACAAAGTGATATTTGTATTATTGACGCAGGGCGTGTTCGAGAGCGGCAAGTGCGGCACGGGATGATACCCGGAGGCGGCTGCGGTGCGCGCGCTGGCAGCGGCGGCGGCTGACCTGCTGCGGACCCTGGCGGCGGCCGCGCTGCTGGCGGCGCGCTGCCTGGCGCTGATGCTGCTGCTGCTGTACCTGCTGGCCCGCCGCCGCGTCCACCACCACAGGTAACGCACCTCTCCATCCTGGTACGACACTTGAGCTGCTCTACCTACCTGTAGTACGTCACTTAAGCGGGTCTACCTCCTCGCGTCCAACATCCAGCAGTCGAAGACAATGTGCTCACCCTGGACTATTGTTGAACTGTCTTCGTATAGTGATATTGTAAAGGTATTTCCACTGCTTCGCGCCGTTTATGTTGATCCGTTGGAACCACTGAAAGTGCTAATAGAAGAAGTTTTCAAATTGATTCATAATAAGAATAAAAGATCTGTTAATGAGAATGTGAACAGCTGTCCCATGAAATTTAAATATATCTCTAGATTTTTAAATTATACACAAACTGCACGGTTGCTGTTTTTAAAAAATATATTTTCGATTTCATCCTTTCAAAGTTGTTCAGTTTGCAAGAAAGTTGTTCAATTTTCTTAATGTTTGCTTTCATTATAATAGGATGGCTACATGATATTATGATTAAATCTATATGAAACTACAGAAATTCACGTTTACTATATATTCAATAGACGCATGTTTCACTTTATTTACCTAATTTTCTGCATCTAAGTGGAAACGAATGTATTACGACGAAATAACCGGACCGGCGCAGTGGATACGTTCCTTTAGTGCAGTGACGTTACGTCGTAAAAAATCGGCAGCCGAATTTATGGAATATAAAAAAATATATAATATAATATATTGACTATAATTGGCACTATAATTTACGCAATTGTGTATATAATATAATTATATTTTATTAACTAAATTGACATTAAAATGAATGAGATATAATGTAGAATGACGAGAATTACGCGTCAAAATGTGTATAATATATATGTAATATAAACGAGCTTGGATATCTCATGCACAGTAATACCTGCAGATCTACTCTGGATTCTAATCTCAATATCAATCCAATCTAGTTATCGACTGTTTTTTCAAAACGTAATCCATTTAAGCTACCATTACATGACACGATCTTTAAAGCGCGATCAGGAGCGCGGGGAAGCCAGTACGCGGTTTTTAGTGCGGGAAATCCAGCGCGCGCAATTGTGAATAAATTTCATTTTATCTATTTTTTAGGTTCGCACTTTCGCACGTTATTGTGCGTGTGAAAATTCAGATAATAAAGCGTGAAATATAATTTTTAAAGTCAGTGTAATGACAATACTCACAGTATTGTCATGTAAGTGAATAAATTTCATTTTATCTATTTTTTAGACTTTAAAAAAAAATTATATTTCACGCTTTATTATCTGAAGATAAAGATTTATAAATATCAATAATTTGTCTGTGCTTCATAGTCAGTTGTCCGCCATTTTGCAATAATAATTATTATAAAATGGCGCTAAAGTACGCACGGTTGTTGTGCGTACAACAACAGTGCGTACTTTAGCGCCGCTCACTGTTTGCGCGAGCGGTCTGTCTCGTTCTCTTTGTCTACATTTACATGCACATTATTTTTGCGTGAAAGCGGATTCGCACCTGAAAGACCGTACGTGTAAAGGCAGCTGAATGAATACATAACAATGATTTAATACTTTGCTTGTATAAAAGGTATGGAAGGTTCTAGAAGTGCGAACCGATGTAATCCAGTGTCAATGGATCGATATTGGTTTTCGGAGTAGACCTGTTTGGTAATATTCATGCATTACTGACCGTATAGTTCTATATTTTAATATAACAAGGCTGTTTGTATATTTTGTGCAATTTATTTTTAATACTAATCGTAAGTCTTCCTCGGTGCTTTCACTGGTGTTGTTGTCCTTGTTTAACTTTGGTTAACAAAAAGGATGCCACGATAACGTGAGAACATCTGGATATAAATCGTAATTGATTTGTTTAAGCGTTTGAATTTTACTTCTAATGTCATAGGTGTAGTGTTCATTTTAAGTTTTTCGTTACACATAATATTGTTGAAAATCGTAGTCTGTCGTAATATTGTTTGAGGATACTTTCTCATGTACAGTTGTTTAGTACTTCTCTATTTGAAATTTTATAATCACTAATGCACCCACTTAATTCTGAACGGCATTAAGCACACGAACTATTTATTTACGAAAATCAACTTTATGGTTACTACTAATAAAGTCGTATTTCTAAATTTTTACTTTTTGTATTTAAGGCAGTTTAGTAGTAAGCGTGGATTAAACTTGTTACTTCACTTCAATGAATGGAATGTCTTATTTCTTTGGACGACTGTACTTATACTAAAATGAGACGAAATGTTGAAATGTACAGTCAGATAAAGGACTAGATTTTATTATTGCCAGACCTTATTATTTTAATAACATACAAAAGTAATTGATTTTTTATTTTTATAATTACAAATGCGTGTTTCTGCTACTGATACACGTCTTGACATGGTGAAGTCTGCGCGGAGAATATATCCATTCTTACGCCTCATGAAACGTGCCCTCCGCGCGAGTAACGTTGAATTTACTCTCTACTAGTGTTATATATTAGAAATGAAACGGATAGCAGTTTGGCTGGATACCGGATACGGGATCCGGCTATTCAGCCACACGAATAGCCGGATATCCGGCTTTGCCCTTAGTGCAGTATGAGTACTAATTAATTAATTTTCTTTCTATTACAGTCATTTACTATTGTGTGATTAAAAATTTAAAACTAAAACTAATTATACTTCTTAAGTGATAATAAGACTAACTACCTAAACAAGGCAAATACTACTTTTTAACATTACATTACTTAAAAAATATTTTAATTGTCCACATTTCTTTTAATTCGGCGGGATGCCTATCCGGTCGAATAGAAAGTTCTACTAACTAGTTCTCTAGTTAGTAGTTATCCGGTATTAAGGCCACCGGATAGGCCGGATAGTTACCGGATATTCGTTTCATCTCTATTATATATACACTACAAGATTCCTGTAATAAAATATATAATTTCAACTAAATACAATTAATATATAATATAATTATGTAATTTTTCTTCAAATGTAATATTAATCAATATAATTTCAATAAAAGATCTGACAATAATAATAATCTTGTCTCATTATGTACAAAGAATAAAATTGTAACGTACTGTAAAAAGTGTCTATTTACTATTAAAATACTAGTGCCTAACGATATATATTTGTAATCGTAATCTGTATATAATGTCAAAGATGGAAATATAAAGCGATATAAACTTTTTTTTCATAAAATATCTGTATAAAAGACCTAAATTAAAAAAAATGTTTTTTTTTTTAAGTTAGTATATTTTTCCACGTGGCGAGGCCTATAGTGGCACCCCGTCGCGATGACAAGACGGGGCCTGTATAATAATTAGATAATATTATGAGATATATAAAATTAAATAAATCAACGAGAGATGCGGAGTTAGAGGGTAGAAATCAGGGATGTTATGAAATCTCGGATACGGATAGGTTTCGGATGTAGGAATGATTACCGGATACGTATATGAAATTATTTCGGATCATCCGTTAGTTTCGGATAATTTCAGTTACGGATATTAATATTTTAAGGAATTTCAAAGTAAAATACAAATAGCTAATAAAATGGTTACATTACGTGTCTCAATTTGGGTCCGCCGCTACCCGATATTATTCGAAAGTTTTATTTCGGATTCGGTTACGAATATTTTTTTATATCGGATATTCGATATCCGTTACGGTTACGGAGCTCCCTGACATCCCTGGTAGAAATCTACAAATATTTCGCGTGTATCACGTTTCAATCTACCTCTAATGACCTTAATAGTGTAGTGATTGTAATGCACCTCACCTTCAGTCACAGATTGACGATTTGATAGCCTCGGTGGTGTAGTGGTTTAGCACACCACCTTATTTCCGATAGTAGCGGGTTCGATACCTCGCATGGCACAAACATTTGTATTCATGAGTATGATTGTTTGTATCGGTCTGGGTGTTTTCTATGTATGTATTTACGAAAAAAATCTATGTATTTGTATCAGTAATTTAGTACCCATAACACAAGCTTTAGCTACCTTAACTTGGGTATAGCTGTGTAAATTGTCCTGAGATTATTATGATTAAATTCCAGCAGAATACGAACTTTTGTATTTATTAGTATGATTATTTGTATTAGTCTGGGCGTTCTTCAACGTATAATAGATCTATTTAATATATAGGTATATCTATCACTTGTTTAGTATCCATCATATAAGTTCTGCTTAGCTTGGGGAACCAGATGGCGCTGATTTGTATTCAGGGGTTCTTATTATACTCTGACATATTTCTCATTAGTTAATTGGTTTCATAATAAAACTATTATTATTTTAATGTATTTTTCATTAATTCAATATTTCGTCTAATATTAATTTAATAGAAGAAAATACATTCCATTATTTCTTCCAAAAAGTTTCTCAAAACAATCTCTGATTTAGTTCATTTGTCGCCTAGGCTATAAAAAATAATATTTAAAAAAAAGTAGTTCACACTCATTATCCATATCGTAAAAAAAATGATAGAGATCTATGATAGAGCTTAGTAAAGAACTATTTATATATATTAGTCAGTAATTAGTATATTAAGTCAACCATTAACTTCGCATCTCTTGTTTAAGAATAATTTCCAATGTGATAAAGCCGTTCGCACACTGCTCAACAGCGACATATTGTGTTGCATCACAGTTGAAACTCCCGCTACGTCCAACTGTGCCCTATTTCTTGGAAATTCTCTAGTGCTATTCGCTGCAGCTGGCTTTTACAACCGGACGATGTAGGGCGAGTGCAGATGGCACTCCAAACTCGCGGAAGGACTTATGGAGTGACTACAAGACAATTCCCGTCTGACGGATACAACTTTAGTCTGAGTGCACTTAAGGACTTATGGAGTGACTACAAGACAATTCCCGTCTGACGGATACAAC